ACTAAGAAAATAATCTTCAGATGTGCCTGTATATCCCGCCTCTTCCTCCTCATTTTCTACCCCACGCCCCCTAAAAATCTTCCTTTCAGATGGTTACGGCTCTGCATTCAGTCGAAATGGGAGGAAGCAGTCCCTTTGGCTCTAAAAATGGCAACTGAGCAAGGACGAATGAAGTTTACACGGCCCTTATTCAAGTAAGAACCCACGCAAACGGTGCTGTGAATTTAGATCAGGGATGGGGAAGAACAATCTCAAGTGTTTTTCCCGTCGCTAAAGTACTTTGTAAAATGCCATCTAAAAATAATTTTTAAATGTTAAAGATTATATGTATAATTTTGGAATAGGAATGAATACTTCTGAATATTTAGAATTTGAGGTAACTGGATTAGCTTTTTTAGAAACATTATATATCAGTTACCTATTATGGGCCAGATAGGTTCAGACACCCGTGAAACAGACATAAATAGAAAGCAATCTTATGTGCACAGAAAGGTCTTTAAAAGCAAGTAGGAGGTAATGGGTGGACAGGCATGGACAAGAGAAAGAGTCTGAAGTTACTTAAACGCAATAAGAAATGAACAGGTAGAGCCAAACCTTTTTGATTCAAATGTTGCAATGAGGTGGAAGAATAGGTTGCTTGACCCATAATAAAGCAGTGTGTGGGTAGAGGGAAAAAGTTGTATCTTGGCTACATGACAGAATTTAAGAATATCTTACTGAAGTTATTTTGACTGTGGATTTGGCAGGAATTCCGAAAAATGTATAATCATGACATAAATAGTCTTAATCTTTTCATTAATTTCATAAGAATAATAAAATTATACTTGCCAAATAAAATACTATTTGCCAAAATAAGTCATTATCCAACATTCTTCCTTTTTCCCCACCCCCACAGGGACCTTGCTGCCTTTGACAAATACCGTGACCAAGCGGTCCATACCTACCAGGAGCACAGAGCAAGTATGCACCCCGTGACTGCCATGCTGGTGGGGAAAGATTTAAAAGTGGATTGAGGACCTACCAATGCTGATTTTAGACAGTTTTCTTTTTTAAACTGAAGTCACAAGAAAATAGAAAAACTTCAGCTCATGTAACTAAAATGTTGTTTTCATTTTGGGTTTTTATTATTCTGTCAGTGATTTTCATAAATAAAGCTGAGCAACCTTTCTTCCCCCTGCCAGTGGCATGTTCTTTGTAAAGTGCATTTTAACAAAGTTTGATCTTTTAATTTATAAATGTAAAATCTATAATTACATATTTATTTTCCCTAGCACAATCACAAAAGTGTCAACATATTATTTACCTGACATTTTAAGTTCTTGAAATTGAAGCTGCTACACCCCAAACATTCAACATGATTAGAGTTTTGCTTTTTAAAGGTTTTATTTTTTTTTTTAAGTTTATTTATTTTGAGAGAGAGTGAGTACAATTCAGGGAGGGGCAGAGAGAGAAACAGAGAATCCCAAGCAAGCTCTGCGCTGAAAGCACAGAGCCTGATGTGGGGCTTGAATTCATGAACTGTGAGATCATGAGCTGAGCTGAAATCAAGATTCGGATGCTGAACCCACTGAGCCAGACTAGTGCCCTGCGTTTTGCTTTTTAAATAACATGAGCACTCAGTTGGATTTGCTCCCCCACCCGCCCAGTGGGCATAGTATAAATACCCTTTCCAAACTGTATAAACTCTATGCGGAGCAGTGTGCCCCCCACCCCTGCATCTACCTGCTGATCCACTGGACTTGTCCTGATGTCCGTCAGAGTCAAATGATCACCCTGAACACCAGTTTCTCCCGTCAGCCTTTTAGATCCTTTCCTGTCTATTCAACCATACTCCTCTCCTTAGTGGTCACCAAACAGTGTTCAACCACAGAGAGCATACAGCACATAGAAAGAAATAATACAATCATAGTGCATATTGTACATACATATAACACATACAGGAAATAATACAGCGACTTGAACCAAATAAGAGTAACAAAACATCCTGTGAGCGCAAGGTAGTACCCTGGGGCGCCTCAGCACACGGTTTGGGAACCACAGTTGTGTTACTTAGGATTCTTTGTGACAACAACTCAAATGACTAGAAGTCAGAAAAGGAAAAGGAGGGTTATTTTAAGGATACAGGACAGGGGGAGGTTGTCAGAACCTGTGGACAGACAGAAGGGGACAGACACCCAGAACTGCCAAGCAAGTAATACTCTTTCTTGTTTCTCATTTCTGCTTCTCTCCTTCACACTGTAGAGTCTGGCTACCCTCCAGCTTTGCTGTTGTAAACAGCTCTTACCACATGGAAAGACTGTCTCAATTCCAAATTCCCAGAGGTGAGACTCTGACCCAGTTTGGCCCCACCCCTGGCCAGATAAACTTTAGCAAGAGGAGTGGTGTCTCAGAGTATAAATACGGGTGGAGGTATATCTTTAAATACACAGAAATAATCTCAAGATTCTCCCTAGTCTTTCTCCCTAGCAGTTCCTTGCTTCTGGACACATCTACACCACAGTGATTCTGTTTCTTAAGGCTCTGCTTTAACCTGTCTTCTGTGTCAGGAAGACCACAGGACGGAGTTCAACTCACATCCCTGGTGTATAATCAGGTTCTGAATGATTAGACTTCAGCAAATCTGTGGACCCAAATGATGCTTTTGAAGGCTTCTGTCCCATAAGCTTTCCCCGTACTTTAAGTTAAGGTCACAGTTCAGTTATCATTGGTGAATAAATTGGGACAAGGAACACTTGAAAGGTGGTGGTGAAGGATGCTATGAAGAAGGTAGAGGGCGCTAGAGACAAACATCACAGCTTTACTTACCAGGGATAAGAAATACCTAGCCAAGCAAAGAAAGTTGGAAGTGTGTTCTAGACGGATCAAGAATGACCCAAAGGTCATAAATTTTGACAGTGGAAATAGCTTGTCTCTGTTCCATGTTATCTAGGACATGGGTTTGAAATCTTCGAACGGCTGGGTGTAACTAAACTTGCCGGGAGGTCATATCATCCGAATACTTCTTCCCTCACATGTCTGATGTCTGACCTGGGATTACTCAAAAGCTGAGCTCAGCTGAGACTGGCAACTGGAGTGCCCGAGTGGTCTGTGTTGTCTCAGGGCACAGGCTTTGACTTCTTAGTTTTTTTTGTAAGCGCATCCATCACCAGAGTAGCACCATGAAGCCAGAGAATGCACGTTATTTCATTCCCAGCACCTGGTATAGTGCTTGGGATAGAACAGGTGTTCAAGAAATATTTGTTGGCTGGGTGAATGGAGGAGGGTAGAAGGTCAAGGTGCTTCACATCTAAGGGCCTCAGTTTTCTCAGAGATGTAAGAGGTAAGATCTTCCTCTGAAAATTAGAGGAGATGGATGTTAAGAAGTGGGTGAATGTTTTTAAAAAAATTTTTTAATGTTTGATTTATTTCTAGGAGAGAGAGAGAGAGACAGCGTGAGCAGGGGAGGGTCAGAGAGAGAGGGAGTCACAGACTCTGAAACAGGCTCCAGGCTCTGAGCTGGCAGTCAGCACAGAGCCCGACGCAGGGCTCGAACCCACGAACGCAAGATCATGACCTAAGCAAAAGTCGGACGCTTAACCGACTAAGCCACCCAGGAGCCCCAAGAAGTGGGTGAATGTTTTAGCAACTTGCGGAGGGAGAGGGGCAAGTAGAAGGACAATGCCATGATGTACATCATCACAGAATTTTCTGAAGCACAGGCTTCCACCAGGGTGAACACAGAGAGCAGTTTGTTATGATGACCAAGAGTTTGAATTTAACTCAGAGCTGGCATAGGTTTAGGGTGATAAAGGGATTTCAAAATGCTTAAGAAAGAGTGGCCCAGGTGAGCAACTAGGACACCAGCATCCTAGGAAAGAAAATGAGGAAGCTGGTGGGAAATGGAGGAAAGGAGGAAGGAGGAGCCAACCAGGTATCAGGTCCAAGGGCAAAGATGACTAAAGTAAGGGGAGAGCTGGAAGGCTAGAAAGCCATGGTCAGAAGGTAGGGTACTGGAATTTAAGATTTCTTATGTGCATCAAATTCAGGTGGTACAAATTCCAGGGTGCGGTCAGTATGTGGATGGCCGAAGTGCAAGCTTCAATAACCAAGGAGCGGTACGTCTTTATTTGAACATTTCCCAGGAAGCTCTGGAGGAAAGAAAATTTGGGGTGTTGGTGTTTTCTGTGAGCTACTGTGTCTCTATTCCCAACACGAGTCTGTTTTAGTGGAAACGGGCTTCAGGATCTTTCTGTTGCAGTAATCAAACCTCTAGAAACTGGCTTATTACTAAAATGCTGCTTAGTTAAAACAGTGCCCACATTTCTTTGATTCCTTTTTCATTCTCTTTGGAGTTCTTTAATCCACTGGTAATGAATTAGATGCAGGGAGCAGTTAACTGTGTTGGAGATGCTTAATTGGATTAGGGATATCCTATTGGATTAGGGATATCCAAGATGCAAGAACATTCAGAAGTTAATATAGATATACAGAGCATTAGAGTCCAAATAATAGTAATTACACACACTTCTGTACCATTTCCGATTTACCACGTGCTGAGCTAAGGGCTTTACATACACAAGATCATTTAATCCCCCCTAAAGCTCTTTGAAATAGGCACAATCGTTGTCTCCAGCTTAGAGATGAAGAAACTGAGACCATGAGGAGTCAAATAACTTGCCTAGAGGTCACATCGCTAGCAAATGGCAAAGCCAAGATTTGATCCCAGGTATACACTGCAAATACAGCAGTGAGGTAGCTCGCTCTTCTTCCCCTCTGAAGAAGAAACAGGGGCTAATTAATAATTTACTTGCTCAAAGCTAATAAATAGTGGAGCTAGAGTCCCACCGTGGGCCGTCTGAGCTGCTAACCTCGCACCCATGATAGCTCATTCATCCAGACTGACCTTCAGTTGTGAGAATGATCTCTGGCCTTTGCAGTCTCCCTTCGTGGAGGGACAGGTTTGGAAAACCTTAGTGGTGGGAGGGGGTAGTTGCTCAACACATGTTTGTGCAATAAACAAAAAAAAAAAAAAATGAAGATTGCCACACTCCGTGGTGTCACTGTAGGCCAGAAGGTGCATTTTACAGTTGAGTAATTCTAGATAAAGACAGGAACACAGTGTTTACAGGCTGCCTTCGATGGAGGAGAACACAGAAGCCAGGGCAGGGAGAAATACGGGACCCTGAGAGAGAGACTGCAGGAGGTGCCAGCGGCACTGGCACCCCCAGCATGCCAGAAGCCGGGCCTTTCTGCCAATGGGGCTGTGCCCCGCTTGCACAGGCCACTGGCCTGCCTGCATCCCCCCTCCCGCCTCTCATTCGGCTGTGAAAATCCACAGAAACCCCGTGTAGCCCTCAATAAATATTTGTCCAACACGTAGAGGAGTAAAGGCGGGAGAGGGGGCGTGTTCTGAAAGTCTCCCTGCGTCCTCCCCGCCGACCACACCTAGCTAGTCCCTCCCGGATAAAGCTGTCTCCGCCAGGCTCCTGCCCGAGCCGAGGGGCAGGCAGAGTCGCGCGGAGTCATGCCCAGGTACACGGTGCACGTGCGCGGGGAATGGCTGGCCGTGCCCTGCCGGGACGCGCAGCTCACCGTGGGCTGGCTGGGCCGCGAGGCCGTCAGGAGGTACATCAAGAACAAGCCGGACAACGGTGGCTTCGCCTCGGTGGACGACGTGCGCTTCCTCGTGCGCCGGTGCAAGGGCCTGGGCCTCCTGGACAGCGAGGACCCGCTTCAGGTGGCCCTGGAGGACAACGAGTTCGTGGAAGTGGGTGAGTGGCCGGAGGGCGGCGGCCCAGTCCCCGCACCCCTGGGAAGGAGGTCCCAGCGTCCTCGCCGCTGCTCCCCCACCCCGAGGGCCGTGGGAGGGGCATGTGCTGTGCCCTAGGTTCCCACACGTGCCCGGGATAGGATTCTCGTCCCCCTTTTAGCATGAAGCAGCAGACCCAGAAACGAGGTGGCTTATCCATGGTCGTGCCGCTAGGAAGTACCAATGCCCTTGCAGTTACAGAACCATCGTGAAGATCCTTCTGCCCTTCAGAAGCACCTCAGCGGACCTGCGGCCAGTGGCCTAAGCGGTTCAGATTTACTACAAACTAAACCGGGGGTGGGGATAGGGGTAAGGGTGGGGATTAGATCTTGAGCTTCTGTGTAAACCCGGGTCCACACCTGATATCTGCATCTCAGCATTTGCCTCTTCTTTGTAAAGACAATCGGAGCAACTTGAAGGCCTCTGAAGTGGTTTTAAAGCAGCCATTTCTGTAGAAGTCAGAGGCATGGGAAAAGCCCTTTCTTGGTTTACCGGCAACAATGAGCCTCTCCTTTGCTATCTATCGGTAAGGAGCCTCTCTTGCGTTCTTGTTTCAGTTATAGAAGGGGATGCCATGTCTCCAGACTTCATTCCATCACAACCAGAAGGAGTTTACCTGTATCCTTTCCTGCAGGCTGGTGGGTCTGGGCTGGGGGCTGCCCCGGCCAGTGGGGCGGGGCGTTCCCGCTACCCAGTGTTCTCCTTTACCCGGCTGCAGATACAGCAAATACCGGGAGCCTGAAAAGGTAGGCTTCTAGCCATGCTCTGTTTGTAAAGACAATTAAGCCCCCCTTACTTAAAGAGGGGTAGGGCCAGCAAAATCTGTGAGTGAACACTATCAGGACAGGGCTTTATCCTGCCCTGTGGAGTAGGGAAATGCATCAATTATGCTCTTCCATTGCTAGCTTTCTTTACTCCGCCTTCTCCTGAACAAGCTGTCGTTTAAACTAGGACATGAATGTGTCAGAGCAGAGGTAAAATCTCTCAAGTGCCCAAAGGTAGTTTTGCTTGAGGCTTCCCTACTCTCTTGTTCAAGCGGCCAAGCTGCTCAGGTTCATAGAGGTTCTCTCGTGCAGTACATCGCCTTAGATGGGGACAGCCTGACCACAGAGGATCTGGTCAACTTGGGAAAAGGACACTACAAAATAAAGGTATGGGGGCGGGTGGGGAAGGATGCCCTCTGACCTTTTTCACTGCGTATGGAAGTTTCCAACATGCTCTGCTTTGACCAACGTTTTCCTAGCTCACCCCAGTTGCTGAAAAGAAGGTGCAAAAATCCAGAGAGGTCATAGATAGCATCATAAAAGAAAAAACTGGTATCATTTTCTCTTTGTGTCATACAATTCTTTTTATTGACTTAACACAATGGCCTGCATCTAATTGTTCAATGTCTGTTTTTTTGTTGTAGTTGTTTACGGTATCACTACAGGTTTTGGGAAATTTGCCAGAACTATAATTCCTGTCAATAAGCTAGAGTAAGTCTGATTCCCACCCTCCTTAGCAAACACAAGCATTCACATGCTACCTGTCCCTATCCTTGAGACTTCTTTCCACAAGAGAAATAGTTAACATTTGCCCCAATTTCCAGATGAGGAGGATAAGTCTCCTGTTAACTTGTATACGAGTTGGCATTGAAAACACAGGCTTGCTGCTTCCTTCCATGGCACCACGGCGCCTTATTCTGTCTCTCCAAAGATTCAACTGTTCTTCCCTTCATTTTCCCGCCCGAGGGAACATTTTCACTGTGAGGTATCTAAGAGAGGTTTTCCCTTTCTCTTCCAGAGAGCTCCAGGTCAACCTAGTACGTTCACATTCTTCAGGTAAATCATTCCAAACAGAGTGAGGCATCCTGTAACAGCCGTGAATAGCTAATGCATTCCAAGAACTAGTGCCAGTTCTGCTTCAGGAGGAAGGGAAAGAGGAAAGCATCAGACAAGACCACCTTTCAGCTGAGTCTAAGAAAAAGGAATGGACAAGGTGGAGAGATGGGGTTGGGGCAGGAGCATGTATACTATCATGCCAAGAGAGAGGTGTATTCAGGGAATGAAATTAAGGCTGGAATTCAGGGAATGAGTTGATCGGGACGAGCTGAGATGGGAAAGTCTATCAAGAATCCAGTCCCACCAGCAAGGGAGCTGGTGCTGAGGAGGCTAGATGCTACTCTAAGGGTGTTGGGGAGTATGGGGCTCACTGAAGCGTTCTAGGAAAAGAGAACTGAGAAGGCAAAACTGGGGATTCAGGTTTTTCTAGAAGATGGGACTTTAAGAAACAGGACAACCAGGAAGGAAAGCAGTACAACTATCCGAGTCAAGAAGAGAAAGGTGGTAGGAGACTGTACTGAAATGAAACAAGATTTGAGAGATGGAGGTAGAAAAGATTTCTAGGAGAAAACATCAATTCTGTTTCACAGGTGTTGGGAAACCACTGATCCCTGAGAGATGTCGGATGCTCCTGGCTTTAAGGATCAATGTCTTAGCCAAAGGATACAGTGGCATTTCCCTGGAGACCCTCAAGCAAGTTATCGAAGTATTTAATGGTAAAGCCATGGATCCCCAGTCTGACCCTCCACTGAAGCTGGGCATTTACCACAGGTAGACTTGGTTGATGGCATGGTGAGGACCAAGAGAGACAAGATGATATAGAATAATGGAGACGAATGGAAAGGGGCTTGGTGAGAAGGAGAATACCTGAGGGGAGAAGGGTGGGGACAGAAATGCTTACTCCTGTGTACCTTCGACTAACTCTTTATCACCCTTCACTTAGTATTTGGCATCTTTAAGTCTGGAACAATCCCCTTAAGTCTGGCTCAAAGCTCAGAGCTGGAAAGAACCTTTAAGTCAGTGATGCCCAGATGTGGTTAGAGAAGTTGCATCAAATCATCTGGAAAGCACAATGGTTCCTGGATGTCTATCACAACGACCAATTCAGTAGCTCTGTTTAGTGCCCGGGAATCTGACATCTTAATGCTCCCCAGATAGTGGGATACCCAGATTTAAATAAGTGAAATTTAACTTCTTGCAAAGATATGAACAGAAGCATAAAGAGATCAAAGACTTGCTTTGGACCAGGAAGCCATCTCGTGCCAGCGTACACTACAGTTCAGCTCTTTGGGTCTTACATCTCAGGATAGAAAACTTCCAATGTGGAGACAAGATTCGAAATACTTAGAAGGCCACTGTCCCTTCTCACAGATAAGGATAAACATTATAGATCAGCACAGGCTTGGGAAACTCTTTGGGGTGAAGGTATTTGGGGTATGTATGGGTCTACATGGCTCTGCTGAGCAGACCAGTAATGATCCCACCACCAGTCTCTACTCCTACTCTGGTCTTCTCTGGAATCTCAGATAGTACACCTTTGGCTATAAACCTACCTATGCTTTATGGGTGAGTCCAGGGCTCCTTTGGATCCCTAGAGTTCTGAGAATTCCCTGGGTGAACTAAGATCTGGAAGCTGGCCTGTGGATGACACTGCTTCATCCTATTAATATTATTTACAGTTGGAAAACACACTGCTATAGGAGTCTGCGTTTGCTTTAGAAAAAAGAGGACTTTTTTTTTTTTTGTACTGAGAATATTCTCCAAAATAGTACATGTCTGCTTATAAGTGGTGGTAAGGTAGCAGGCTGGGTGCCTAGGAACCTGGGCAAAAATAGAAAAAAGGAACTATGTTGTCTACGCTTACCTCCTCAGAGAACCCCTGTGAATACTTTGGTATGCCTTATCCTTCTAGAACATTTTATATTACTTTTCTAACATAAACATTTCCATGTTTCCAGGCAATCTCTGATAGTGTTTTGTTTGGTATTTTTTTTCTCCAATAGGTTTTAATAGCTGCACATACTCTTTGGTTATATGAAAGTCTCTTCATTCTTTTTAATTTTTTAATGTTTATTTATTTTTGAGAGAGAGAGTGTGAGAGGGTGTGAGCAGGGGAGGGGCAGAGGGAGAGGGAGACACAGAATCTGAAACAGGCTCCAGGCTCTAAGCTGTCAGCACAGAGCCCGACGCGGGGCTCTAACCCACAAACCATGAGATCATGACCTGAGCTGAAGTCGGATGCTTAACCAACTAAGCTGCCCAAGCCCCAAAAATCTCTTAGTTCATTTCTTTTTGTTCTCAGAACCAAGGCTGTAATGAAAAACAGCTAACTCTTGAAATTTTAGGTACATTGTTACAATCCCTAAAAATTTCTAGGTCTGATTAGAACATGTACAGTAAAAGCAAAGGGGCAGAAGACCAGGAAGGAGGAAAAACTTAAAGGAATAGATAATCCTTATGGGGATATGGGTTTCAGATCACCTTTCTTCCATGCAGCCTGATCTGTATTAGTCCCCTATGTACAGTGTCCCTCCCCCCCCCCCAACCAGCTTCACACAGCAAATCTTAGCATGTCCTGGCTATAATCTGTAATGCTTCCCATTGTCCCTAGAAAAGAGCCTAAACTTATAAAAAATAAAGTTTCGTATGCTGTACCTTTCCTCCTCATGCCTTATTCATTCCATAAATTGAAGCTTGTATCTCCCACCCCCTTCACCCATTTTGCCCAATGCCCCCACCCCCATCAACCATCAATTTATTTTCTGTATTTATGAGTTTGTTTCGGGTTTTGTTTTGTTTTGTTTTTTAGATTCCACATATAAGTGGACTGGTAATGTCTGTCTCACTGATTTTATTACCCACTAATAATACCCATTAAGTCCATCTACAATGTCACAAATGGCAGGGTCTCATTATTTGTTATGGCTGAGCAATATTCCATTGGATATAAATACTACCTCTTCTTTATCCATTCATCTATCAATGGACATTTGGGCTGCTTCCATGTCTTGACTATTGCAAATAGTGCTACTGTTAACATAGGGGTGGTGTATGTCTTTTCAAATCAGTGTTTTCATTTCCTTTGGGTACATACCCAGTAGTACAATTGCTGCGTCATGTAGTAGTTCTGTTTTTAATTTTTTGAGGAGATTCCGTACATTGTCCCCAGTGGCTGCACCAGTTTGCATTCCCACTAGCAGCTCACAGAGGTTCCCTTTTCTCCACATCCTCACCAATATTTGTTGTTTCTGAGTTGTTTATTTTAGCCATTTTGCCAGGTTGTGAGGTGATAGCTCGCTGTGGTTTTGATTTGCATTCCCTGATGATTAGTAATACTGAGTATCTTTTTATGTGTCTGTTGGCCTTCTGTATGTCTTCGTTGAAACAAAAATGGCTATTCAGGCCCTCTGCCCACTTTTTAATTGGATTATTTGGTTTTTCTGGTGTTGAGATGTATAAGTTCTTTATATAGTTTGCGTGTTAACCCTTTATCAGCCATATCATTTTCAAACACAGCACAGTCAGTAGGTTGCTTTTTCATTTTGTTGATGGCTCCCTTCATTGTGTAAAACTTCTAATTTTGATATAGTCCCAGTAGTTTATTTTTGCTTTTGCTTCCCTTTCCTGAGGAGCCATATCTAGAAAAATGTTGCTAAGACCAATATCAAAGTGATTACTGCCTGTGTTTTCCTTCTAGGAGTTTTATGGTTTCAGGTCTCACATTTAGGTCTTTAGTCCATTTTGTGTTAAGTTTTGTGTATGGTGTGAGAAAGTGGACTAGTTTTCCCAGCCTCAGACAAGACTGTCTTCCCCATTATATATTCTTATCTCCTTTGCCATTGATTTATTGACCATATAGGCATAGATTTATTTCTGGGCTGTCTATTCTGTTCCATTGATCTGTTTGTCCATTTCTGTGCCAGTGCCATATATTTTGATTACTACAGCTGTGATGTGTATCTTGAAATCTGAGATTGTGATATCTCCAGCTTTGTTCTTCTTCCTCAAGTTTGCTTTGGCTATTTGGAATCTTTTGTGGTTCCATACAAATTTTTGGATTGAAAAATGCCAGTGATGCTTTGATAGAAATTGCACTGAACATGTAGATTGCTTTGGTAGTGTGGACATTTTAACAATATCAATTCTTCTACTCCATAGCGCAAAATATATTATTTGTGTTGGCTTCCATTTCTTTCATCAATGTTTTATAGTTTTCAGAGTACATATCTTTACAGTCTAAACTAAAAGTGTCTTATAAGGGAAGGAAGGCCTTTTAGTATTGGGGAGGGTGCTCTCTCCCACCCATCCTCTCTTATTCCCCTCTGCCTTTTTTCTTAATAGCAGTGCACCCAGGTTCATTAAGCATTAATTGTGCTCCAGGAACTGTCTTTCCCCAGGTATTTGTGCCATAAAGTGTTACTAGATCCTATTGGGGGAGGTTGGTCTCCCTGACAACATGAAGTAGCCAGAAATAACCGGTGCCTACTTCTCTCCCAGCCTCCTGCTTGCCCTACGTTCCAGAGAAAGGAACCGTTGGTGCCAGTGGAGACCTTGCGCCACTCTCTCATCTTGCTCTTGGGCTAATTGGAGAAGGGAAGATGTGGTCTCCAAAGAGTGGCTGGGCTGATGCTAAATACGTAAGACTTTAACAACCTACATCTGCAGTAATTGCCCTAGGCTGGACACCAGCTGCACTCGCATACTTTATAGCACTGAATCCTTGCCACAGCCCCATGAGGTAGCCACCATTAGTCAAACTAGGTAAGGCTCTTAGCTTCCATACTTTAATGCTGGTCCTTTGGACGTGATGGTCACCTTGGTGAAAAGGAACAGCAGCCAGTGTTAATCCCAGCTATTTATTCTGCAGCTAAAATGCTTCCAGTGTCTATCACGCACTGTTGCAAATTTACTCACAGTCTCACAGTGTAGCGCTGTGGATCATAGTATTGCTGTATGACCTCTGGAAAGCAGGCTCCATTTTCCTCTAAGCTCCGCCCCCCCAATGGCTAATCAGAAGGGCTTGTTTTTGATAAAGCCTTAATGTTTTCCCCACCCATCTCCAAATTCCTTTAGAGCAGCCCAAAGAATTATCTGAAGTGTCATATCAGGTCAATTGCTGAGAGGTTCCCCAGTAAAGGGGCAGAGGACCCAGGGGAAGGAAGAAGTTAAGGGAACAGATAATCCTAAGGAGGGTACGGGTTCCAGATCACCTTTCTTTCCTCAGCCTGATCTCTATTTCTCTGTACAGTTTTCCCAGTCACCTTAACACAGCAAATTCAAGCATATCCTGGCTCAAGCCTGTAACGCTTCCCATTGTCCTTAGAATAAAGTCTAAATTTAGACTGGTTTATAAGAATCTTGTTGGTCTAATCCCTCCTATTAGAGGGATTACAGAAACTAGAGGTTCCTAGTTCCACAGCTGGGATGTGCTGTGACCAGCATGTGCTCATTCTTCTCTTCTTCACTCACTCCTCTGATAAGTCCTCTGGGAAACTTCCCTCTCTGCTACCCTGGTTCTTTTCCCTCCAAATGCTATTTGCCCTTCCTTTGTGCTATCCTGGTATTTTATGTGCTCATTTTCTAGCAAACCCTACCTACTTCCTTCCTCCTAGACCATTTCACATTCTCTTACTCTGTAAGCATGGGCTCAGGAAGCACAGGAGAAAAAGTGAATCACTAAGGTGGAAACTGAACACAAAGGACCTAAAAACCAAAATTCAGGGTTACTTCTGTAGACACTAAAGCCCCTGATTTAAGTATAACAATTATGTGAGATATAAATCTGCTTTTAGATTAAAGAACAGAACTAGAGAATATACCAGAGTGGATGAACAAAATCAATTCATGAGGTCTACTCTTTTATAAGACAGATCTTTAGGCTTAAGGATATTTCACTGATTCCTTAGGAAATTAGAAAAAGGCTGGTATTTTATTTGATACCCATTTTTATCTTTTTAATCATTCTGCAGGTCTTGGAAGCTCATGGTTTGAAACCAGTTGTTTTGAAACCAAAAGAGGTAAGGAGATTCAAAGAAAACGTATTCATTTTAACGTACACTATTTTCAGCCTTAATGTCAGTCTCACTGATTTCTTAAGATAAATGTGGCTTTCATGTTTGTTAGAATTTTGCCACTGAAGAAAGGACTCATCCATAAGCATTTAAAAGATTCTTCCTGCCACAAATGCTTAGGGGTTCTCTTACTTAATTCAAAGTTCAAACCAGGATCTCTAAGGATCCCTAACGGATGCTATAAGTCAAGATTCCTCAGGGTGCTCTCAGCCAAGACTCTTGGATCAGAAATGTTTTAAGATGTCTTGTCACAATGGTAAGTTAAAGAAGAAATGCTGCTTAATTAGGAGCTAAAGACTTTATATGCAGCTACACTGAAGGTCCATTGTCTTGAGAATGGGGATACTTAACACGTATTACACTTTGGGGGGGGTGGTTTATACTAACAATTTCACATAGGATAGTACTTAATCCTCAAGTCCTTAAATAAGCATTACTGCCCTGCACTTTAGAAAACATAAATAAATGTCATTCAGCTGACTGGTTAACTTTTCTCTTATGGATGCAAAAGATATGAAATCAACTTGTACACAGGTTACAATAAATATGGCAAGGAACTTCTCTCTTTCTTTCCAAAGGGTCTGGCACTCATCAACGGGACACAGATGATCACCTCCCTTGGCTGTGAAGCTGTGGAGAGAGCCAGTGCTATTGCACGTCAGGCTGACATCGTGGCAGCCCTGACCCTTGAGGTGCTGAAGGGCACCACCAAAGCCTTCGATACTGGTCAGCATGGTTCCTCCATCTGGTTGTTACTCAGTCATTCAGAGGTGCTTGGGTGGGCTGGATCAAGTCTTTAAACATGAGTGGTGGGAGTACATGGTAGGAGAAAAAGGGAAAACCCAAGTGTCTATGGCATACACAATACTGCTACAGCTTCATCTAAGTTATGCCACACTTGACGGTTAAAATGACCACATTTTATGGATGCTGACTCTAGAATTCATCCAGAGTTCTGGATCACTCAGGCCCAACTCCCATCAAACTGTGCACTGTCTTGGAAATCTGTTCACAGTGTTTTAGAATTAGAGTAGGATTAAAGTTGGTCTCCATTAGAAAATTGAGATAGAAAAACTATAGAAGTTGTAGTTTACCTGGAAAGTAGTGAATTTGAAAGACTCCCCACCATTCTATATAGTAAGACAGAAAAAGTGTCTAAAACTGATTTAATACTGTCTAAAATTGGCCAGTATGGAGGTCCCTTTCATTAGGAGCCTAAACCTTTGAGGGTAGGCCCAGGGTCCTGAGTTGAATTCCCAGATGGCTTAACACATAGTTTGCACTCAGATATTTAAAGTAGAAAGAATACAAAAGAATGAAATCTGGCCATGTGTAGCAACCTGGATGGACCTTGAGGGTGTTATGCTGAGCAAAAATAAGTCAGGCAGAGAAGGACAAATACCATGTTTGCACATATAGGAGGATTAGGAGGAACTTAACAGAGGACCATGGGGGAGAAGAAGGGGGGAAATAGTGGGGGAGAGGGAGGGAGGCAAACCATGAGAGACTCTTGAATGCTGAGAACAAACTGAGGACTGATGGGTGTGGGGGGGAAGAGGGAGGTGATGGGAATAGAGGAGGGCACTTGTGGGGATGAGCACTGGGTGTTATATGGAAACCAACTTAACAATAAACTATTTTTAATTTTAAAAAGTAAAGTAGAAAGAATACAGTCAATAGGAAAATCTTGCTTTTGGAGTCAAGTTTCTACCTGTGAGTGGTGCTAAGAACCCCTGGGATTTTGAGGGCTCTGGTCAGCACCATGGACGGTTCTGAACCATCAATGGTAGTTCATTCTAATGTAAGAATTGCTCAGACTTGTTCTCCGTCAATTCTAGACATTCATGCTGTTCGCCCTCATCGTGGACAAATTGAAGTTGCTTTTCGGTTTCGGTCACTCTTGGACTCGGATCACCACCCTTCTGAAATAGCAGGTCTGGGCATGTGTATGTGAGAAAGCTTATTTGGTTTTGTGTTTTGTGGGGGGAATAAAACTGATAACTTTGAAAAAAATTGCTGTCCCTTCCACAGAAAGTCACAGGTTCTGTGATCGTGTTCAAGATGCGTACACCTTGCGCTGCTGTCCACAGGTAAACAGACAAAAAGCCTTTTCTTTTTTTCCAGTTCAGGGAGGGATGAATAGAAAAAGATATAAGTGTTAAAATGTCATGTAGTCATCAATTATAATCCAAATTTCTTTACTGCCTCTATGTATGTTATACTTCCTTTTGTCCAATTATTTTAGTTCCCATTCTATGTATTAAGCTGTTTGTTTCCTTTTGAACTGCTTTGCTCAATTCCCTTGTACAGAACCACAAGAAACAACTTGCTGTGTTGGTTTAGTGCTCTAACTTTTTAAAATTCTGAGTAATAACATCATCCTAACCATTAATGGAATTTTACTGGTTCTCCCTTTTAGAGCAAGAACCAGCCTTCCAGAGATGTTTGGAGGAAAGTCTAATCAAAATTCAAGTGCACATCAGGGTTTTACCTTATCTGCATTTAATAAGCAGATATAAACCATCATAAATAAATTTGTGAGGCTTAACGTTAGATTAAAACAATGCAGAAGACCTGAGTGGGCATGTGGCATCTGGTATTGCAAATGTTATAACTCATTTATGAATGGCAATTAGTTGAGTAAGAGATTAACACACATCTCAAGAATCAAACAATATTTGATCTGATGCCAGATTTTGTAGTGTAATAAAGAGTCCTCCCTAGAATAAATACCCTATTTCCTTTAACATAGCAAGTTCTATTTAGCTAGTTGATCAAAATCATCTATGGAAAGGAATTGCTAAATTAGCCATACAATACAAATAAATTCCAGTTTAAAACATACTTGCTCTTTGGGGCACTGGCATGGCTCAGTTGGTTATGTGCCCGAATCCTGATTTTAGCTCATATCATGATCTCATGCTTCATGAGTTTGAGCCCCACATCAGGCTCCATGCTGATAGCATGGTGATAGCATGGAGCCTACTTGAGATTCTCTTTCATTCTCGCTCTGCCCCTCCCCTGCTCATTCTCTCTCTCTCTCTCTCAAAACAAATAAACATTTAAAAAAAAAAACAAACATTCTTACTATTCTAATAAGAATATCAGACCTTTGTGACAGACATCATTATCAATGTTTTCAATGTATTAACTCATTTAATCTTGTATTTTAGGTCCATGGTGTGGTAAATGACACAATAGCGTTTGTGAAGAACATCATTACCACAGAACTTAACAGTGCAACAGATAATCCTGTATCTTTTGACTGCTTGCTAAACTGTAGTTATAGAAATACAGCTAGTAATTTTTAGATATGCTAAAGTGATCATTTTGGGTAGCATCTCTGTTATGTTACTCCATTTCATAGACTTCGTACCTGAGGTTCAGAGGACCCTCAGAGCTGATGAGTGGCAGGGGCAAGTCTGTGACCTAATTTCACTTCAGAGACTAACATGCTGTGCTTTCCAAATGGACTCGTTAAAAGCTAATGGACAGATTTCCAGCATTGGCTGAGAGGTTTCATGAAAACCTTTGCACTAAAACGCATTGCTGAGATCACTGATAGAAGAATGAAAACTCAGGTCATAGATGTGACTGTGGGGATCCTGGGTAGGTTGGCATTAATGCAAGCCTTCCTGGTTCTTGTGATGCATGAAACAGAAGGCAGCTTGTTAACACTTACCAAAATCACAATCAAAGAGTTATGGCTTTCCTCATCTCAAGTTTTTATTTTTGACATGGACTTTACTCAAATTAGTATTTCCATATTTCTACAAAGAATAATAAGAATGCTTCCATTTTTCAAGGTTGGAGCTCTTCTCTCCTTCATGGTGTGGGTATCTTAGCGCCATCTTGTTTTTGCTTTGGAATATTCTTTGATGGTATAGTTCCCCCAGACGTTGATGTGATCAGTTAGAAGTCACAATGGCAAAGTTTCACAGAGATCTGCAATATTGCCTTTAAAGACCACCCCACCCTTAGGGATATATGCCTTTCTATCCTATGTCTGCCTCATTTCCTAATACTGGACAAAGTGCTGAGTTAGCAACCCTGAAAGCACAGTTCATAGCTTACCAGACAGGTTTCACAGCAGCTGTGACCCTTTCATCACACGATCCTTTTAGTGTGGTTGCTCTGACAAGTTTACTTGAGGATGTGTGTTCTATGTCCTCTCAGATTGTTTTACAGTGAAGTTAGACCCACACTAAATAAACTTCAAGCGACTCACCTCAACACATTTCACTCCCCAAAAGGGACTAGCATTTTTATGAAGTCTTGTCTCATCTGTCAATTCTTGCACTGTGAGGAGAGGCATCCTTTCTACACTTACATAATTTAGACCTGAAAGGGTATCTTATAGAGTAAAAAACAAAACAAAACATACGTACACACACACACACACACACACACACACACCAAAAAAACAAAGAATTGCCATTAAATTATTAGATATGGGAGAGGGATAATTCCTTACTAAATCCTTACCCTACCACTCACCCCAGCAAAAGTTTCAGCCAAAAGCCTTTTCCTTTCTCAATAACGATTCTTAATTACTGATGAATTTCCAATAAGGAAATATTTGAAAGTTCTCCTACAATAGTGATGTTACTTGAAAGAGAATAGTCTTCTGAATTTTTCTGTTGTAGATATAGAGCACCTATTACATAGTTGCTAGATGTTATTGGAGCTAAATTCGAATTGCTATAATCTGATAGCCAGCAAACTGGAAAACAACAGAACATGCCAAAGTTGTAAATAGGGGCAGAGATTACTTGCTATAAGGATTCAGAAAATGGAGAAAAGACAAGGGCCTGTGATTGGGGGTGGGTTAGTTGATCTAAACTGTTTTCAGGGAAGGTACTAAGCACTAAATTACTATGGTTGTGGTGCTTGAGAATCTCTAATCTCAAGAAAAAAAAATTTCATGTCCCATGTTTCCTTGGCCCCCAACTGGGTGTACATGATTCATCTTTAAGGTTCTGGATATTTGTTTTGTTTTTGGTTTTTTGTCCCTTTAGGTCAACACCTGGCTCATAGAATCTCCTTCCCTCACCCATATTTGTACAAGGGCTATCAGTGTTACAAATTAGTGGGTTGGAAAGAGTTCTGCAAGTATCCCCTGCTTTTTTGAAAGTTTGCATTACGCCGCTTTGCTTGTATGAAAGACCTACATTAGTACTCATTTTCACTGACTGAAAAAAATCTGAAGCGGTGACAGTCGTATCACTGAGCTCCTTACCTGGGAACTACACCCAGCATCTCAGCGTCAAGCTGCCATTGCTTTGAACTATATGAACATCTGTGCTTTATCTTATCTTAATTTATTTTATTCATCCATTAGCAAGATGTGTCCTATGGTATCAGAAAGCTAAAAGAGGTTATTTTGAGGGTCTGGGACTCCTCAAAAAATTTTCCCCGTAAATTAATGGTAAGCACTTCTTCACTTATGCCATTTTGGTTTAGAAAAGATTATCATAGGAACACTCTACTTTCGGATAGCGGGGGAGACCTGTGCTTGCAGTGATCAGCAAATGTTACATTCAAGCCTTAACCTGTTTTGAAAGATGGTATTTGCCAGTAGGGGCGAGACTATTTCTGGAGGAAACTTCCATGGTGAATACCCAGCCAAAGTAAGCTTTTTAGAATTGCTCCTGACACTGAAAGCAGATTCCAACTTAGGCTCAGTTCAACTGAATTGAAACACTTCTTTCCAGGCCCTGGACTATTTGGCCATTGGAGTTCATGAGCTTGCTGCTATTAGTGAAAGAAGAATCGAAAGGCTCTGTAACCCCTCCCTCAGCGAGCTGCCTGCCTTCCTGGTTGCTGAGGGGGGTCTGAACTCGGGATTCATGATTGCACATTGTACGGCCGCAGCCCTCGGTAAGAACACTGCCCGCTTCTCAGAACGCAAGCCTGTCCTTTTTATTTGAAAGTGTCAAATTTATCCTTGAATGAGGTTTTCTCCCACTTCATTTGCATCCTACCTGTCTCAACTCAAATGCACAAGGAAGCCTATTTTAGAAAAAAAAATAGATATATAAAATAAAATCTAAACAAAGTTAAACTAAAACAGAATAATACCCTAATGAGCTTGTAAATACTGAGGTTTCCACAATTTCTCTGTAGGAAGCAATTTAACATCACATACAAATGTCATGTTTGTAGCTTTTTCCTGAAATCACAATTTGGAGACTGTCAGAAGGAAAAAGGCAAAGATATGTGTAATTAAGGTGAAACATGAACTGACCTGAATGATTAAACGTTGGATACATTCCATTAGATATACTGACACCTAAGAACATAAGGATGTGATTACAATATGCAAAAATGCTTATAAGAAGCAAGATGCCCTCTATGAGAACTGAGGGTCAGTGTCACTGATTTCTGAATTAAAACTGTAAGTAACACATCAGAATAGGGCCTGGTACAAAGGACCTGCTAAGGGCTTCATTTATATTTACTCACTTCATGATCACAACAATACTGTGAGGCAGGCACTATTATTACCCCCATTGTATAGATGAATACCCAAAGATCTGAGAAGTTAGGTGACTTACCCAACATTGAACAGCTAGTAAGTAGAACTGAATTCAAACCCAGGCACTTTTGTTCTAAAATCTATGCTCTGACTTCCATCAATGCAGATCTCATTTTAATGAGTACAAAATCCTAATATGGCTGCCAAATAGAAATGCAAGATGCCCAGTTAGATTTGAATTACTTGAGATATACTTATACTAAAAAATTACTTGTTTTTTTTAACTGAAAGTCAAAGTTAATTGAGCATTCTGTATTTTTTCTGGCAAACCTATGCAAGAGGCAGGATATTGTGTGGTTAGTTAAGAGCATAGACTCTGGGTCCAAATCCCAACTCTGCCATTTACCAGGAGTATGGTATGGAGCAAGTTTCTTAATCCTATTAACCCTTGGTTTACTCTTCTGTAAAATGGGGGCTGATAAATTTACCTAATGGGCTAATTTGAGGGTTAAATGAATTAATGCATACTAGGCCTCAGGATTATGCCTGGCATGTCTCTAAGCACTAAATAAATATTAGTTGCTATTAATATTACTCCTAACCCTTTCCTCACCGAAGCCTCACATGGAAACTCAACAAAACCAACATAGTCCCTGAATTCATTGTGTCCTCTGTCAAGGATCTTCTATTTGCTCACTTAACCCCCTTATTAAAATACTCCCTTAAAGGGTAGTGGCTTCTTACATTAACATAGGGAGGTTGTAGTTGATTTCTAGAAAACATTAGGGACTTCAGAAAGCTACATTTGAATGTGTCTGGCTTCCCTAAACTGCCTACTGAAGTTGCTCAACTTGCTTTCTTTATAATGAAATGGGTAGTTTTCTTTTTGGGGGACATGAAACTTCTCTTTCTGAAAGAGCCTCACCACAGCCTGCTTATCCATCTAGGGTCACAGGACCTGGGCCTTGAAGTGCTGAAACCTTGCAAGCCCTGGGCAGACCAGGATGAGCTGACACCTTAGTTCATGTAGCTAGATTACCTCAGGTAACCACTGAAGTCTCACCCAGCCACTCTCAGGGTCAAAAATGCAGGGGAGAAAACTTGAGTTTGGCCTTCCCTGGCTTCCGGAGCTGGGAAGGAGCTCTGTAATCTAGGCCCTCCATACTAACAGTGTTGTCTTCGAGCCAAAAATCCAGCCATCAGCTGGAGCTTATTAGCACAGCAGACTCTCAGCAGCACTCAAAACTCAACATCTGCATTTTGACAAGATGAAGGGAGTCATAACGCACAATACAGTTTGGGAGCCACCAATCTAGGCCATCACTGGGATTTCATCCACCTCCCCAAGTTATCTCAGGCAGTCATGAAGCCCTTGCTTCAACCCAGCTTCACTTATATCATCACTGAACAGTCTGAACTGTAAAATGTCCTTACTCAAGATCTGTGGGTCCAGTCTCCATCCCCAAATACAACCCTGAGTTCCAATGCCTCCTCTGGTGACACTACCAGTCAGTTGTTCTTGAGAATGCAGAAAAGACCATCATGTCTTTTTTTTCCTAGTCTCCCTAGCGTGCTAAATGTTTCCTGTTTTCAACTGGGGTTTGTAATATTAAGATTCCCATCTGGTCTTATCTCAGAATTCACTATTGACTCCAAGTTCTTCTCACTTTGATACAAACCCAACCTGCTTCCATTTCCCAAAATAATTTTGGACCATCTGGCACTTGGATAACAACCCAGAGATCCTGGAGAGGATACTCCATGACGTTGGGCACAGGGAGAAGCCAACATGGCAATTTTTCCTATTAGAAGCATATTTAACTTGCACGGCCTCTTGCAGTTTCTGAGAACAAGGCTCTGTGCCACCCCTCGTCGGTGGACTCTCTCTCCACCAGCGCTGCCACAGAGGACCATGTCTCCATGGGAGGATGGGCAGCAAGGAAGGCACTTCGGGTCATCGAGCACGTGGAGCAAGGTAAACCCAGCCATTGTGGGACGGCAAGCAAGCCTCTCTGATTAACTACTACATCTGTGAGCCTCAAAATAGGGAGCATCAGCATCACCCAGGAACCTGTGAGAAAGGCAGATTCTTAGGGCCCTCCCAAGACCTACTAAAGTAGAAACTCTAGGGAGGGAACAGAACAATCTGGCTTAACAAGTCTTCCAGGTGATGCTGATGCTCGCTGAAAATTATGTACCACACCTGCTGACCTAGCAGGTTTATTGGTTGGCTTTATTTTTCAAACAATTTAAAATATATTCAGAAGAGAAGAGATTAGTACCGAGAGCCCTTATTTATACCTCACTCGACTCAACAGAACATTTGCTTCATTTTTTCTTTTTCCGTTCTCAAGTTATTTTCAAACAAACCTCATCATATTATTTCCGTCCTGCATTCTTTATCCCTTAAATATGAACACATTTTTCAACGGGCAGAGCCCTCAGGTGCCCTTGTTTTGTTTTGTTTTTTTAAAAAGGGATTACCGGGGCGCCTGGGTGGCTTAGTCGGTTAAGCGTCCGACTTTCACTTAGGTCATGATCTCGCGGTTCGTGGGTTCGAGCCCCGCGTCGGGCTCTGTGCTGACTGCCAGCTCAGAGCCTGGAGCCTGTTTCAGAGTCTGTATCTCCCCCTCTCTCTGATCACTACAGTAACTCCCCGTTACCCCCGGGGAAACGTTCCAGGACCACGAGTGGATGCCTGACACCACGGGTGGTACCAATTCCTATGTATACCGTGTTTTTTCCTGTACACACATACCTATGATAACGTTATTTTATAAATTAGGCACAGTAAGATAGTAACAAGAACAATAAAATAGAATAATCATAACAATATATTGAAATAAAAGTTGTGTGAATGTGAACCCTCTCAAAATATCTTACTGTACTCACCCTTTCTTGTCACTATGTGAGGTGATAAAACGCCTACGGACGAGATGAAGTGAGGTGAATGTCGCAGGCGTTGTGACGCAGCGTTAGGCTACTATTGACCTGATGATTCGTCAGAAAGAGGAATCTGACGAATCATCAGGATCACCTGCTTCCAGACCGTAGTTGATTACGGCAACCCAAACTGTGGAAAGCGAAACAGCAGATAAGCAAAGACTATGGTATTTTAAGATAAATGTGGGAGAGCTGAGTATTCTTTTTAACAGCTGTATTGAGATATAATTTACATACCATACAATCACCCATTTAAATTGTACACTTGAGTTGTTACTAGTATATTCACAGAATTGTGCAATCACTACCACAAATTTTAGAACATTTTCATCACCTCAGAAAGAAACCTTGTACCCTTTACCTATCACTCTCCTATTCTCCTACCCTGTCCACAGGCTTATGCACCCACTAATGTACTTTCTCTCTCTATGGATTTGCCTATTCTGGACATTTCATGTAAATGTCACACAGTATATGGCCTTTTGTATCTGGCTTCTTTCAGTCACTATAATGTGTTCAGGGCTCATCCATGTTGTAGCATGTATTAGTACTTCATTCCTTTTTATGGCCACATATTCCATTTTGTGGATTTACCACATTTTGTTTATCCATTCATCAGTTGAGAGATGTTTGGGTTTTGTCCACCTTTTGCCTAATATGAATAATGCTGCTACAGACATTTGTGTACAAGTTTTTATGAAGACCTATGTTTTCATTTCTCTAGGGTGGAATTGCCAAGTCATATGGTAACTTATGTTCATCTTTTTGAGGAACTGCCAGACTGTTTTCCAAAGTGGCCGTACCATGTTACATTCCTACCAGCAGTGTGTGAGAGTTCTGAATTTTCCACATCCTCACCAACACTTGTTATTAACTGCCTACCAGAGTGTGTTGTTCCTAATGTTCTTCCTTGAGATGGTCTCCCCATTGAACATGGGCCAAAAGGCTAAGGAGTCACCCTTATCCGACTCCTGTCCAGATCAGATCTTCTATCCAATTTTTAGCAAATTAAACTTATCATCAAAAGACAGCAAATCAAGGTGCCATCATCTACTTTTGACTGATGTCTCCTTGAATTTACTACAGTTCTTCCACAGTCACCACATACAATAATCCAGATGAACTTCTTAAAATGCAGTTTTGATCACACCATGTTCCTGCTCAAATTTGCCAAGGTGCTTCATCGTACTCAAAACAAAATCCAGCCCCCTCCCTGTGGCCCCCAAAGATCATGCATTATCTGGCTTCTAGCTCTCTCTGGCACCTGTCTCCTTTCCCTTCTCTACCCTGGAGGCACAGTGTTATTCTTGTACCTGCCAGTACCCTCAGCGCCTGTGTCCTTGCTGGTCTCTCTGCCTGCAACATTGTTCCCCAAGGACTTCACACGCTTCGCTTCTTCACTCTACTTTTGTAGCTGCTCAGATTTCACCTCAGATGCCTTCCCTGTCCAGCCCGGTTCAACTTCTCAAATTTTCCAATACCTTACATATGAAGTGAGGCGACTAGACTAGAAGATGTAAAGTTTCTTCCAGGTCCAAAATAGATTGTTTTACTTCATCCTCTCCAATTGTGACTTGTCTGTACTCACCAGAGTTTGTGATGTGATTCATAAATTCTAAGACAAAAAGTCAAATATTTTCAATACTCCATTTCAGTTAACCACTTAAATGGTTTGATCAACTTTATGCTTCTAAACTATTTTTTTCTTGGCAAATAATGGAATCCAAGTGTAGAGAAACTTAGATGTCAATATTAAAGTCGATCACAAGGTATGGTACATTTAATAAGTTCTTAAGTAGGAAAAACCTATTTAAGAATTGTTTTATCAAGAAACCTAAAGTTGGCAAAATATCAATTTCTAGAATTTCACTTAAGAAAATATTTAATATTTATTTTTGTAAGAGAGAAAGACAGAATGGGACCAGAAGAGGGACAGAGAGAGGGAGACACATAATCTGAGGCAGGCTCGAGGATCTGAGCTGTTAGCCCAGAGCCCGATGTGGGACTCGAACTCACAAACCATGAGATCATGACCTGAGCTGAAGTTGGGAAGCTTAACCAAGTGAGGTTCCCCTAGAATTTCAGTTTTAATGGGCCTGGGAGCTTTTGAGTTTGAAGGTTTGAAATGAGCATTATAGAATTAGTCCCAGAACAACAAAAAACTCATTTTCTCATTCACTGTCTCCTTCAATCCTTTAATGAAAGTCTATTGCCAGATATTTCAAGCCAAAAAAATAGCAAGACTGAAAATAAATTGAAATTTATGCAAAGGTAGAAATCGGACAAAGGTGTCATCCATCTTGATCAGATAAGGAGGAAGGGAGGGACTAAGACATTTACCAGGATAATGCTTTCCTTCTCAACATTAAAGATACAGCCAATAGATTAGAAAAGCAAATTTAAGATGGTAACCAAATACCAAAGCAGCTTTATTCTACCACTAGACAGAGAACCAACCATCTCTTAGTTGGCTAACAGTGTCAACTTCCTTGTGAGTTATGTCTCCCGAGCATGAAGTTAGGCTTTAACCATCCATACCCTCCACCTTTCTTGTCGTAGTGCTGGCCATCGAACTTCTGGCAGCCTGCCAGGGCATAGAGTTTCTACGCCCCCTGAGAACAACCACTCCTCTGGAAAAAGTATATGACCTGGTGCGCTCTGTTGTAAGGTAAAGTCAAACAGGTCGATGACATAGTTTCAGATCTGTGAACCCAGCAGTGGTTAATGTTTGGCTGGTGATTTGATGTGCTTTCTTTGTAGGCCCTGGATAAAAGATCGCTTCATGGCCCCAGACATCGAGGCAGCACACAGGCTGCTCCTGGAACAGAAGGCAAGTTGGCCACTTGGCTTACTTCTTAGTTTTGGATCATTATGGGAGAGCAAAGCAGGAGTAGAGAGTGAAGAAATATTGTTTTATTCTTTTGTTTCTTGTTTATGCCTTGAATATGAACAAAAAGGAATTTATGCAACTTCCAAGGCCACGAAAAAGCTATCTGATAACCTCTTAAGTGTCCCATGTTGTACCCAAACATTGAATATCTAACGATTATAAACTGATATAATTTTAAATGGAGTTTGGGACAGGTATTCACGGGGAGAAAATGATATGAAAGTTTCATGGATCCCCTTAACCAAGAACATTCTCTTTCATTCAAAAGTACATTCTCTTTCTGTGATGCTATCACCACCACCTCCAACTGGTCCAATGACTAAATAGACCTGAAGAGAAAACGAAGTCCCAGGTTTTTACTTCAAAGGTCTTTAGGTCTGTCTACTGCTGTGGTATGTCCCACCCTATTATCACCTTGAGTAAGATACTATGGGTTCTCTTTACTGCTTATTTCCTCTGGCTTCATTGACTAGAAATTTCTCTGATAGAGACAGATGCCTCACAGGCTGACTCATTTTTTAAATATATTGTTTAAAGTTCTTTAAGGCTTTTGTAATAATTTGTGAGTATCATGTTCTCTAGAATTTCTTGATTTCCCCTGGAACCATTGCTCTGCTCTTGGGGAATGATTTTTCCCTTTGATCTTCATATCCGTCATTTCTAAGTGTGCTCTACATCCTTTGAGGGGATGCCCCCTGCCTGCTGCCAACTTTGGTGCTTGTAGAGAGGTAAATGAGAGAGGTTAGCCTTTTTATTTATTCATTGAAATATAACTGACATATAACATTATATTCATTTCAGGAGCATAACATAATGGCTTAATATTTGTATATATTGCAAAATGATCACCATAATAAATCTAATAAACATCTGTCACCATACATAATTACAGTTTCTTCTTATGAGGAGAACTTTTAAGATCTAATCTCTGAGTAACTTTCAAATATATAATATAATATTATTAACTATAGTCACCATGTTGTATACTATATCCCCCAGCACATATTTATTTTATAATTGGAGGTTTGTACCTTTTGACCCCCTTTACCCATATTGCTCACCCTCTACCCCCCCAACTTTGGCAGCCACCAATCTATTCTATGAGCTCAGTTTCTGTTGTTGTGGCTGATATTTAGATTCCACATGTAAGTGAGATCCTACATTATTTGTCTTTCTGTGATTCATTTCACTTAGTATACTGCTCTCACAGTCTATCCATGTTGTCACAAATGCCAAGAGTCCTTTCTTTTTTATGGACGATTAATACACCCACAAACACACCACACTGTCTCTATCCATTTATCTGTTACTGAAAACCAAGCTCGGCTGTCCATCGCTTGAAAGGCCAATACTCAAGAGACGAGTTTTGATTAGAAAGGAATATGAGCTTTATTCAGGAGGCTGGCCACCTGGGGAGAAGTAGACTCTGGTCCAAAAGCCAACTCCCAGGTTTCTACCTGGCCCAGAGATCTTTAAAGGGGGTTAATCAGTAAAGGCAGTGCAGTGATCTATGACATTTCTTACTTACACACAGACTCAATGATGTCAGCTACAGAGTTATCTCAGTGCTTAGAGGTTGTGGAAGAAGTTCTAGTTTCTTGGTGCCCAGGGGAGCAGGGGAGCTGCGCAAGGATGTCTGGTTTCTTGGTACCCAGAGATTGTGCAAGAGTACTTTGTTCTTCTGCAAAGGAGGGCAAGATCTACAGATGTGCAAAGGGAGGTCAGTAAAGTTACTTGTGCGATCTTAAAAAAGAAAAACACTTTACTAAAATATTGCTGGGCTGGTTGGAAAGCCAAGGTGCCTTCAAACATACTTGCTGGTCTCTGCAGCCCAGGAAAGTTCTTGATCCTTCATTCCCCAAGGCCAATGGTTGGCAAATCTCAAAGGAAATAAATCAATTCTGTTACAGATCAAGGAGGGCCTTGCAAGCAAGCAAGAAGTGTGTTACCTTAACTCAAGTCAACTCTTAAGACTGGATGGAGTTGTTATATACATCTGTCTGTGGACACTTAGGTTGCTTCCATGTCTTGGCTATTTGTAAATAATGCTACAGTTGAACATGGATGCACGTATCTTTTCAAGGAAGTTAGCCTTTGAAAGAATACATTTTTTAAGGTAATACAAAAGAATAGGAAATGCTCCTTTGTTGTTAGCAGCAAACTGATAAAAAGCCACTATAAACCAAAAACAGGACCTTAACTTAAGGAGACATTATGCTTGAAAGAGAATCGTTTAGTGGGTGGAGGTATAAACAAGAGTCTGAAGCACTGCTTCTCCAACTGTGATGTGCATGTGACTCTCCGAGGGATCTTCTCCCAGATGCTGCCGCCGCTGATCCATGAGTCATCCACTGAGTAGCAAGGGTGTAAGGAGTAGAGCACGTTCAGCATGGAAATCTGGCAAATGAGGAAATCCACTGCCTTACTTAAAACTTGTTTTAGAAAACACATGGTCCTATCTTTGAGCAACTTTCCTGAATGCTGTCCACACTGAATTCTCTAGGCTTTGTGTGTTTGTTGGCTTGTTTTGCTTCAGAAGAATAAGCAGCTGAAAACCTTTGTGGTAACTCCAGAAAGGTTTCAGACTAGCTTTGCGCAGTGGCAGTCTCATAGCCAATGAGGTTTATCCAAGGTGCGATTATTGCTAATAGAAAGGTTTCAGACTTTGTATTTTAAAAGCTGTTAATGCAATCAAAGGGCAATAGACACAGATCATATGTCAAATGGCTTAGAACAAAAGCAAGGAAACAGCCACTATGTGTTTAGTCAGCTATAAATGTTTTGGTCCAATGAAGTTGATGTTCAATGGCACGTGAGAACAGTGTCCTCAACATTTTGACTTTGTTTTGTCCTTCTCAGGTTTGGGAAGTAGCTGCACCATACATAGAAAAATACAGAATGGAGCATATTCCAGAATCCAGACCAGTTTCTCCAACAGCCTTTTCACTGGAATTTCTACATAAGAAATTTGTGAAAATCCCAGAGTCTGGGGATCTTTAATGGGCTTTGTCATGGATTAGCAGATCAGATGATACTTTAACAGCAAGCAATATTATGCTGAAGAAGAGACCTGAGAACTTTCCTGGGTAGATCAATCCATTATATTATTCAGTTCTTTTAAAACCTACTGTGGTTAAAGCTGGTGACCGTATTAGCTGCTAACTGTAGTGCTATGTTCTTGTTGACCTGGTTTGAGACACAGCATCTGTTTTCAGATTATAGTTTTCTTTCTTTCTTAGTATCAACAGGCCACAGGCCACTTAACATTATTTGAATTCAAACAGTTCAAATGGTATCTGGAAACAGATAGATGATATTCTTTTCCAAACACATTAGACTTTTGTAAATCTTTTTTGTTTGTTTGTTTGACAAGCTCTCTACCGGATAACTTTGGCTGATTGAATTATACCACAGTAGATGAATGTTCTTTAATAGGCCTTGATAAACAACTTGTTTTGAAGTCATAATTTGTACTTAAGCTTCTCTTTCTTCTACTAATTGAATTATAGTCAATAGGTCAACAAGAGGTTTTGTGCAAAGGAGCTAAGGAGTGAATATAGAGATTGCCATCAGAGTGGCCCTTATTGATATTTATGAAATATCACTATATATCTCAAGAAAATCTTAGATGCTTAAACTGGAGCTAGAGGTTAGTATTATTACTTTCTTACTATGTGTTAGTACTCTGCTCACATTGCTATAATAACCCTGTGTTAAGGAGCCTCCTGTCTCACAAATAAGGAATCTTATGTTCAAAATTGACCAATCCCTTCTCTCTAATGGTAATCATTAAAACGAGGAATATTGATAAAGGTTGATGGGGCCTTGGAGGTGTTGCCCAATTTGTTTTTTCCTCAAAAAAGAAATTAAGGGTGGGAGGGTGCCTGGGTGGCTTAGTCGGTTAAGCGTCCGACTTTTGCTTAGGTCATGATCTCGCGGTACGTGGGTTCGAGCTCCGCGTCGGGCTCTGTGCTGACTGCCAGCTCATTTGTTTACTGAAATGTTGTTCTTGGCATTGTTGTTTTAACACGCACAAATAGGGTTTATTCATTCCTAACCACTAACTGCATTCGAACCAGTACACCCAGCAGTCTGATGGCGGTTCTTCAGTCCAGTTTGGAGAGTGCTGGATTCCCGCGAGCCACTGGTCTGCTGGGGCACTGTATTATTGAGTTCTTGATACAATTCTGGTAAAAACTGATTATCACATGCCTCTAAGAGAATAATAAGGTAAACATAGAATAAACTCAGTCTCCATTTATTATCTTATATTGTCACTATATTCTTAGGTTTCTATAAGTTTAGCACCTCTTGAGACAAAGCCTATTCTAACTGCAGTTCATCAAGTTTCTGAAAGATTTAGTCAATGAACGTTAACACAGTTAACACATCGCAAAGTGTCTTTAGAAAGTATAATTGATTCATTATCCTTTCTCTTTCTCCCTGAGTAGCAAGAAGAGTTAGTGGTACTGTGACTTCCTCCCCAGCAGGTCCCCTGAGCTGCTTCCCCTGCTGTCTCAGGGCAGCCAGAGGGCAAGCCCCAAAGCTGTAGGGCTTTTACACTTCTACTGTGCCATACTTGCTAATGTCCTTTCGGCCAAAGCAAGTCACACTCTCAAGCCCAAATCAGCCTGGGAGAATAATAGTCAACAGCATGGGCATGTGATTTGCAGGACATTACTGTAACAACTTACCACTCTATGTGAAATCAAAAACATAACCTGAAACATTCAAGACACTTTTCTTTACTACTTTAAACTTGAGTCTCATTTCTGTATCTGGTTACTGGATTATTATATTTTTATTAAACCTTTTAATTATGAATAGCATGATCATTTTGGATTTGGGGTGGTACTTTGGTTGAAGATATTAATTTATTAAATGTACACATTAAAAATACACCAAAAAAAACAAAGCCAGAAAACGAGTTGGAAGAAACATGTTTCAGCCTACAGCATAGGCCTGGTTAGTCACAAAATAGCACATTTCCTTTGCTTAGTGATTAGTTCAAGAAATGGCTGAGGTTGCAATTTGGACCAATGAGACAGATACAAATTTTATCGGAGGCTTTGAGAAAGCATTCTCTCCTAGGAGCCACAGCAGTCAGGCTTTCTCATCCACCCATCTGACTAGAACACCCAGGGCTGTTGACTGCCAGCCCAACCCATTGGGGAATCTGGCCTTGGGGTAACGCCAACACTGGATGACAAAGCAGAGGGAAGGAAGGAATCTGGGTCTTCAACTTAAGGAGCTGCTGGAAAAATCAGTCCTGAAGCCTGTCCTTCAGGTGAATTTCCAAGGCAATCTAATATACCTCCTGATTTTATAAGCCAATTTTCATCCAATTTTGAAGATCATAGCTCTTAGCATCTTCCCTACCACAGTTACTATTTCTGAGGTGCTGTACTAGGGCTGAGGTACATCAATATCACATGTAGTCCTGCATTCAAAGACTTTCCATCTAGTTGGGGAGGTAAAATGTCAATTAATGTGCCAAGTGTGTTTCCTAGAGGAAAGTACTATAACCACAACACCTTTCAATCATCAAAGAGGCTTCCTGAAAGAGGTAACTGGAGCTATGTTTTGAGTGATGGCAGTCAGAAAGAGAAGGGAGGAAAAAGAAGAAATGAAAGCTAAACATCAATGTCAGAAAACATTTATGCCAGGAAACCAATTCTATGTTTGGTCAATTTCAATCATTAAACAAAGGGTGACCAAGATGGCCCTGGTCTTTGCCCTCACAGCTTATAGCCTAGGTAGGCAGCAGGCCAGAGGATTAAACAAACAATAGCAATGTGCAAGCAGTAAGATGGGAAGGTTAGAAAGTAAGTAGAGGCTAGGTCATTGAGAGCATGAGAACTCATGCTGATAGTATAGTACGAGAAGCAAAACTCTACCAGCACAGAACACCTCATATCTCAAGGGTGGGTAAACAAGGACAGATGGCTCATTGCTGTTTTCTGTCATTAGGGTGCCAGGCTCATGATGCCTGCAGTAGTGGCAGTAGAATCGCTTGGAAAACATGTGTCTTCATATTTCAGTATAACTTTTTGCATCAGAAAAAAAAAATCTGTCTAAGGGGCTGGCATTGACTTTATCCTTTTACTGCTAACTGTAATAAAGACCCAGATGCTCATGCTTTGGGGAGATATCTGGCAAAATCAGTTTAAATTTTAAAAGTACTGAGGCACCTGGGTGGCTCAGTTGGTTAAGCAACTGACTTTGGCTCAGGTCATGATCTCATGGTTCATGGGTTTGAGCCCTGCATTGGGCTCTGTGCTGACAGCGCAGACCCTGGAGCCTGCTTCAGATTCTGTGTCTCCCTCTCTCTCTGCCCCTTCCCTGCTCTTTCTCTCTCAAAAATAAATAAATGTTAAAAAATTTTAATATAAATAAATTTTTAAAGTACTGTCTCATAAGTTCCCTTTAGAAGAATCAGCTCATTATACATTTTGGCTTTTTATTCTATTCTTTAACGTCAGTCTTACTGCCCTAATCGGATTGTAAGTTCCCTGAAGGCAGGGCCCAGTCTAGAACCAGAATTTCAGAGATGGATGGAATCCAACATTTACAGATGAAGAATTCAAGAAGAAAGCAAAGCCCAGATGTCAGTTCCAGATCTGTGTTCCCTCCAGCATACCATGTTGTCTCCCATCTCCCCTGGCATGTCAGGTGTGCACCCTCAATTCTGTGGGGCTGACATTGTGCAGAATGAGGCAAAATTTTGTTCTTGGGATGCAAAAGAACTTCCATACTATGATGGTTTATGGTTTTCCAAAGCTCAATGCTATCTGACAAAATCTTATTCTTTAGGGAGAAATTTAATTTTTCTCCTTGGGGGTGGCCTGATAGTTTTAAAAGGCTGAGAAAAGAAACATTGATCCAGCCCAGTGTGGAGCAGAGTAGGCGTCTTCACATCTCACTGTCCCACTGTACAAGCTTTCCACTTCTAGCCCCAATACCTCTTACTCTATACACCAAAGGACTTTTCAAGGTGTCTTGGCAGAGTCGACACACACAACAAATGTTTGAGTGCATACTATGTACACTAAAACCAGATTCATTTTTTCTAGAACATCCTTGCCCTGGTCCTAATTTGTTCAGAGATTTTCAGTGGCTTTTCCTGACTTTAAGAATGAGGTTCCTCCTAGTGAGGGTGACATTCAAAGCCCTGTGAAATCCGAGCCCACCCAAGCTCCCCACAAGCCCTCCGCTCTATGAGGGCTCATCACCTCGCTTCTGAACATGTCCTAATGTTCCATCTTGGAGCCTTTCACTCTCATCAACATCCTTCCAACCCCAAAGGTAAACATGGCAGCCCAGCTCTCCACCCAACCATGGAACTGTTTCTTTGGTTTTACAATTTACTCCTCCATGAGCATCATCTTTTGGCGTTAGATTAAGGAATTCATATGCTTTTTCCAATCCACAGAACAAATATTTTCCTTATCACCGCATTCCTGGGGTGCTCTACTTAGTGTGTTTTAATAAGTCATTTTCACTGGGACTATTAGTATGTTTGTGTAGCCATTCATTAATTCATTTCTTGACCACCTGCTATGAACCAGTCACCGTACTAGATCTTGGGGCATGATGAGGTCCCTGCCCTCTGCTAACGTAACATTCTGAAGGGAAAGAGTTAAAACCACAATGTTATTAAGGATATCATGGAGGATGTGTACATGGTAGTGGTGGGGAAGGACTAGATTTCCCACATAGAGAAGAGAGGGAAAGTAATCCAGGCAGAAGGAACAGTGATGCAAGGCTTGGAAAAGCAAGAGCAAACTGTTTTGAGGCACAGTATGAAGGCCAGTGTGGCTAGGGCCTAGGCTACAGCACTTCTCAGAACTTAATGGGTGTACAAATAACCTGGGGGCTGGTTAAGACACAGATCCTGATTCAACAGGTCTGGAGGGAGACCAAGGTTCTCATTCTAGCAAGCTCCCAAGTTGCAAGGGCTTACAGGACACTGGCCTGGGAAGACTAAGGTGGTTCTGGGTGGGTATCCTCTTTGGCTTTCATTTTAAAAAAGACATTAATGCTATTTATTTAAAGTGAATACCTCCTAGTGGGAAAATAGGGTGCACTTCTCGTTCTTATTCCATACGTATAAAGATATACTTCTGTGTTTAAGCAGACCTAGTCTTTAGTTTTGGTCTTTATATTTATATCGCCTACATCCCAAACTCCTACTGTTGAGCAGGTGCTTGATCACTGGAAGGCATCATCCACAGCAACCATCCATCTCCCACATGTCCCCAAGCTCCTTCACCAAGCATATGAAGGACAACGCTCTAAAGGCCTCATGCTACTAGGTAGTGACAGCAATGTGCAATTGCCATAACCTCTCAACAAGGGATATTTTGGTTCTATTTAAATGGAATACAGTAAAGCCTCATTGATTCAGGCTTTATTGACCCGAAATGGGTGATAATTTGGTTAATGTACTTCTCAAATCATTTATTCATAAGTAGGACAAAGTTTAATAATGCAGTTTTGATTATAAGGATGATAAAACATTTAAAAAGATTTCAAGTTGGGGCACTTGCATGGCTCAGTTGGTAGAGCAATCGACTCTTGCTTTCAACTCAAGTCATGATCTCAGGGGCATAGGATCGAGCCTGTGTCAGGCTCCACACTGAGCACGGAGCCTGCTTGGGATTCTCTCTCTCTCCCTGTGCCCCTCCCTGGCTCGCGTGTACTGGCACACTCTCTCTAAAATAAAATTTAAAAAAACTTAGTTAAAAAATTAAAATATTTCAAGTAGGAACACCTGGGTGACTCAGTCAGTTAAGTGTTGGGGGCCATTCTGAACCCACTAGTTGAGAAAAATTCTGGTGAGGTTAAAGCAAGTTTGCAAGGCCTCTTGCCAATCAGATGACGACCGATATCAGTCCCCACTCAATTATTTCTGCTTGAGCACTGACCCCTAAGGTCCCTTGTTGATCAATATCGGGAGTGACTTGTCCCCTTTTCCTGGCCCTGGTATGATGAGTGCACCTTGTGAAGGAACTTATTGTGGGAACTTCTTTTGATTATGGGAACAGACATTGTGTCTCCAGCAGGTCCTGTTTCCCTCCATACTTTCCCTTGAGCTCTGAACAGGCTAATGACCCTTACTCATAAAAGATCGACCTTTACGTGTACAATTCTGTTTCTACCGTTGTGTTAGTCCAAGATGTTCATACAGCTCAACATGTAAATCAACTACCAAATACGTCTCTCATGCCCTAGCTATTCAAGAAATCATAAAACTAGACACAAAGGTAAATGCACTCGAAGAGGCTATTCTATGTATTGGAAATGAGCTAAACTCTTTAAAGGTATGGTTGGCTCTCCAGTGCCATAAAGAATACAACTGGAAAATCAAGTCTTGCCTGGAGACAAAAAGCCTAACTTAGAAGGAACAGATGAGAGAAGAACATAAGTTACCACATATACCTTTGCTAACTGGTGATGTATAGCAGCCCCTTCCCTAAGGCCTACATTGCACAAACACCTTTCTTTACCCTGGCAATTGTGATGAGGATGGATAAGAGTATCTACAAACCTATGACTTAATCTTAGTGTTATTAAAATGTGAACACCCTGTTATTTTCTTAGTTACTCAACCTCACTATAATTGGGGCAGTTCTGCAAGAATATTTCTGTAAAACCTGTTTCTGTACATTTCCAAAAACATCTTACCACAGAGAACTATCCATTGTAAAAACTCCACTTTCTGATGCCATGTTAACATTTGACCTATAAATAAAGACACCAAAACCGACAGGACAGAGATGCCTGCCTGGTGATCAGAAAGAATCTCGGGGCTTTCTCACTCTCTTGCCGACACCGTCCATCCTTCAGGGACCCCTGGACCTGCTGGAGCCGGCTTCCAGCAGTTAAGTGTCCAACTTTGGAGGTCAAGATCTCGCGGTTCATGGGTTAAAGCCCCATGTCGGGCTCTGTGCTGACAGCTCAGAGCCTGGATCCTGCCTCAGATCCTGCATCTCCCTATCTCTCTGCCCTTCCTCTGCTCGCACTCTCTCTCTCTCTCTCTCTCTCTCAAAAATAAACATTTAAAAACATTTTAAAAAATATTTCAAGTAAACTCATATGGCTTTAGAAACACCTATAGAGTCGTCCACTATTCCTTTGCACATAATTATGTAATTTGTCCGTTTCCTAAACAGCTGCAATAGATAATACCACTGATCTACTTTCAGGGCTAGAAACAACAATAATAGTGACAACAGCTCTGTGCTGACAGCTCAGAGCCAGGAGCCTGCTTCGGATTCTGTGTCTCCTTCTCTCTCTCTGCCCTTCCTCTGCTCACGCTCTCTCTCTGTCTCTCAAAAATACATAAACATTAAAAAAATTTTTTTTTAAATAATAGTGACAACAAATATTTATTGAGAGATATAAAAATTTTGTTACACATTTGTAGTGTGAACAATCAAACACTTAAAAATGACTTAAAAATCACATTAGTGGATTTGGTCAAAATGCATCCTTTTGAGGAAGGCCCCATACCCATGTATAAAATGACAAGCCTTGAAATCTGCTGTGAAGCTCTACTGCTGGAGTCGGGAAGAAATTAGAAAGAGAAGGATATCCTCCCATAGGAGACACTAATTCATTCAAAGAACATTTGTAAAGATGGACTATGTGGGGAATGGACTAGCCTATTATAGAAGGCTACACTTGCTTAATTCAGGGCATATCACTTGGATTTCTCACCATCCCCCAATTTTCACTAAATGTAGTTTAAAACCTGAAGCTTGAAAAGCAGAAATAAAATGGGATTTCCAAGCCATGTCTACCTAATTGGCAATCTGCTTTCCCCACAAAGGCATTTGGTGATACTCCATCATATTAATCTTCAAAATATTTCTAACAAATCTGTGTGAAATGATTTAATGTTCTGAGATCATGACCCAATTGATTTACCTATTTATATGTCCAGGTGCACATGTTAAAAGAAAATAAATTTATCTCTTGGTTTTTTTCCAAGTGGATTAACAAGCACTAAAACATATCTAAGCAGCATCACTCTGGTAAATTACTGTGGTATTTTAACTTTTACTACAACTGCATTGATTTATACAGTTGAAGAGTCTTCTCTTTCCTTTCAGATCTTTCATTTTTTGTAGATGACTTTTCCTTTAGCTATAACATATTCAATTAATTCATGATGGCCTCCAAACTGGTAAATCAAATGCTCCCATCTAGAAAGAAATCAAAGGTACTTTAGTGCATACAAGTCAAAATTACCCCTTTGTCAACAAATGCTAATTTAAAAATACATTCTCTAAAAATTTATTTATACTTTGTCATTGATATTTGGGCTTTTACAAAAAATAGTAGATTATGTGATAACTGGTCAACGACTTAAGTATGGTTCAATGATGTTATTTAAGCATTTAACCTTAACATATTTGATCTGATTAAGTGATGTACAAAAAGTAACATCAGCATTATTTTCAATAGAGAGAGTGAGGAGTAGAATTACAGAGCCATTTGCTTCTGTCCAACATGAAGTCCAAGGGCTGCAATGGGCTTGCTAGGGTCCAGGAGCCATAGAATTAACAGCCTGAAGACTTAGAAAAATAAGACTCGGTTGTCACATTGGAGGCCCAGTTGGCAGCAGGCTGCGGGTGAGTAACCAAGGGCAGGAAAACTTAAGTAAGCCTTTGGGGATCTGGTGGGAGTGAGAAGAAGCCAGAGAAGCAATGAATCAGAACCAGGGTGACAAATCAGAATTGGACATGCGTGTCTAGCACAAGCAGTCGGTCAGGACTCTAGCAGAAAAACTTGTGCCCGGGGGCACAAGTCCAAAGTCCAGGTCAACAGAACAAAAACCTGAAGATCTATGAAAGATGTAAGATGAAGACGCTGGACAATCTGGTCTCCTCTGTGTGGTTTAGGATCTTAGGAAAAAGGACCTTAGGAAAGAAGGGAGACTTTCTGGTTAGAAAGGGATGATGGTAAAGGAGACTGGGGAGCTTCCGAGCCTACACAGAACCTGATGCTAATAATTAGCAGAAAAGGCATTTAATCCCAGTCCATATATTACAACGGGCATGAAATAAAACAGCTCAGTTGGGAGAGCACTCACCTGGATGAATTGATGATAATGAGATCTCCCTGTTTACCAACTTCCAGAGATCCATGCGTGTGAGATTTTCCCAGGGCATAAGCTGCATTGATGGTGGCAGCAGCCAAGGCCTCGGGCATGGACATTCTCATGTTCACACAGGCCAGATGCATGACCAGTGGCTAAGGCAGGAAAGAGCAGTGTTAGAGGAAAGTAACAAAATGGCAACTGCAACCTGGGACATTTCTCAACACAGCACAACCAATAATGGAGATTAAATGTATAGGAGGAATTGGTTAAACTGGTATGAGAATTCACACGTAAAGATTCTTATGCTTTGGAAAAGGTCCCTTTATTAATATAGATTTCCCACCCTCATCCCTGCCATGTATTATTTATTCACTTTTTAAGACCACTAAACTCCCCTCCACACTCACTTACTAAAATTTCTTTGAGCTTGTGCTAACCTCCAAGACAGGAATAAGCCATTGTCAAACCACAATGCCCAAGCTGAGTCAAAAAATTATGCAGATAGAACTTTCTCTCCCCTCTCTATGCCTGGAGGCATTCACACAGTACCAGAAATATCCAATTACCCTGCTGTCTATACTTTTTTTCTTGTTTCACAGGAAAATATTTTTTAGATCTTTGGAATGTTTTAACAGTTAGTGAACTCTTTTTAAATTATTTATACACCTGGTGGAAGACTGATTTTCTGCTCAGATAGGTACATTAAAAATAATTACCATTGAAAAGCAATATGCATTAGGGTTGAAATCACTGCCCAGAGCAACTATTACCCCTTCATCTAACATCTTCCTAGCCCGAGGTTGCTTCAGTCTAAGATGGGGGGGAAAAAAAGAGGTCAGTCTCTGGAAGTGGAACTTCTGCAGACTAGATGTTTGAAATGGAAGATATCCAAGTCTTCTGTGTTCTGGAAGAAGAAACAGAAACTCAAGGTTAAGTGATTAATGGTAAAGTGGAAGCCCAGGGCTCCTGACTTTTACCATTCTGCTTTTGAAATGACTTGGTTATGATTAACCTGTTTAATTTGAGAGTGTTTATTGGGCAATATTTAAATGTTTATTTATTCCTTTTGAGAGAGAAAAGGGAGAGAGAGCGGGAGCACACGTGAGCACAAGCAGGGGAGGAGCAGAGAGAATCCCAATCAGGTTCCACGTTGTTAGTGCAGAACCCCTATATGGGGACCGAGTTCATGAACCCCTGATATCACAACCTGAGCCAAGATCAAGAGTTGGGGCTTAACCAGCTGAGCCGCCCAGATGCCCCTGTTGTGGCAATCTTTACACACATCCAGAGATTCTTGCTAAGGAAGAAAAATACAACATAAACCTTTTCAAAAGTAACACTCTTTTTTTTACTCCTAGATATAAACAATGAAGTTTAAAAAAAATGCTATTTTTATTAACTTCCCTTTTTCAATTTTTTAATTCATATTTCTCTCCCTCCTTGGGTGGGGTGGGGGGCGGCAGGAAGGGTCTTGAACATTTTTTATAGGCCTGTAAAATCTTGAAGGCCCAAGAATCTAATATGTGAAACATTTGTGCTTCTTCCTGGGATACGTGTCTCCCTGACTTCCTTGGCACAATATTATTTATTCTTTAGGACATGACTCAAAAGTTATGTCAGAGATAAACAGGGCCAAACACTAGTTAAAATGGTGAAGATAAACTGTATTCAGTAGTAACTATTGCAAAAGGGAAGAGTTCCATGTGGACTGAACTCAGTTTTGATTTGTACAGTGCTAACTGGGTGTTTTAAGAAAGCACAAAGAAATTGGGAGAATAAAGGGGCAGAGGGAGTTGAGTAGAGTCCGGGAAGTGAACATTTTCTAAAACCAGGAAAGGTTGGTCAGTGTGATCTGGGTTTATTAACTGGCACTTCTCTGGAGAAGAAACAAACTTCTCTACCTTCACAATCAGAGGCAGGGGGGTAAGTTGGTGCAGTGTACCCACCAGGCTGGGAGCTAGAAACAGTTTTCTTCTTCAATGTTTGCCTTTCTAAGAGATGGCTCTAAAGTCCTTGAGGAGACAATCCTGCCTGGGCGATGGAAGATTTCTATCTCAAAGGAGCAGAGAAAGGGTTTACAATTGCAAGCTTTGTGAAGTTACTGCTCTAAGAGGAAGTCCAGGAGTCTAGCTGCCTATTGCCTGGTTTTGTTGGAACAAACACTTAATTCCCGTCAGGTTGGGCTTTCTCAGGCAGGCATTTTAAGGGGCATGTGTCTTCCTAGGGATGCAGCCTTGAGCTATCAGACACTAGGCTAGTGTTTACTCAGGCTCACAGTGTTGGGGGAGGAAGACAGATAAAATCATTTGTACTGAGAGTTTACAGGTTTTATTGGCCAAGACTGAAGCCCTTGAAATAGTCACAGTCTATGACTGACAATTTGCAGGGCTACCTGAGATAATGTTCCTCAACTAGGATAATATTCAAGAGGAGGTGGGTGAAGCAGAGATAAAGGTGAGGAAAGGTAGAGCTTGAAATATCCCCACAGTTCATTCTGATGGCCTCCCCTCCCCTTCCAGAAATACTTCAGGAGGTAAAAAAGAAAGAAAAAGAAAGAGGAAAAAAGTGAGGCTGTAGAAGTCTTAGAAAACAAAGGTGAATGTATCCTGAATAAATGTAAACAGTATATACAAAGATGCATAAAATAATGATTAAAGGAAGTCCTCAAGTAGCATAAGGCAACTGTTACTCTGGAAATGAGTCCAGAAAATTCAGGGCAGGGCCACCTGGGCGGCTCAGTTGGTTGAGCATCTGATGGCTCAGTTCATGATCTCATGGTTCCTGAGTTTGAGCTTCACATCAGGCTCTCTGCTGTCAGTGCAGAGCCCGCTTCAGATCCTCTGTCCCCTTCTCTCTCTGCCCCTCCACCACTTGTGCACAGTCTCTCTCTCTCTCTCTCTCTCTCTCTCTCAAAAATAAATAAACATATAGAGAACAGAGAGAGAGAGAGTTCAGGGCATGTCAGGGAGCCCTGAAAATTGCTCCTGTTGGAGAGATCAGAAAAACCAGAACAGAGAAGCCAGACAGAAAATTGTGGGCTTCTCTGTGATTTTTCCTGTTGTCCAAACTGTATGGTCAACCCATCTTGTGGTGACCACAGATAGCAGCCACCTCTGACAGAGGGACAAAGTTCCAACTTTTCTTGCTGAGCTGCCCTTCATATTTCAGGTCTCAGAGTTTTGTTCCATCTTAAGAGATTCAGGTGAGTAGAAAGTGATGGAAAATTCAGGTGAGTAGAAAGTGATGGAAAATTCCTTGGGTGATGGAAAATTAACCAGATTAAGTACTAATTGGACCTCTACTGAGGACTACTGAGACTTGCTGTAAACACCAAGATACCAAGGATGGTTAGTGATTGATATTTCCTGGTTGTAATCTACATTATGTCTACTTTTTAAGAGAATAGTAATAATAAGAGAAATGTGTAAGATTACACATATGTGTATAAATCATAGTGTTTGAGAAAAGCACTATATTCCTTTCTTCTCTCTTATAAAGGTTACTCAAAGCCTGGCTTTGCAATCCCCAAGGCAGAGGGTCCCAACCTGGGCACAGTTTGTAATTGTGGCCGGGTAATGTTTGGGCAGGATAATTCTCTGCAGTGGGAGGCTGTTCCGTGCACTGTGGGGATGTTTAGTTGCATCCCTAGCCTCCACCCACTAGATGTCAGCAGCGCCCCCTAGTCTCGACAACCCAAACTGTCTGCAGACATGGTCCAATGTCTGAAACAGCTTTTATGAAGATGGACTGTGGACCAGGTGTAGTCAATCCATGGAGGGCAACTGGCAAAATTCCTGGGGAGGTTTCACAAAATAGACATCTTCTCTTTCCTCCCACCCCCGGGACTTCTGGTACCTACTTGCATCCTCTTAGAAAACAGCTCCTTCAGATTCTGAACACCGCTAAATATCTCTAACATCTTGTGCATTTTAAAAATGAAAACAATGAAATAATAAAAGCCCGCTTCATTTTTTTCTAGTGATAAAGTGATGCATATTGATTTTTAATTAGAAAATTCCAAAGAGGTGGTAAAAAAAAGAATGAGAAAACTCCACTCTTCCCAATAATCTCACCACTCAAAGGCCATTTGGGTCCAAGCTCTTTCCTCAGGATAACGCATTTCTGTACATGACTCCAGTATTGGCATCTCCCATGGGCTCAGCTTTCCTGATCTGTACTTTTATGGAGTTTGGAAGGGCAATGAAATAGTTTAGGCATCTCGGTCTGCAACCTCACAGCTTGCACAGGTAGCTCACCTCAGCATGTAGGCCGTGGTGGGCAGGAGGACAGCGGAGGTCCTCGCCGTTGCCATGGCTGCAATGCCTTCATCGCTCACTTCTTCCAGGTGACTGATCGCCTGGGCTCCCAGCTCAGCCCCGAGCTAAGCAAAATGGGCAAAGGGAGAAAGTTTCACCAACAGCAACAACAATCGATAAAGTGCCAGAACATTGTTTTCCCTGCAAAAAATAAACTGCGCTCTATTAGGAAAATTTCTTGGCAACTGCCTCTTGAAAACAGAAGCCCCTAAATGGGTAAAAGCTCTGTCAAGGACATTCACTTGAAAATGAGCTAGTGTGCTACTGTGACAACTATTCTTAAATACAAGGGCTTACTGACATTCTTTAGGCATTTGCTAAAAAAGAAAACTTCATGAATCTTATGGATCAGAATAGAACACGGAGTGATATTGGTAATAAAATCTGATTCTTATAGCATCATAGAAACACAATAAAGAAAAGTATATTGGATTGGATTATACTCAGTGAAAACAGATCAGTTAAGAAAACAAACTTTAAAAATGAATTGTACATATAATTTGAGAATATCTACTTGAGCTTGATGTCTCTCCAGGTGAAAAGTCTGGGCTTGGCTGTCAGAGGAATTCTGCGAGGAGGTAATGTTATAGTGATAATGAGAACATGGCCTTAAAGTGGGTTTCTTCTCAGCTTGACATTTCCTCTCTCTCTCTCTCTCTCTCTCTCTCTCTGTCCCGGTCTGAAAGGTGACATGGTAAGCACTCCAAAGCAAGGAAAGTAGACTAATTTTTGACATTACACCATGGCCCAGGGAAGCAGCGATGCCCACACCAGGGCAGGAAAGAGCAGGGCCCCTCATCAGCAGCTCGCTCAGGTCTAAAAGCATTTTGGTTTGGGGCTCTGGAGAGTCCAGTGTTCCAGAGACAGGCTCTGTTCCCCAGGGGGAGTTTCTTTCTAACCTTGGAATCACCTTCACTGTTCCAAACTTGATTTGTTCATCCTGAGTACTGACCTCTATTGATTTAACTCGCCAGTCACTCTCTATGACCAAAAGTATCTTGTTGACCACCTAGTTCACATTCATTCAACAAACATTCAACAAATATTTACTCTCTAAAGGCCATCTGTATGCAGGCATTGTGCTAACCCCCAGGGACAGGGCTGTGAAGGCGTGGGGGCAGTCCTCAGCCTGTTTACAGTCCAGTAGGGATCACAGAGGCAATTGGAACACAGTGGGACAGGCACAGGGAGGGACTATAACCCATTCTTGGAGAGATCTGGGAAGGGCCCCAGAGAAGTGGTAGCTAAGATGAAACATGGAGGGGAGTCAGAGTTAACCAGACAAGGGACACTCAGATTAGAGAAAGCATGTCCAGAGGCATGAGGTGTCTGGTGTGGCCGGTTCATGGTAAAGAGGGCAGAGAAAGAGGAAGATGGGAAGCGAGCAAGAGCTGGGTCCTGGTAAGCCTACAGGTGCTGAGTTTAGAGTTCATCCTGCCAGCACTGCTGAGCCTTGCCGGGGGTCTCAGCGATGGAGAGGAAGAGGAGATGCGCTGTAGGGAATGGATTAAAGGAATGGATTGAAGTGCAGGAAGTGTGGATGCAAGAAGAGCTGTTGCAGGAGCCCAGCTGAGAGCTGATGGTGGTTATAACTAGGCAGTAGGGTGAAGAGAAGTAGACCAAGAGATATTCAGGAGGCAAACGAGAAGTTCTTGCAGGTTGGTTGAAATGTGACAGGTAAAGGGGGGAGGAGACCCAGTGATGTCCAAGTTTTTAACTTAGGTTTAACATAGGTAAATGGGGTCATTCACTGGGTAGGAAACACGGGGCAAGATTTGGAAGTGATATTAAGAGATCACTTAATGTGGTTGAGACACATGTGGAGTATCAACATGTGTATTTATGCCCCATAGGCAGTTATTTATTTTGCCCCAGGGTTTAGAGGAGTGACATTGAGACTTACAACTTGAGTGGATTTTGTCTGTCTTATTCACTGATGAATTATCAATGCCCAGAACAGTGCTTGGCACACTCAAATATTTGTTGCAAGCATGAATAAATGAATCTGAGCAAGACATACAGATCAGAAAATCATCCTGTGACTATTAATGGTGTGCTCCACCAACATTCATGGAGGCTGCCACAGAAAATCCCCAGAAGCCACTCGTGAAATTAGTGGACTCTGCCAGTGTGGCTTTGTGCTCCAACCAAGCTGTTATGAATTTGATAAACAAGATCACAAAGATACTTCTCTTCCTGCTAATACCACCAGCAGGTTGTAATAAAAGTAAACGGCTGGCAAAAAAGTATATTTCTAATAGAGGTCAGGATTCCAAGTTTCAACCAGACCACCCCTTGCATTGTTCAAACGAATTCTCCCAGTCTATCTTTTTGGAAGGCTACTCCTAACTCTAAACAAACTGAGGAAGTTTTCCATCGCACGAGTCTTGACAAAGGAAAAGCCAAAGGTCAAGCACACCTCAGCAGCCTTCATAGGATGAAGTTCATCCCCATGGAAGTTAATCTGCAATCCTAGATCTTTTCCACTTTGAAGAATCCTTCTGGTGGAGTTGAGGTCAAAGACGCCTTTCTCACAGAACACATCTATATTGTCCACGTGTATTTCCCCGCGACTGCCAAGCTCCTTCAGCTTTGGGAGGTGGTTATTGATGATTTCATCAGCAGCTTCTGTAGCAGTCTTTCCTCTGCAGAAAGAAAATGAGATTACATGGGGGAAAATTTTTTTTAATCGAAGAAAGGCTTTTCTGGCACTTGAAGAACCTGACAAACTGTAGGCAAATGACCCTAAGATAAATAATTAAGCTATAACTCAGGAGTTTCAACAGTCAGGATATAGCAGGCATATTGACAAGACTTCTGTATGCACTGACCCAGGACACAGAGACCCAATGCTTCATCCATTCAACCATGCTGAGTCTTCTTGCCTTACAGATTTGATCTATCTCCTACAGAGCGTTACTCTGAATCTCCAACATGCAATCATGTTGTCATGGGCAACTATTTAAAGTAATAACCTGTCATTTTTAAAGGATCTATAAGGGGGCCATTGCTTTTTGTTAACCGAAAGAGTTTTGAACATCTCTTCCTCCTTCATCCTTATCGGACTAGCAAACGGATAGGTCTGGTGGGGATCGCCTTCCTAAAACCACCACACGAAATGTCTATTGGAATCAGAACACCTTTCTAATTGCTTCTACTGAACTCTTCTGCAACAATTAAAGCGCAGATTCACCCCACCCCCAGGAGAACGCATCCCCACTTGGGCACCATCTGACCCCTTCCTTCTTTGTTGTCAATGCCTGAAATCAAAGCCGGGTCCCATAGGCTGCGGTTACTTTGGCACCGAGTGAGCCCCACAGTAAGTGGCCGAGATGCCTATGGGCCCCTGGCGGCGAGCGCGCTCAATCACACGCAGCATCTTGAGCTCGGTCTCCATGTTGAGGCCGTATCCGCTCTTGCACTCCACCAGCGTGGTCCCCGCCCTCATCATGCACTGCAGCCGCTGCTGGAACGAGCGGAATAGCTCCTCCTCTGAGGCTTGGCGCGTGTGCTCCACGGTGAAGTTGATGCCTCCTCCAGCCTGGTGAATCTCCATGTACGTGGCTCCTGCCAACTGAACACAGGGCTCACCTTTAGGCCGGGCACATGCGCGAGGTTGCAGGCAGGTCCACAGAACCTCCCTCCAGGGGTGATGCTCAGAATGATTTAACAATTGATATGTCAGGGACCCGAGCAGATCAGAAAGGCTGCTGGGACACACGGCCGTGGAAACCCCTGCTCTGCCAGGGCGATGGAGGGGCTACGGAGGACGGGGACCTCAGGAAGGCCTGGGGTGGCAGAAATGGGAGATGCGGTGGGAAGCACTTCCCATCTCAGGCAGCAACAATAATTTACCAACCAGCCCAGGAGTATATCAGTACTTTTATAACCCAGGCGGCCCCAGTGTGTGCCAGCTGACTCCATCTCTAGCACCTATGTATGAGAAACAAAGCTTAGGCAATTTGGGAACCCCACTGCAGCTATTCCAAATATCCACTAAAGAGACCCGGGTGGGTTCCACCTCTCAGTATTTGGCCTCTGTGACTCAAGCAAAGAAGGTCTTCCTGGGATGCCACCGGGCTCCAGTTATTCTGGGCAGCAGAATAAGAGTGTGGTGCAAACAAAGTATGCGAACCTGGGATCCCCCGGTCAGAGTTTTTCATCTGGGTTCTGCCATGGCGAGCTGGTGAACTCACTGAACACCCAGCCCTTCTCTGGACCTCACGTTCCCCATCTATGTAATGAGATGTTTGGACTACAAATCTCCAGGGTTGCGTTTTGGCTCTGAAATTCTTATTTAATTTTTAAAAAGTCTGAAAAACAGCTCTAGTGTGTGGGGTGCCTGGGTGGCTCAGTTGGTTAGGCGTCCAACTTCGACTCAGGTCATGATCTTGGGTTTTTGAGTTCAATCCCTGCATCGAGCTCACTGCTGTCAGCACAGACCCTGCTTCCGATCCTCTGTGCCCCTCTCTCTCTCTGCCCCTTCCTCACTGGTTCTCTCTCTCTATCTCTCTCTCACTCTCTCAAAAAAGCAAAAACGAAACAAAACAAGAAAAACAGCTCTAACATGTTGAAGAAGGTACACAATACGTGAAGAAATTTCTTAGCTGTTAGGATATACACTTAAAGCCAATGTGAAGAAAAGACATGGAAGAACCTTAAATGCATACTGCTAAGTGAAAGAAGCCGATCTGAAAAGGCTACATACTGTATGATTCCAACTATACGATGTTCCAGGAAAGGTAATACTATGGAAACAGTAAAAAGATCAGTGACTGTTGGCTATCAGGGGTTGGGGGCAGCGGGCAGACGGACAAATAGGCAGAGCACAGAGAAACTTTAGGGCAGTGAAACCACTCTGTATGATACTATAATGGTGGTTATGTGTCATTATACATTTGTCCAAACTCACGGAATATGCAGCACCATGAGAGAACACTAATAAAAACTATAGACTCTGGATAATAATGATGTGTCAGTAGAGGCTCATCAAGTAACAAAGGTACCACTCTGGTAGCAGATATTGATAATGGCTATGCATGTGTGGGGTCAGGAGGTATACGGGAAATCTTTGTGTCTCCCACGCAATTTTGCTGTGAATCTAAAACTGCTCTAAAAAATAAAATCTACTAGAAACAGTGTGAAAATGGCTATGACCAGGGATTTTAGGGTTGACCATAGCTAATTAATGACTTGTGACACAGACTACACCTTATATTTCTTAATAAGCCTCATTTTTCAGGGAAAAAAATACAAGATTTATTTTATTTTTATGATTAGCAATCTATTTTTACAAGTTGGAACCAATGAAGGATGAATTTCGAACTGTTCCCCAGAGCCATTCCAAAGGCTAGCAGGGGTGGAGGGGAGAAATGGGGCAAGGGAAAAAGAGGAGAAACCAGTGGAAAAAAGGCAGCTCAGCTGTTTTAAAGGGAGGAGTCTAAAACGTACATACATGCATACATAAGGATTCTACAGCTAACATTTTTTGAAAACTATCATACCTAAAATGATTGCTGGTCCTATGCATAGTACAAAGATTTGGACAGTTAAAAGTCAGTTTTGTTGTACTTTATTTTCCATAGTCCAGGCCAGTAAAAAATATCCATTAAAAAGAAATGTAGACAGCTGTTGCAAAGCTTGATAACCTATCCACTCTTTAGAAAAAGATGGGTCTGTATTTATGCCTTATTTTGATTTGCTTTCATTTATTGAAGTTACCTTCATTGCAAACTCGTGAACTCTTTCACCAGCCCATACTGGATGTGTGTGTGCATCCACCAAACCTGTAATCAATAAATCAGATCATTTTTAAATGTGAGAAATAGAAAGCCCTTAGACAGTAGGCAGACTATCTCAAACCACTATTGGGAAAGCAGGTGATGGTCAGCCATCTTTGAAGATGGTGGAAGAGGAAGAATTTGTATGGTTCCCTCCCCAGAGAGGAACTAAGAAGCCTCTCTGCAGGGCTGGTCTAGAAGGCTCTAATGGAGGAGGATGACTCACCATGATGAGAATATCCAATAAAGAAATATAGCTCCTTTTGCCCACTAAGCCTATGCTCATCAAGCAAGCTTTTAAAATAGGATATCATAGCTATTAGTTCACTAAAACCAAGGACTGTATCACCAAAGAATCATGTGGATGTGAAAAGAGAATACAATCCCTCCCAACTTTGAGAAGAAAAATATGAAATCAGAAACATGAATCTTCAAATAAAAAAAGAAATGTAGCTTAACTGAAGAGAAAGTGTAACAATCATTTGGACCGTTTGCTTATCCAGGTATAACTCAGTAAAGTGTATCTTTCCAGAATATTTTAAATACCTTGTGGATTAAAAGTCTCATTAACAGTTCTTTTTTTTTTTTAATTTTTTAATGTTTTTTACATTTATTTCTGAGAGAGAGAGACACAGTGTGAGCATGGGAGGGTCAGAGAGAGGGAGATATGGAATTTGAAGCAGGCTCCAGGCTCTGAGCTGTCAGCTCAGAGCTCAACATGGGGCTCGAACCCACAAACCGTGAGATCATGACCAGAGCCGAAGTCAGATGCTTAATCAACGTAGCCACCCAGGCTCCCCTCATTAACAGTTCTGATTGGACTAAAATCAAGAATCTCTATTCAGATTGTTTTCTACTATTTTCTGCTCTTTTTCAGAAGACTTCACTCTGACTTTAGTTCCTAATTCCCAAGAGCCAGAAGGTAGAAGCTGTATCAGATATATGCAGCATATAGTTTAAAACGTAAATTTTAGCCTCTATGTTTTGTATGGAACTCAAAATTTGTGAAACTTGTTTCCAATGATTTCATGAAGCCTTAAAACATGATGTAGGAGATGATGGTTAAATAAATATCAGTGAAATTTCTAAGGATTCCCCCCCAACACACACACGTTTCTGCCTAGAGATGTGTTGTTTCACACTCTCTGTAAATGTAGAGTATATTCTGGTATATATAAACAGCAGTTTGCCCTATCTGCCCCCCATATGAAATAGATTAGCAAAGTTCTTCAGCAGCCTTTGAACCTAAACCCAACAATGCTGGTTTCTCTTTACCATGCAAGTGGGAAGAAGGGAAGTGAATGAATAAGTTTGATTCCTAGATTGCCCTTTACCTGTCCAGCGATCTTGGGTGAGATATTTCATCCCTAAAGCAGAGGCTTCTAATTTGTAACATACAGATAATGACACTTTACAGGGCAGTTATAAGGATTCAAGATGAAAACATGTTTGTAAAGCAGCCTAGATATTCGATAGCAGAAATGCAATGCATAGTATTCTATTTTAATATTATTTTGAGACCCTATTAAAAACAAGCGGCTACTCTTCCTCTTAATGTTAGTAAAACCGGCTGCAAGGCTCTACAGAAAAAGAGGTTAATACCCGGCAAGATGCATTTCCCAGAACAGTCAATTCTTTCTTCGAACGTTTCTTCAGAAAACAGTGCTCGGATCGCGTCAGCAGGACCAATGGCTTTTATAAACCCATCCCTGAAGAAACATCATGAAATAATTACTAAAGTTTGGGGAAATACTGTGGAAAAGCTGGCTAATGGTTTAAAATATGTTGTCCATGTCTTTAGGCATCAGTCAATATTTCTTGTATTTTCTTCTTGCATCTGTGTCTTTGAAAAAAATGCCTCTAGCTACATGCAAGGCAAAACAAAAACAAAAGCAAAAAACAAAAAAACCAAATCGTGAGTCCAGAGATTGCCAGTTGTTCGCGAATATCAGTGTTCCCTTTTCCCCCACAGTGCTAGATTCCTACATTTTAGCTGAACACTTGACCACCCAGAATGAAGACTATATTTCTGGGTTTCCCGTCAGCCAGGTATGGCCATGTGACTACATTTTAAACAAAAGGATTGTTTTCTCGTCCGATTTCCTACTATCTGGGAAGCAGATGCCATAAGGAGAGGTGGGAGGTGTAGCAGCCATCTTGGATGATGGAGTGAGTGAGACACAGGATTGTGCACTGAGTATCAAGTAGGGCCTCCGGACTCCAGAGAGTATGGCCATCAATCAGCCCTGGTTCCTACCTCTGTACAGTTCTCTTAACTGGTTTAACTATTTTTCAGCAATAACAGTGGGAATGTTTTAATCCCTTTGTTAACAAAAGCTGGGCTCTTACACAACCCTAGGCAGCTTCAGATAAGGGCTGAGCCCATCTTGCGCAATCGCGATGCCTGGGGCTCTCCAATTCAAACAGGCATCCAAACTCCATTCCCACTGCAGGCTCACCCTCCCAAACTTTGGCTTTCTTTTATTCACGTCATTGCAGGAAGCACAAAGGTTAATGAAAAAAAAAACTGAAAATGTCCTTTTTGGTGACTGAATCATAATTTCCTATCACCTCAAACCATCACCATCTGAACGTTTTCCGTGGGGCTCAAGCTTTAGTGTACAAAGCGGGCTGGGCTGGAGACTGTTTTGTAAAAATTCAAAGTCCCAGAATGCCACCGCATTGATGCTGATTCCAAAGATCTAGGGATGGGGGTAGGGAGGGCGGGGGGGTTCAGTTTGAGAGCGTTATTTTCACCAAATGGCAGCCCGAAGCTGTCACACAAGGTAAGTAGCAACAGGTGCCTACAAGGGCTCTCTGGATGCCGGAAAGCTTTTACCCGGTTACCTCCACAGCGCACAAGTTAGGGAAAGGGGGCCAAGCCGGTCCCCGCAGCGCACCGCCACTTACGTGCCCACCGCCAGGCTGGCGCCCTCCAGCACCGCCAGGCTGCGCAGCGCGTCCCGCGCCAGGAAGCGCTCGCCTCGGGCGCACACCATCACCACTTGCTGCGCGTTCTCCAGCAGGAGGCGGTGGCCGCCCGCCATGTCACCGCGCGCCGCGGGTCTCCCGGTGGCCTCGGGGCTCGAGCCGCTGCAGGCGAGAGGGCGGAGGAGGGTGCGGTGGGCCGGCTGCGCACGGGGCGCGGCGGGCGGAGCCGGGGCGGGCGCTCGCTTCCACCGCCTTCCCAGTCCTCGGGAAACGCGCCGCCTTCCCCCACGTCCCCACCTCCCCGCCTGCAGACCGTCGCAGTGCCAGTGCCAGCAACCCGAATGAGGATTAGTAATAAATGTTATCATGGAATCTCCTCTTTTTTGGTCGCCCTGTTATTTTCCGGGCAAATGTGGAGACTACCGTCCCTACTTTTCAGAAAGTAGGAAACTGAAGTTGGGTCACCGGGAGAGAGAAAGGTGGGCTTCGTCGATCACGTGGCCGGGCGAAAGGGATTCAGGGACCAGGGCTCCCAGGTGGGGCCGAATGGGGGTAAACCTCTGCCAGGGGCAGGTGCAAAAACCAGGCACGGAGACCCAGGAGGCGCAGCGTCGGGAACCTCTACCCAGTGGGCTGGAACGCGACGGGCCGCGGGCAGAAGGAACCTGGGGGTGGGGAGGAGGGGGCTGCCGTGGGCGAGTTGCCCCTGGGTCCGCGAGTCCGAGAAGCGGGGTGGCGGGTGCCGCGCACAATTTTCGGTTGGCCAGCTCCGCTCCGGGATCCCCTACCGGAAGGTCCCCGAGATGAAGGAGGATCCGGGCGGGGGAGGGTAGAGCCGAGACGAGAGAATCGATTGGCGTTTCTGTCCTTCGTCCGCTAACGCCGTCCTGAAGGATAGGTTGGAGCGGCCCCGGGATCCAAACTCTTGGAGGTAAAAGTGGTTTCAGCTCAGTGCCCCTCTCACCCCCCATCCTCATGCCAGCTGTCTGGTGGGGCCTACCCTCAATTTGCCCCCAAGATTGGAGACAGAATCAAGTTTGTTTAAGGAAGACGGTCTGTAATTCTCACCCACATCTCTTCTCGCTTATCAACGGCTGTGAAAACACTGGCAGACACTGGGTTTTGAGTTTCTTAATCGTTTTATTTTCTTTATACTCTTATTAGAAGCTCTGTGTTAGGCTGTGGAACATAGGAAGACAGGAAAGGCACTTTCCCTGCCCAGCAAAGGCTATAATAAAAAGGAAGGCACTTTATAAACATGAATAACAGACCATAAAATGTAAAAGTAAGTCAATTTAGTGTTATTTAAAAGCCATTTAAAAACAAAGAAGAGAAAGCAAAAAATCCTTTAGATGAGCAAATAAATAACAATACACTTTAGCTCTCATATATTGGTCATTCAAGAGAGAAAGCAATAGGTAGGAAAGAGGAATTCAATAGAGAATGTGAATAAAAGAGACCCTACAGGAAAAAAAAAAAACAAACAAACCCGTATATTCCTCACAGCTCAGACACACAATCACAAACGTGTGTGTGTGTGTGTCTATACACAGGTTTTAAAAAAAAAATTTTTTTTTGTAATGTTTATTTTTGAGAGAGGGACAAAGCATGAGCAGGGTAGGGTCAGGGAGAGGAAGACACAGAATCCCAAGCAGGCTCCAAGGTCTGAACTGTCAGCACAGAGCCTAACATGGGGCTCGAACCCACCAACCCACCAATCATAAGATCATGACCTGAGCCAAAGACGGTTAACCAACTGAGCCACCTGGGCGCCCCTATACACAGTTTTAAAGAGAAATGTATAAAAGAGAAATAATATAAGAGAAATAGAAATAATGAAAAGCAAACACATAAAGTCAGAGTTCATAGAGAAATAATAAAATTTTATATTCCAAAATTTCTGCTAAAGATTTGAATCTGTTACATATTACGGTTACAGGCATGTTTGCAGACTTATGAAGTTGTAGATGTAGAGGAGAGGGTGAGATTATAGATATACAGAAGGATTTGGGGTTCAATAAATTTGTCTTAATCATACTCTGTTACTTATGAGCTGTTTGACCTTGGGAAATGTACTTAACTTTCCTAAACCTTGTTTTCTCATCCATTTTCTCATGGGTTAATTTTTCCTATTTTATAGACTTGTTTGAGCTTTATATAAGATGAAATGTAAAACACTTTGTCCAGTGCCTAGCTCAAATTATAGGTGTACTTGTTTTACTACTACTACTAGTTCATTTTAATCCTGTTATTTGTTTAATGGGTCAATTAAGTTAAAGATTTCCCTGCTGAGTTCACAGAATATACTATGAACTTAAAGCTTACAAGTTTGAAGGGGAAGTCTAAAAGAAATAGTCATTCTTTTCATAAAGGGGATTTTTATTTGTGGGTGAACTGAGTGCATCGATTACAGTCCAGATATACAACATTGCATCAAAAGCCCTTGCAGACAAGCAAGAAGGATAAGAGTGGACTTCTCTCCTCCTTAGTCATTGTTGAAAACATAATTATAGATACAATCCTTCATAATAACCGACATCCCTATAGCACTTCTTAGTTTACACAGTATTTTTCACATCATCTTACTCACACTGGCTGACTTCTACTCCTGTTCTCTTTCTTCCTCTTGACCCCCAGTTATTTTTTTCAGTTTCCAAAATGGGCGGTCAGAAATGTTGATAGAAAAGCCCACACAAACTATTCCAGCAAGGCCTTAAAGGTCAAGCTGAAGGTAATTTCCTCATCCCTGTGCTCTGCTTCTGACCTCAATAAGAGAGGCAGATCGTTATGCAGGCCAAGGACCTAGTGGCTTCTGGCCCTCAGGTAAACAAAAACTTGCTAGCTCTGGTCTCTCCACACCATCCAAGGACACAGTTCACAGCCCTTTCTCCCAGTATTTGTCCAAGTGGGTGGGAAGGAGGTGGAAAAAGAAATGGAAAGGCATTGAGTATGAATTTGTCTAAATCTTTGTTTGCATGTGGGAGATAAACAAAGCTTTTTATCTCCTACAGAGGGACTCTGGATATCCATTTTCACTGAATTGTAGAGAGAGTTGCGAAAATCAAACACAAACTGCTTTGAATAGTATATGGTAGATACTGTTATTGTTTATTGTTCATATCTGGAGTTGGTCTCAGACTTTGAGTTAGGCATTATAAAACCCCATTCCTCTTTTCCCTCTTCCATAAAGCTTGGAATGTTCAGAATGTGCACAAAGATGGGTCAGGCTCCCCAAATCTACACTGATATTGCTGGTAGATTCCTCTCAAATGAACTGGTTTCAGGAATTTTAGTTTGGGGTTTCTTATGAAAATTGGTTATCAGTTATCTCTCCTATTCTTTTCTAATGCTGGCAGTTATTCACAAGACAGAGTGGACTAGAAAGAGGAAAGATCTGGATATCTACCTTGAAAAAATTATAGGCAATTATTTCCCTATCAGCCCACCATGCAGGCCCACTACATACATTACCTGTGCTTGAAAATTGCAACAAGCCTGTAAGAAAGGTATTAGTATCCACATCTGATAGAAGAAGAACCCGATGGAAGGTGCATTGAGTTTAATCAGATAGACCTAAAAGGAAAGTGCTGATAAGAGGCAGAAGCAGGATTTAAACCGGGCTGCCAAAAAAAATCTTCAGGGGTGCCTGGGTGGCTCAGTTGGTTAAGTGTCCGACTTCAGCTCAGGTCATGATCTCATGGTTCATGAGTTCAAGCCCTGTGTCAGGCCATCTGCTGCCAATGCAGAACCCGCTTTGGATCCTCTGTCTCCCTCTCTCTGCCCTTCCCTTACTTGTACTCTCTCTCTCAAAAATAAATATTTTTAAAATCCTCAGTAATTTGAAAAGTATAATATCAGTGATATAGGTTTTTGTTAATCTTTTCTCTACTACAAGCTTTAACATAATTTCTTTTTTCTTTTTCATTTCTATAATCACTGGAAGTAAAGTCACATTCTAATTAGTAAATATTAGCACAAATTTGCTCCCACTTACTGAGTTTGATCTGCACACGAGGCACCTTGCTTGGTTGCTCATATACATTGCATCCTCATGAAAGCTTTAAGGGGTGAAATTATATTCTCATTTTATGGAATAGGAACCTCAAACTCAGAGATGCTAAGTAAGTAAATGTAGGTTCTGTGAAGAAAATGTGTTTTTTCTGTTGTTGTTTTTAAATTGTCCTGTCTCTGGCACCCACAACAGTGCCTGGCACATAGTAGGTACTCAATAAATATTTTTTGAATGTTAAATATCTTGCTCACACACCTGTAAATGTCAAACAGGCTTCTCCATTCCAAAGTCTGTATTTTTTTTTTTTTAATTTGAGAGAGAAAGAGCATGAGAAAAACAAACAGCATGAACAGGGAATGGGCAGAGAGAGAGACACCGAAACTGAAGCAGGCTCCAGGCTCTGAGCTGTCAGCACAGAGCCCAATGCAGGGCTCAAACCCACTAACTGTGAGATCATGACCCGAGCTGAAGTCAGACGCTTACCCAGCTGAGCCACCCAGGCACTCCCAAAGTCTGTACCTTTAATCACCAGCTACAAATGCTTCTGGGACTCTTAGCTCTTCAAGGAGGCTCTTTGAGAGAACTGAGGCAAAATTTAAACAGGGAGCCTGAGGCGCCTACATTGGCTCAGTTGGTTAAGCATTTGACTCTTGATTTCAGCTCAGGTCATGATCTCATTGTGAGTTCAAACTGGAGCCCTGAGTGGGGCTCTGCACTGATAGCTGGGCATCTTCTTGGGATTCTCTCTCTGCCTCTCTCTCTCTGCCCCTCCCCTGACTCTCTCTGTCTCTCTCAAAATAAATAAATAAATATTTAAAAATAAATAAATAAATGGGCAACCTGAAACAGGATGTTTGTTCCTGTTATGGGCACACGTTTTTATATCAAATACTAAACATCCTTTTTCCTCCCTAATGAAAATATCATTGATACTCCTTCATTGTAAAAGTTACACAAACTCTTTGAGAAATAATGACACAAAAATGTATAAAAATTCAAGACCAGGACTAGGGTGAAGCAAGTCAAACATTTGCCTTTGGTGCAAAACCTAAAGGGGAGGGCAAAAGCAAACTTTTTTTTTTTTTTTTTTTTTGAGAGAGAGTGTGTGTGAGCAGGGAAAGGGCAGAGAAAAGGGGAGACAGAGAATCCCAAGCAGGCTCCATGCTCAGCATAGACAAAACCAAACATTTTAATTCACTATTTATCTTATTTTATTTTATCTTAATCTTTATTTAATTTTGAGAGAGAGACAGAGTGTGAGTGGGGGAGGAGCAGAGACAGAGGGAGACACAGAATCTGAAGCAGGATCCAGGTTCTGAGCTGTCAGCACAGAGCCTGTCTCGGGGCTCAAAACTACTAACCGTGAGATCATGACCTGAGCCGAAGTTGGACGCTTAACCAATTGAGCCACCCAGGTGCCCCAAATTCACTATTTTTAAAAATAAAAATTAATGCAAAAAGTTCCACGATGAACAAAATATCAAAAATGTAAATACAGACAAGATCTGTGGGCCCGGAAGCAGGTGTGGCAAGTGAGGCACTCACTCTAGGGGTCACGTGAGTTCACAGTTGAATCCCATCTGTATTTAAAGCTTTAAGGGACGCCTGGGTGGCTTAGTCAGTTAAGCAACTGACTGAGGCTCAGGTCATGATCTCACAGTTTGTGAATTCAAGCCCCACATTGGGCTCTGTGCAGACAGCTCAGAGCCTGGAGCCTGCTTCAGATTCTGTGTCTCTATCTCTTCCCTGCTCATTCTCTGTCTCTCCGTCTCTCAAAAATAAGTATTTTAAAAAATAATAAAGTTTTAATATTTTGTTCACCATAAATTTTTTTTTCCTGCATTATCTTGGAATTTTTAAAAAACTGCATTAACATGTAATTTATCTTGGTAACTGAGTTTGGAGGGATACCTCCTTAAATTTTGCACCTAACTAATCCCACACCTGATAAAAATGAAAGTAGACGTTGCTCCAGATCAAAGACAACCACTATTAATGTTTGGTTGAAAAACTTTTCAAACATCTGATTTGGCTTACGGTTTTTAAAATCTACACTATTCTTACCTTTTTAACATATTTTGTTTTTTACTTTTCATATATTGTTAACGGAACTAAATTGTGACTACATCGTTTTGAGGGGCTACGGGGCAATCCATATTATGGGGACACCATAGTTATTTAATCAACTCCCTGTTTATTAAAAACATGTCAACAAATATTATTGTACTTACATATTTGCCCACTTACCTGATTCTTTTCTTGGGATAAGTTCCTAGATTTGGAATTGCTGGGTCAAAGAGTTTGTGTGTGTACTACTTTTAAAAGCAGTGAAGGCTATTCGGAATCACTGGTTGTTGAATTTGGCCTCTTTATACGACGTTTACAAAATTTCTTTGTTTTAAGTTTTTATTTAAATTCCAGTTAGTAAAAAAAATTCCAGTTAACATGCAGAGTAATATTAGTTTCAGGTGTACAATGTAGTGATTCAACACTTCCGTAGGTCACCTGGTGTGCACAGGCTTACAGAATATATTTTTAATGTATTTCCTTTTCTTTGGATAGGGCCAGGAGACAACATGTCATCAAATGTTTTGCCGACATCACTGACTCCTGGAGGTAAACAAGGAATCTGTCAATGAGTTCTTGCTTTGTGGCTGGTATGGTCAGTCTCCACGGTAGATTGGGACAGGAGGAAAAAGAGAATGCCACAAGACAAGCAACTTCCTATGTAAAGAGTTTATCGATGGCCTGCTGAGAAGGTTCTCTTCCACTTTTTAATTCTGCAAAGACAAACCTTCGCATTGGAAGGGCATTAAATTGTCACATACTTAGCTAGTTTGCTAGGGAATTTCGTGACATAAAACAATTAACTCAATTGTTTGTCATAATAAAGGACAAGAATAACAACATCTTATCAAAATTGGTCCTCTCCTTTCCTTATCCAGCCTTTCCTCCTCTTGCTTCTTTTTTTTTAATTTTTAAAAATGTTTTCTTTATTTCTAGGAGAGAGAGAGAGAGAGCGTGAGCAGAGGAGGGTCAGAGAGAGAGGGAGTCACAGACTCTGAAACAGGCTCCAGGCTCTGAGCTGGCAGTCAGCACGGAGCCCGACGCAGGGCTCGACCCACGAACCGCCAGATCATGACCTAAGTGAAAGTCGGACGCTTAACCGACTAAGCCACCCAGGCGCCCCTACTCTTGCTTCTTTACAAGCATACAAGGAATTCATATTTATTGGTATAGAAGAACAACATCTTTTTCACTTAAAATTTGATAAAGATGTGAAAATTGGGTAACACCATGAGTATGTTACACGTAACAGGCACTCCATAGGCATTTTCCACGGGCTAGGGGAAAGCTTTACAATGGATTCTCCCTCAGAAACTCTCGAAGAAAAGCAAACAGTGCCTTCATTTCAGACTTCTGGCCTCCAGAACTGTGAGAGAATAAACGCCTGCTGTTTTAAGCCCCTTCATTTGTGGTGATTTGGTATAGCAGCCCTAGCTCTATGTGACGAGGAAGTAATTCAGGTGGGGAGGAGGGTTGGCTAAGAACCAGCACTTATAGTGAGTTTATAGTTCAGGAAACTTGCTAGAGCAAGTTGGAGGTGGCCCCTCCAAAATGGTAGCTGCCTGTGTCCTAACCCCTGCATTGTGACCTTATTTGGAACAAGGGTCTTTGCAAATGTAATGGAAGTGAGGATCTCAGGCTGAGAGCATCTTGGATATAAGGTGGGTCCTAGGGGCGCCTGGGTGGCTCAGTTGGTTAAACGTCCGACTTTAACTCAGGTCATGATCTCACAGTTTGTGGCTTCGAGCCCCGTGTCGGGCTCTGTGCTGACAGCTCAGAGCCTGGAGCCTGCTTCAGATTCTGTGTCTCCCTCTCTCTCTGACCTTCCCCTGCTCACACTGTCTCTCTCTCTCTCAAAAATTAAAAAAATAATAATAATAATAATAAGGTGGGTCCTAAATCCAATAACAAGTGAAAGAAATAGAAGACCCTGTGAATGGAGACAGGCAGTGATTGGCTAAAGCCACCAGAAACTGGAAGAAATAAGGTGGGATTCTCCCATGGAGATTTTGGAGGGATTATAGTCCCGCCATCACCTTGATTTTGGGCTTCTGAACTCCAGGGCTGTGAGAGAATAAAGTTCTTTTGTCTTAAGCTGCCAAGTTTGTGGTAGTTTATTACGGCAGCCATAGGAAACAAATATGCTTGGTGTTCAGGGTTTTAGTTTATCTATTTCTCTATAACCAAAAAGAGTGTGGCTTTGGGATTGGAGGGGAAAAAGTATCTTGTCGATCCAGGACACTTAAACTTGGTCAGAAGGGCTTTAGATCAGACACTGAAAACTTTCAGCCACCTAGGGTGGGGTGGACAGTAAGTTTGTGAGGGTTTTCTTGGTGAGTTTGGGAGGAGAGAGGGTTGGTTGGGGGAGAGATGTCCAGCCTACCAATGACTCCCCTTTGGAAGACATCAGTGGTCCCATCCTGGGATGTCAGGTCCAGCTCTGGCCTGAGTGGTTGTTTAGGGTACAGGTCATGGACTCTGGCAATGCTGCTCAACACCCGTTTGGGTCCTTGACCTCTCTTGCCTCCTCCTGAGCCTCAGCCTGTTGGCTCTGCCCTTCCATATTCCTGCTGTCTCCAAGCCCGGCTGCCTGCACCTACCCTCACCTGTCTTTGCTCATGTATTACAAAGCCTAAAATTTCATGTATTACACTGACATCTTTGAGCTTCACAGATCCCCAAAGGCCTAACTGGAAGTCTTCCTGTTCTTGCCAGATTTGACCTCCACTCAGTGAGAAAGCTGGTTTCCCCATCAGCTGGACCAGTTACACCCCACTGGTCTCCAACCGAATGGGTTTCAAAAGTCAATTACATCCTCTTACGAGAAGCAGGGGCACCTCACCCTCTTGTTACTACAAAGCCTGCCTCCTGCAATCCCTGCTGTTTCACTTGGCTCCTGAGTGCAGTCGTGATGTGGTCCTGCACGGCAGGTGGTGTCCTCCTCCCCTGGGCAAGGAGTATAAGGGACTAATAAACTGCTGTCTCACCAGTCCCGTGTTGGGTGTCGTATGTTCAGCCATCTCATCCTATTTAGGGCAGGGGATCCTTCCTTTACGCACAAGGTGAATAGGAGGTGATTAGAAAACTCCACACTCCATGTTGAGCCCAGGGCTTCTACTCTGCGACTTTCTTTCTTCCTAACGCATTACCTGCAGGAAAATGTGCCTGAGGTTTCTATCCCAGACACTCCCACTTTCCCAACTGAATCCCTGGGCAAATAGCCAGTTCTCAGGCAGCCTTTAAAATCTGGACCAATAACTCCCAGCCCTGCTGTATCTTTTAGCCACTTGGAGAAGAGTGGTGCTTTCAAGATATTCTGGTATTTGGGGAGGTGAGAGTGGGTGCAGAGGCTGGGCTGAGAGGGGATGTGTCTCTGATTTAAGGTAACAATTCCAAGTTTCAGTATTCCTGCTTTTGGCTAGTGGCATTTAAAGCCAAAATTTTTACCCCCAAACATTAGAAAGCAAGAAAGAAAGAAAAAGAGAAAGACCTTTTATCATTTCAGGTTTTATAAATAAAAAACAAAAAGTCCATTCAGAAATCCAATTGACTTCTCTCTCCCTGTCCCTTTCCATCTCCTCCCCCAACCCCTTTATAGCCAGACTTCTGTTTTATTAAGAGTGCAGTCTGTGGTTTGTATTCACAGATATGTGCAGCCATCACTAGAGGCCATTTTAGACATTTTAATCATCTCAGAAAGAAACCCTGCAGCCTTAACCATAACCCCCATCTCCCCTCCAGCCCTAAACAACCACTAATCCACTCTTTGGCTCCATGGATGTGTCTATTCTAGATATTTCATGGAATATAATGGAATCTTATAATGTAGGGAATTAATGTGGCTTCATTCACTTAATATAATATTTCCAACTTTCGTAAGTCTTGTATTATGTATCCTTCTTATGGCTGATTATTATTCCATTGTATGGATCTACCACATTTTGTTTAGCCACTCATCGATTGATAGATATTTGGATTATTTCTATCTTTTGACTATTATGTCTAATACTGCTATAAATATTCACATCCAAGTTTTCATGTGAACATACATTTTCATTTCTAGGAGTGGAATGACTGGTCACGTGGCAACTGCGCATGCAACTTTTGCAGGACCTGCCACTTTTCCAAAGTGGCTGCATTATTTTTCATTCCCATTAGCAGAATGTTTGAGATTCCAATTCCTTCGATCCTCACCAATACTCATCATTATCTTTGATTTTTTTTTTTTAACTCTCAAGTCTGGACCGAGGATGTTCCTAAGGGTATGGCTGTGTCTATTACTGCTGAAATGGTGGTATAAGGGAATGTAGTTATATTTATAGTGACGGGAAGAAACAATATCTTAATGCCTCAAAATATGATCCCACTATCCTATAATAGGCCCACTTATCTATTCACACAACAAATATAGACTTATCCCCCTTGATGTACTAAGCATTGTGCTTGATGCCATGGGAAACAGACAGATGAGCTGTGTCTTCTGCCCTGGAGATCCAGACCCTGCATCCGTGCCTTGGTTCGGGAGGCGAAGGCTGCCTGTGTTCTCCTCAGAGACTCACCTACCCACTTGCTCTACCCTGGCTAGTGGGAGCCTTGCCCTTCTGGTCAACAGAGCAGGGATGACAGATGTCTTTCTTTCTTTCTTTCTTTCTTTCTTTCTTTCTTTCTTTCTTTCTTTCTTTCTTTCTTTCTTTCTTTCTTTCTTACAGAGAAAGAAAGAGATGGCTCAGTCAAAAAGGAAAAACCATATAGGATCTTTTTCAAAGATCTCTTTCTTTTCAAAGAAGATGAAGTGGCAGCAAAGAAAAAGGTAAAGTTTTATTAAAGCCTAAACCCAATTAATGTTAGAAGCCTATCCTCTTATCTATCACTTTTATTAATGTTGTTGGATTAAGACATGGAGTCAGATGTCGGTGTATGCATCGCACACTGTGCTGGAGTGTAAACACACACAAAAGGAACAGCATCAAACAGTAAGGGCCTAGGGATCACCACCTTCTGGGGGAAGATAGACACACCATGACAAAGGCATATGACAAGTATGGTATTCCCCACTTCATTGATTCTAATGTCCATATATTCTTTCACATATTCTCATTCCTGAAATTGGGATCCAGCTTATATAGATGGGGTGCCATGCATAAATGGCAGTGCATAAAATAATAGTGTATGTATAATAAATGACATCTTAGAGTTGATAAAATACAGTAATAGAGACATACAAAAGAAATACAGAGAAAGGAGTGCCCGTCTTTGTTGGAGAGAAGGATGGTGGTGGCGGTGGTGGCGTGTGCCTTGAAGTTAATTTCACTACTTATATTTCTGTACCTTATATTACACAATTTGGATTTCATGAGGTTTGCTTTCCTTATTCCTAGAGGTAAAGGTTGATTATAGGATTTTAAAAATCCTAATTAGAATGAAAAAAGTATCTAGAAATTCTCAGTAACTAATTCATCTAAGGTGAGTGATGGTTTTATGCTTGAGTTCTATAGTTTCATTGAAAGTATCCAAAATTAATGGAAGGCTAATGTCTTTCTGTCTACTGGAGAGGTCCATTTCCTCTCAAGTTTTCAATTCAATTACACAGAACCAGTCCTTTCAAATCAGTTTGAAATTTCCAAGTTACCTGCAGTTTGGGCAAGACAAGATTAAAAAATGAAACTGAAAATAAAGCCAGAACTCTTTCCAGTCTCATATCTGTGATGCACATGTTTGGGAAAGGTTGAATGTCTTTATATTTTTGTTCAGCTTCCTAAGAGAAAGAACTGAAAACTAGACCCAGTCCTTCGGAGTTAAGAACTCAAAGTTGCTAATTTAATGTATCGCTAATGAGAAATACATCAGTAGTTAGAACAAGACTCGTTGTAAATGATATTTTTATATACGATCACTATTTTTAAAGACAAAATTTTATATAGTAAAAATTCTTTTAAACTTTTCCACTTGGGCAGGAAAAAATTATAAACCGCAGCATGAAAGTCTACCAAAAGTCTACTTTTTCATCTCGAATGAAGAGTCGTTCACACCTGGGCCAAATGGCATTCTACTCTGACAGGGCTCGTGACTCATTTGACAAATTTGGGCTAGATCCCACTCTTATTCTCAGATTAACAGAAGGTAAGTCTAAATTACTGGTTAAGAACAGTGTTTTGAATATTTACTGTTAATGTCAGGTTTGGGGGCTTTTCTGGAGATAAAAAAAAGAGTATACTATCTCATACTATGGTGGGAGGGGTCTCTGTAAATGGGACTGAGAGCTGGGAGAAAATCTATTTTAAATAAGAAAACACACTTTTCCAAGAAATAGACTGTTACTCATTTTCATGGTTCTAAAGAAGAAAGTCAATTCCACAATGATACAGTATTAAAGGCTATGGCATGGGCTATTTAAACTTGTTTCTAGATGTAGAAATATATGAAAACTTTCTAAAGAGAAGTCTTGATTTTCCAGGTCATAAAACTCACATATCCAGAATCAGGAAGCTAATAGCCCTGTTGTTGCAAAAACATAACCTGTTTCAAGGGCACTTGAAGGCAACATGTTATTATTTTAGGCTTTTAGTTATTGCTCCATGAAAAAGGGCAATGTGTTAATCAAAATGTCATGGATATTTCTTACTTGTTGGACCAAGAAGTGCCTACAAATGAGATAGAAAGCAGTTTGAAGCCAATGACATTGATATAATTAATGCTAGAATAATGGGGGGGTCACAAAATCTTCCCCCAAAATGAGTTTTGTCCACATTTTTAAATTAAAATTAAAAAGGAAGGAAGGAAGGAAGATACATGGACTGCCCAGGATTTGTTGTGGTAACTTAAAATTTTTGGTAACTTTCCCAAATTGTGATTAAAAAAATCTTAGGGAACAAAAAACGAAACAAAACAACCACTTAGGAAAGCACTTTGGAGTCTATAATTAATGTAGAAAAAGAAAGCCACATTATCTTTTTTTAGAAGATCTTAGAGGCACATAGTCTGCACATAGTTGTATGAAACAGGGCAAATGACAGGCAACATGACGCTCTCAGTGACTATCCCACTAGTAGGGTAGTAGGGTAGGTTCAGCGGCATATCTCATACTTTACCTTTATAGAATGGTGATCCCTAAGACATCAAGAGCACTTAATATTATATGGGATATGTTTTGGAGTTCGACACAAAGTGGCTACCTTCAAAAACCCTTGCGACACTACCACTTCTGAGATACCTGGCAAGTACGGTTTTGCAGATGACCCTACTTAACACCATGCCAGTTGACAGAGGGGTTACTGGTCTCTTAGGAGTAAATGACATACAGTAAAATCTTAAATTAAGCAATTTGGACATTTTTGTTGAAAACAAAGAAATCTCCCTCTGACTCTTTCCAATCAAGAGTTGATTTGGTTGAAACTCCCATTTCCCAACCTTACATTTCCTGCCTGGATCCTAATTAGAAACAGACCTACATGATGTAAAATGAGCAAGTGACCCCTACTTTGGGAGCCTGGTTATTTTAAGATTGTGTATCAATAGTAGTCAACTGCTAGATCACCTCAAAGGAATTACACAAGCAATTGTCATAGACAGATTGCTTAGGCTGCATAACAGATGTGCCATTTCCACCTACATGCAGCGGGCAGGTTGACTTTTGTTTTACTCTCAAAGGGCAACACATCCCGACCACATCCCCAGTAAGCGGTGAGGTACTCCGTAATTGAGGGAACACTAATGCTTCCAGGAGGGCTGGATCATACATAGTCTCTTTGTCAAAAATCTTCCAGATAGCTAGAAGAGCCAAAATGGGAAACCCATTACAACCAGTATTTAGGCTTAGAAGAATAAAATCACACCAAGTCAGCCATAAAGTATCATGTTAAAGTAGCCTAGGTGGTAAGAATGACTATAACATTTAGTAAAAAGGACGGTATAAGATTTTTTTGTTTTATCTAAAAAAGCCAAACTCACAGATACAAAGTGGATTGGTTATTGGCAAGGACTGGGGAGTGGGTGGGGAAAATGGCGAGATGTTGATCAAAGGGTACAAATTTCCAGTTATAAGACAAATAAGTTCTGAGGATCTGAACTTACCCTTATAGCATGGGGACTGCAGTTAATAATACTGTATTATACATACTTTAAAGTTGCCAAGAGATTTTGAATGTTCTCACCACAACCACCACAACAAAATAGTAGTAATATAAGGTGAAAGTTGTGTTAACTAATCTAATTATGGTGATCATTTTACAATATATGTGTATCAAATCATCATGTTCTACATTTTAAACTTGTACAATGTTATATGCCAATTATATCTCGAAACAGCTGGAAAAAAAGTATCTGTTCCTACATACTCCTGCATTTCTCTTTGAATTCTTGATTTAATATTTATCAGTCTCCGTATAAATTTAGCATACACAGAATCTGTCCCCCAAATTGCTGATTAACAAAATCATTTCTGGGGTGCCTGGGTGGCTCAGTCGGTTGTGTCCGACTTCGGCTCAGGTCATGATCTCACGGTTTGTGGTTGGAGCCCCGCCTCGGGCTCTGTGCTGACAGCTCAGAGTCTGGAGCCTGTTTGAGATTCTGTGTCTCCCTCTCTCTCTGACCCTCCCCTGCTCACACTGTTTTTCTCTCTCTCAGAAATAAATAAAACATTAAAAAACAATTTTAAAAAACCATTTCCTTTCCATGTGCTCTGTGCTCTGTGAGGACAAAAGGAAAAGATAATTTGTGTCATACACTATTGAAATGTTTCTAATAAGTTCTATTGGTGAGAAAAAGAGGACAGTATAAGATTTATTTTATACTGAAATTTATTCCAATTCATCTGACCCATCACAAGTGACCAAATAAAAGCTACAGTAAGCACTTTCATGCTTTTTTCCTATTAAAAATATTTTTTAAACAAATTGAACCTGAATCTAATCAAGTAAACATGGGAGATTGAGCACATGTTAAATAATACTATGAGGATGCAATCTCATTATAAAGGAAATTCTACAGGGAAATTTATCTGGTTTCTTAAACCAATAAATGGCATGGAATAAAGGTAGGTAATATGTATGGAGAGGTGGGGATGGTAGTTATAGATTAAAAAAATTGACTTTAGGAGTTATACCAACCAAATTGATCTTTGTTTAGATTTTAATTTTTTTAATTCTAAAAAGTTATTTTTTTTTAAATGTTTTATTTATTTCTAGGAGAGAGAGAGAGAGAGACAGCATGAGTAGGGGAGGGTCAGAGAGAGAGGGAGTCACAGACTCTGAAACAGGCTCCAGGCTCTGAGCTGGCTGTCAGCACAGAGCCTGACACGGGGCTCGAACCCACGAACCACGAGATCATGACCTAAGCGAAAGTCGGACGCTTAACTGACTAAGCCACCCAGGCGCCCCTAAAAAGTTATTTTTGAGACAACTGGGGAAATTTGAACCCAGAGTAGGCAAAGATGATACGAAGGAATTGTTAATTTTGTTTGGAATGATAGTTGTATTATGGGCTGTGTTTTAAAACTTTCTTTATCTGCTGGAGTTACATACTAAAGTATTTATGGATTAAATGGTAACAATGGCTTGGATTTGTTTTAAAATATTCCGGTGAGGGGTAAAGTGAAGAGTGGCAATAGATGAAACAAGATTAGTAAAATGTGGATCATGTTGAAGTAGGTGATAGGTACATGGCAGTTCATTTTATGATTCTAATTTTATGAATGTTGAGGATTTTTTATAATCTGTTAAATTATTAAAGAAAACCATGTTATAACTGGACCCTTATTATTTTCACATACATCATTTCACATACATCATTAATCCTCAACAAAATGCTGTTAGATATTTTTGCCTCCTTTCCTCCTCTGATGAAAATGGCCCAGTGAGCCTGAATCACTAATTCAAGGTCACTAGGTGGAACAGAACTCAAACCAATGTCTGACTTTAAGTCTTATTGTTTGTTACCTATAATCACAGAACTATTTATTAATGATTATGATAATCATTATTGATATTGTTACTGATCTGGGAAAGTTAAGTGATTACTCATTCCAATTGTATTTTTAATAATAGCTAATGATTAAGAAGTTATTATGTGTTTCTTAGCATGTTGCTTACTTCTCACAACACCACTATGAGGTAGAATAACAGAAATGGCTAATTTATGCTGTCGTCATAAACCATTCCTAAATTTCAGTGGCTGACAACAACAGAAGTTTATTTCTCATTCACCTTTCAACTTTGGTGCTTTTCATTGGGTCCTGCACTGAAGGAACAACCCCTGTCTAATATGTTGCTGGATTTCCGGCAGAAGGAGAAAGAGAGAACGAGGTAGTTCTTGAAACTTCTGCTTGGAAGAAACACAGATCACTTACATTCATATTGCATGAGCCAAATCAAGTCAATGGTCAAACTTGATGTGGGGTGGTAGGTAAGGGGAGATAATCTTCTTACAGAGAGGAGCAGAAAATAGTTTGGAATAAGAGCACCTGGGTGGCTCAGTCAGTTAAGCGTCCGACTCTGGCTCAGGTCATGATCTCACGGTTCGTGGGTTCGGGCCCTGCGTCGGGCTCTGTGCTGACAGCTAGCTCAGAGCCTGGAGCCTGCTTCCAATTCTGTCTCTCCCTCTCTCTCTGACCCTCCCCTGCTCATGCTGCCTCTCTCTCTCTCTCAGAAATAAATTTTTAAAAAAACATTAAAAAGATTTTAAAGAAAATAGTTTGGAACAATAATATAATTTACCACAATTAGTATCCTCATTTTTGCAGATGGGAAAACACTGAGGCTTGGAGAGGGTGATTAATTTACACACATCCTTATAGCTAGTAAGAGGCGGAGACAGAATACAGCCCAAAACTGTGGGCTTTCTAGTGCACTGTACTCACTGGGCATTTGGAAAACAAGATTTTTTTTTGGAGCGCCTGTGTGGTTCAGTCGGTTAAGTGTCTGACTCTTGGCTTTGGCACAGGTTATGACCTCATGGTTCATGGGTTTGAGCCCTAGGAGATTCTTTCTCTCTCCCTCTCTCCGCCCCTCCCCAGCTTGTGCTCTTGCTCTCAAGAATAAACAAATAAACTTTAAAAACAAACAGAAAAACATTATTTTCTTTCTAGTTCTATTTACATTTTAATCAAGAGACTTTGTTCTACACCACATTCTGGTGGTTCTTCATGAAGTGAACATTATTGAAATGCAGCTTATGTATACTTTTCCAGAATGAAGAAACCTTGAAAGGAAACTGATCTTCTTGATTGCTAGATAGTAAAAGTAGTCACCTGTTTCTTTCCTGCCGTAAAGTTGATTTGTGATCCCCAAAAACATTTTGCCAAAGGACTTCAGTTTTATATTTAGATTGGCCAAAACACTAAGATTTAAAACAGCTCAGTCTTCTTCAGCACAGGCTGAGGAGTCAAATGCCCCTTCCGCCACATGTTAGCTCTATTATCTCGGGCAAGCATCCTGACATCTCTGAGCTCACATACAGGATGGGGATAAAAATATGTACCTCATTGGGGTTATTGTTAAAATTAAATAAAGTAATCTACTTAAAGTGCCAAGGGGCACCTGGGTGGCTCAGTTCATTAAATGTCTGACTCTTGATTTCCATTCAGGTCATGGTCTCACTGACAGGGCAGAGCCTGCTTGGGATTCTCTCTCTCCCTCCATCTCTCTCTGCCCCTCCCTTGCTCATACATACTCTCTCTCTCTCTCTAAATAAATAAATAAACATTAAAAAAATAACGTGTCTAATAAAGTTCTTGGAATATGATGGACAAAAAATAAATGGTAGTTATTATTTTGAAATCAGTTTTCGAGTGATTAGGAAAAAAGTTTATTTGAAGATATAGTGGTTTTTAAAGTCAGATACATCTGTCTACAGTGATTTAATTACATGGATTTTGTTTTATACAGGCTTTTGGGGGATAATGAATTAAACCTAAGTCTATTTCAATTTTCTTTGAAGGTGCAGACACAAAAAGGACAATTCATGAATTTATTAATGACCAGAGAGACAGGTTTCTGCTGGAGGTAGTAAAAATTTCTTTCTTCCTTCCATTAAATAGAAGACTTCTTGCATAGCACTGCCAAATTTTCACCTTGACATTTTATTTGTCCACTACAGTCTGCAGATCTGTTGCCCCTCCTATCCTTTCCTAAACAACTCCAGTTGGGCTTTTGTCTTCATCAGTCCACCAAAACTACTTTGTCAAGGTTACCAGTGACCTTCCAATTGACAAGTTCAATTTGTCATATCACAGTCTTCCTCTTACTTCCCTGTCAGCGGCACTTAGGTCATTTGGTCATTTCCTCTTTCTTGAAATGCTTTCTTTGGCTGGTTTCCAGGACCCACTGTCTCTTGGGTCCCTTGACCCACTTCCTCATCACTGGCTGCTCACTCCTTCACAGTTTTCTTTTCCTGTTACTCTCCCCCGCCACCATCTCCGAATGTTGGAGTGCCCCAGGGCTCACTCCTCACCCTGTGCTCTATCTACATCCCTCCAGGCCCATGGCTTTAAATTCGGCTTCCCTGGTAACAACTTGCAAATTTATTTCTGTACCCAATCCTCTTCCCTGAACTCCAGACTTACAAAGGCAACAATAGTTCTTAACATCTCCATTTAGATGCCCAACAGGCACTTCAGACTTCACATTTCCAAAATTTTGTCCCTTCTATACTCTACCCCTGAAAATTCACATCTCATGTAGTGCTCCCATTGCAGTGAGTAGTAATTTTATTTTTCCAGCTGCTTAGGACAAAAATATTGAAGGTATCCTCAACTCTCCTACTTACAACCCACACTCAAATACAGCTTCAAATATATTTTTTCCTAATATATCCATAATCACACTACTTTTCATGACTTCTCCTGCCACCACTGTAGCCCACATCACCGATATCTCTTGCACAAATTACTGTTGTAACTTCTGAACACTGATCTCCTGCTTCTGCTTTTGCTCCCTATAGTCAGTCTGTTCTCCACACAGTGGTAGGAGTCTTTTCTCCACATGTGCCCCTCCTCTGCTGAAGACCTCTAGTGACTTATCTGTCCCTGGCTAGCTCTCTCTCACTCTGACCTCATTCCCACCACTTGCAACCTTGCTCACTCTTCTCTAACTACACTGGTCTCCTTGCTCTTCTTAGGACACACCGATCTTGCCCTTGCCTCAGGGCCTTTGCACTAGAGGCTTTTCCTTCTGGGAGGAACATTCCTTGCCTCAGATATCCCCATTATTTGTTCCCTATTTCCTTCCAGTTTCTGTTAATTTTCACCAAATCATGGAGACATTTCTCAGCTCTACGTAATGGCAACCCTCTGCCTTTGCCCCATTGCCCACTGGACCACTTTACCCCTCTGTAATGGACTCCCCGCTCCACTGGAATGTATATCCCATAAAAGCAAATCTGTTTATTTTGTTCATTGCCCTGTTAGCACCACTTATAACAGTCCTGACACACAGTAGGCAGTCAATAAACACTTGCCAAATCAAGTAATGAATGAAATTTGTTTTGATATAAATTTGGGGTATTTAATTACTGATATTTCTTTAAAATATTCTCATTTAAATATTTTAAATTCACTTATATTATGTGACTTTATTATTTCTTTTTCACGTATGGCATTAAAAACCCAAGCGAATTCTTACATTATATACTAAAAAAATAAAACCTAGATGTCAAAGTTTATTTTCAGATCTAAACAGGGCTCTTGGAGGCTGGTTAAACACCCCTGCCCTTGGGCAGCTTGGAGAAATGTGTTATAGGCATGGCAGGGTTGAAACCTGATTCTCTCCCACTACTTCCTAATGGAGGACGCTTTGTGACTGCAGACAGCACAATTTCCCAATGCCTAGAAATACTGGAGGGATGTTGTGGATAATACCAGGTGGACCTGCTCTTTGGAGGGATATGTAGCTTTTTTCATTTTCATTTTCACTTTTTAGCATAGAGCCTGAGGCGATATGTAGCTATTTTTGATTTACGGGGCACAGCCATTTTGGAGCCATACTGAGCTCTTCATAAAAGTGAAAGAGAGGAAGCAATCTCCATTCTAGTGATCCCCAAATAAACTCTCTCGTGAAATAAAGGCTATGGTCTCAAGACTTGGCATACTTTTATTTATTTTCAAATGTTTTATTTTTATGAGACAGAGAGAGCGTGAGTGGGGGAGGGGCAGTGAGAGAGGGGGACAGAGGACCTGAAGTGGGCTCTGTGCTGACAGCAGTAAGCCATTGTGGGGCTGGAACTCAGGAAGCATGAGATCATGACCTGAGCTGGAGTCAAACACTCAACTAACTGCCACTCAGGAGCCCCCGTGCTTTTATTTCTAGTACAAGTGATTGCTTAGTATGCAATTTATTTTACCCTTTATTATGAGACTATTGAAATGTACTAGCAATGGGGGGAGGGGGCGCCTGGGTGGCTCAGTCCTTAAGCCCTTAGGTGTCTGACTCTTGGTTTCAGCTCAGGTCATGATCTCATGGTTCATGAGTTCAAGCCACACAATGGGCACTGATGGTGCAGAGCCTGCTTGGGATTCTCTCTCTTTTTCATTCTTTGCCCTTCTCCCTCTCATGCTCTCTCTCTCTCAAAATAAATCAATAAATAAACTTAACAAAAAAATTACTTTAAAAGAAATGTACTAGCAACAGGCTAGAAATGTGGAATAATGTTGCACTTCTGTTTTCAATATTCCTAGTACGCTCTCTCAACCAAAAGAAATACAATTAAAAAGTTCGAAAACCTCATAGCAGTAAAGGAACGGCAACTCGTAAAAGCAGAAAAAAAGCTCCAAGAAGATGCCATGGCCTTTGAAGAGTTCCTTCGAGAAAATGACCAGAAATCTGTAGACGCCCTTAAAATGTTCGTGTTTTCACTCCAGCCAAATTGCCTTTTTCCCCCTTTCTTTTCTGTTTCTCAGAACACAACACAACACAAACTAATAAATCTCTGTTACTTTTCAGTGCAGCACAGGAAACTATAAACAAACTCCAAATGACAGCAGAGCTAAAGAAAGCAAGTATGGAGGTTCAGGCCGTAAAAAGGTGAGCCCAGGGCACCATCTTTTCCTTCTTAAATATCCATGCCCCATTGAAACCTACTTGTGCCTAGCAAGACCTAGGTGAGAATATTCCTTATCAATTGATGATTCCATAAATATGACCTCATTTTTAAAATAAGTAACCTGTTGATCAAGGATCATCTCTCTCTGCCTGGCTATCAGAGTACAGTGACCTCTGGTTGGAAAGTTTCCTCTAACTTGTCAATATAAAAGCCTAGAAATTGGTTGAGAAGAAGCAAGCCAACATTAAAAGTAAACCATAAATTATTTTCTTAGTGTCCTCTTTCATTCATTCTAAGGCATATTTCTTCCCACATTTTAACATTTCTGAAATTGGGGTTCAATTTTACAACCATCTTAAAACTGTAATTGACAATATTTTTTATATTTATACTTACACTTAGTTGAACCTAGAATTGATATTAAAAACTGGAATCTACAATGACAAAAATTACAGGAGGAGGAAGTTGGGATAAAATTATTATACCACCCACCACACTTTTTTTTTTTTACTTTCAAGCCCAGATGTTTTCTTCTGTGGTCAAGTGTATCTCATTTGATCTAATTTTAAATATCTAAAAAAGCTTCCTTCTATCATCATTCTTGGACAGTAATTTCATGACCCAGCAGACACTGGCCTTTGTATCAATCATGCTAAAACTTTTTTTTTCTTTTTAGGGATTTGATGCTTAACTTTCCTCTAAAATCAAGTCCTAGACTTTTCAGAAAAGAGGACAACAGCTTCTCTAAAATATAGTAAATGAACTGGATGGTAGTTTCTTTGAAACCGATTGCTACTAACAGAATGTGTGTTTTCAAACACATTCTGGCTACAAAGGCCTCTTTTATTTTAGGAGCCTAAATTTGAAGGCATTCCAAGGTGGAGAATTCCCTTCCCTCCTTCACTCCATCATGTAATTAGAAGATTCTGTTCCATTTATAGAACCAGAGTAGCAGCCTCTATGTTTGCACAGAGTACTGCATTTTTTGCACAATGGCCATCCTGCAAACGCCTTGTTGAAAAGAACTTGTGTATTGTTTACATGTCTCGTCATCCTAGAAAGGTATAAAAAGGCAAAGAAAAACAAGCTGGTAACAGCACAAAGGATGCAGGCAACTGCTATTTATTTCCTTTTTTTCTTTAAGTTTATTTATTTTGAGAGAGAGCGAGCACACGAGTGGAGGGAGGGGCAGAGAAAGAGAGGGAGAGAGTGAATCCCAAGCAGGATTCCACACTCAGCGCAGAGTCAGATGCAGGGCTGGATCCCACAACCCTGGGATTGTGACCTGAGCCAATATCAAGAGTCAGATGCTCAACCAACTGAATCACCCAGGCGTCTTTCCTTTTTCTCTCTTTATGGGCTTGAGATGGCCCAGGAAGTTCCTCCACTGCAGGTAGGGCTGGAAATCTGCTCACAAAGGGAAAGGGAGCTTGCTCTGAGGCTTTTGCTTGGAAGATGTGCAATTCCAGCCATTTGAATCTTGTTTTTTGTAGCACATCTGGGAGGCTTCAGGCTAAAAATACAGTGGCAGTAGAATGAGAGGCTCCCAACATCTTTCACCCAGTGATATGTGAGCCAGCCATTTATTGACTCTTGACTATCACTCTCACATCAGGGCTTAAGGAAGTCACCGATTGAAAGAAGCACTGAAGCTGAGGATATTGATACAGGAGTAATATTGATAAGGATATCGAAGAGGGGACGATTTAGGAAGCCTCGAAGGATAACCAGGGACCTCCCTTTCATGACAGCCTTCACTGTTAGTTTCAACATTTCTTGAGAGTCCACTTTGTAACATGATGTAACATAGGAAAGCAATCTGAGGGGAAAGGCTTTCAGTCCAAGTCACTGGATTTTGTCGGTGAGAGCTTAGGCATCGGAGTCAGTCAGACCTGGATCTGAGTGCTGGTTCTGCCATTTACTAGACAGATGATGTCACAGGTCATTCATTTCTTCTTCCAAAAGGTAGGATGATACCTATTTTAAAGTGCTGCAGTGTGTCCTGCATATATGGCCCGCTTCATAGTAGGCGCTATTGAGTGTTCATTTTCTTTATTCTTCTTACATAAGTACCATCTTTTGCTACCTTCTAATTTTTCCCTATGTCTAAAATTTAATACATTTCCCTCAAAAATAAGTAGAGTAAAACTATCATCAGTCTATTCTATGAGTGCATATCCTTGGCATATTTTATTCAAATAGCATTCTTATATGTTTTTTCTTCTCACCTCATGGCCATACTTACAATTTTTATTAAATATTATTCAAATATATAATCAAGGTAACACATTTTGTAAAACCTTTTTAAAAAAATGAACATACTTTCAATGGATATTTTCAATGATACCTTTGTTTCTTTTGAGTAGTGAGATAGCAAAAACAGAATTCCTCCTTAGAGAATACATGAAATATGGATTTTTTCTGCTGAAATTGTCTCCAAAACACTGGCAAATCCAGCAAGCACTGAAAAGGGCACAGACGACAAAGGGTAGTATGAATGTCACCCTTCCGATATTAACAAGTGAGTCACATGTCCTTAATTTCAATGAAGTAAATATCCCTAATTCTCAAATACTCTGTTTCAATATTTACTTTTCTTTATGAGTCAGAATTTCTATTTTAAGCAGAACCTGAACAAGAATTCCCACTATCTCTGATATTATAAATTCTTAATTTGTAATATGTAAAGCAATAAAAACATATACATGAAGAAATAGAAAATATTTATTTGCAGATGATATGATAGCATACCTAGAACTCCCCTCACCCTCCCATATAAAATCTGAACAACTATTTGATTTTACTAAAGGGTTCTGCTGAGTAAATGGACACAAACTCAATTATACTTTATTAACCTCACATATTAACTTAGATAGACTAACTTCATTAATTAGAAGATATACAAGGAAATCAAATTCAAGAAGGGAACAATAACCTTAATTGTGTGACCTGGTGATTTGATGAAAAGAGAATTATGTCCTGTTTTTATAGAGGAAGGCTGATATTGTAAAGCTGCCAGTTTTTCTGAAATTTATAAGTTTTATGAAATTATAATAAAAATGTTACCAAAAACTTGCCAGGCAACTGAGTGTTGGTTAGGGAGAACTTTGAACAATGATTCTGAGGTCCATCTAGAAAGATAAATACTTCTGAAGTAAAAGGATAATAGAGGGTGTTACTAATCTTTTAAGGCAGTATATAATATCACAAAGTCTTTGAAATTAACACAGCATGGTACTGGTGTTAGGAAGTTAGCTCAATGGATCCGATATATTATATATAAGAATTAAGTAAGTGGTAAGTTATCAAAATAGGGTCACAAATCACAGAGGAAAACTACTATTTCCAGTGCATTCAGTGAACAAGGACCAGACTTACCCTTCTGCCTAAAAAACCCTGAAAAATATATAAAGCAACAGGTTTCAGGCATGAGGCACCAAGGAGAGAAGGTGATCATGAGAGAGGGGAGACAAATGAGATGATGGCCTCAACATACAGCCTGGGGAGTATTTTCAGGATGCAGCATAGGGAGGAAGAGCCCAGCCATCCTCACAAATTGAAAAGACAGAGCTATGGGTCCAGGGGGGCTGGAGTTCCCAGAGCAGAGTACCGGAGAGGAGAGAGCCACAGAGAGTTCTCTGCAGAGTCTTCAGCTGAGAGCTGATCCTGAGTCTCCGGGGGTAAGAGCATTTACCCCAAAGAAGTCAGTAAACTACAAATCAGGGGGATGTCCTTTCAGGAGGGCTGACTGTTAAACATTTACCAGAACACCAGGGATGGCTTCCCTGCTCAGTTCCGTGTCTCTCCCTGTGCTGTGAGATCATCTGTGTAGAGTACCAAGCACAGTGATGGCACTTGGTGTTTGACAAGAGATAAAACAAAAAGGAAAGCTGGGAAGTATTTGCATCTAGCAGCTTACAATTCAGTGCTCCTAGACTTGTCCTCAAACTGGAGGATGCTCAGAAACCAGCGAGCCACTCAGTCCAGAGTGATTGGCTGACACTGAGATAACAGAGATTACGACAAACCGATGCAGAGACCTCTCTGCAGAGAGACCTCCTCATGTCCCCTAGGTCTGGTCCCATCCATTCTGCCTGTTCCAGAGACCAGCCCTTGCTGTCTGCTTCATACATTTGTGTGTTACAATGCTCCCATCCTCTATTTCTGTCCCTTTACGTTTTCACGTAACTCTACCTTCACCATGAGACAAACTTCTCATTCTCAGAAGTGTTCTCTCCCCTTTCTCTCTCCCATTTCTAGAATTAAATACAAGGAAGAAAGAGGGCAATACTGAGGATTCCAGGAAGGCATCCTTTTCAGACGAGTATTCTATGGGAAGAGATAGCCAAGGTAACACTAGAGACTTGAGACTTCACTCACAAAAGTAAAACCAGAGAAGGTGTCCACCTCAAAATGGAAACCCAGGACCTATAAGCTAACCTCGAAAACAGAAGGTGGTGTCCACATCACCCATATTCCTTGGGAGCTAGAAGTTCCATTTCTTTCTCTCTGACATTATTACAAAATTTGGAGAGATGGATGAGTGGATAGGACAGGCAGAGAAATCAGGGGCAAAGGACTTGGCACAAGTCATCCCTTCCACAAGTGCCCATCATTTGTATTTTTATATTGATTTTTAAAAATCTGTGATCATATAAGAAATATATATGGTTAGGTAAAAAATAACACCATGATTTATATTTCACAATTTATGTTCCTGATTGTGACTTTCAATAGTTGTAACATGTTTTTGACAATAGTACTCTCCAACCCCCGCACCCTGCACAACCAGTGCCTTTGATTTTCTTAGGCTTGGAACCCAATTTCCCTAGAATAAAAGAGCTCCACTTTTTATGATTATCATTCTAATAATAATAAAAAAGAAGTAAGGGCATATCCATGAAGAAAAATTAATATTTTGCACCAAGTAAGAGGAATCATTTCTAATTATGTGTTTCTTTTCACCTCCACCATCGCCAATGATATGGACTTCCCCTGAACATTTTGAACAGGAAAACTACGCAGGAAGACCACTTTAACCGTAGAGAATAAGAAATCATCCTTATCAAAGTACAGTACACACTTGATTAACTCTCTTGGAAACTGTGAATGTTTTTCAGCAAATATCCCTTCTAGCCTTTCTTCAACATATATACCACATATCCATACCCATATCCATCTTAATGGATACTGGAGGTAGTGGCTGCCGTTCCTGGGTGCTCCTGAGTTGACGAGAGTTCTCGCAGGGCTCCCTGCATATTTTCATGAGTGCCTGCCACTGCTATTTGCAGAAATGGCTACCCTCTGCATCTTGGGTCTGGCCCTCTCAGAACCATTGCTTAATTGTTTATTAAGCTTCTCTGCCAGCCCCCATGTTGCAGTTTTACCAGGTCATTCAAAATTGCTGCAATAGGACCACAAAGCATTGTTTGTTTTGCCCCTTGTTTGTTGACTCATTTATACTCATTATTTCATAAATTGCTAGTTCTCAACCATGGCTATCCCAGGGGAGCTTTAAGAAAATATACTGATGTCCAGGATGGGTACAGTGGCCCCAAGGAAAGGATCTAGGCCATGACAATCACACATGACAAGTCAGTGCAGACACCATACTCTGAATTCCAGGGACTCTGAAGTTGCTCCACTTCTGTGGCATTTAACAATCAATGTTTTGTTTTTAATTAATTTTTTTTATTTTGAGATAGTTGTAGATTCACATTGTTGTAAGAAATACAAAGAGATCCATGTACTTGTAACCAGTTTCCCCCAACCCAATGTAACATCTTGCAGAACTGTGGTACAATATCACAACCAGGATATTGGCATTGATACAGTCAAGATGCAATCACATACAGAACATCACCATGAGGATTCTTCATGTTGCCCCTTAGCAGTATACCCACTTCCCTCCCTTCTCCTATCCTTAACTCCTGGCAACCACTAATCCTTTCTCTATTGCTTCGATTTTTGTCATTTCAAGAATGTTATATAAATGCAATCATACACTATATAACCTTTTGGGATTGGATGCTTTATAGAGGATAATTCTCTGAAGGTTCATCCAAACTGTTGGGTCTATCAATGGTTGGTTCCTTTTCATTGTTGAGCAGTATTTACAGTTAACCCTTGAACAACATGGGTTTGAACTGTGCAGATTCCCTTATATGTGGAATTATTTTCAATAAATATAGTACAGTACTGTAAATGTATTTTCTCTTCCGTATGATTTCCCTAACATTCTTTTATCTGGCATACTTTATTGTAAGAATATAGTATTTAATACATATACAAAATGTGTTAATTGACTGTTACTGGTAAGAATTCTGGTCAATGGTAGACTATTAGCAGTTAAGTTTTGGGGGAGTCAACAGTTACATATGGATTTTTGACTGTGTAGGAAGTTGGCTCCCCTAAACTCTGTGTTGTTCCAGAGTCAACTGTAGATGATATGGACATGCTACAAGTTATTCACTTATTGAACAACATCTAGATTGTTTCTAGAGTAGAGCTATAAATAACAAAATTATTATAAATATATTTGTGCAATGTTTTGTGTGCACATAATTTCCATTTCTCTGGAATAAATGCCTAGAGTGCAGTTGTTGAGTTGGATGGAAGGTGCACGCAGAATTTTTAAAGAAACTGCCAATTTGTTTCCCAGAGTGGCTATACCATTTTACATTCCCACCAGCAATGAACAAGGAATCTATTCTCTCTCCATTCTCACCAGTATTTTGATTTTTAAAACTTTTAGCTATTCTTATTGATGTATATATCCTTATTGTGCTTTTTTTTTTTTTAAAAAAAGCTCATTCCTGGTTATTTTTTATGTGACTATAGTTGACATGCAATGTTACATTAGTTTCAGGTGTGTGATATAGTAATTTGATGCTGTGCTCATCACAAGTGTAGTTACCATCTGTCATCATACAACACTATTATATCATAGACTATATTCCTATGCTGTGCCCTTTACTCTCATGACTTATTCATTCCATAACTGGGAGCCTGTATCTCCTGCTCTCCTTTACCCATTGTGCCTATCCCCCACCTGTTCCTCTCTGGCAATCATTAGTTTGTTCTCTGTATTTATAGGTCTGATTCTGCTTTTTAGATTCCACAGATGAGTGAATTCACATAGTATTCATGTTTCTCATCTGATTTATTTCACTTACCATAATACTCTCCAGGTCTATCCATGTTGTCACAATTGGCATTATCTAATCCTTTTTTGTGGCTGCATAATATTCCTATCTTTTGTGCTTTTTATTTGCATTTCCCTAGTAACTAATGATGTTGAACACCTATTGATGTACTTGTTTATATCTTTATATCTTGTTTGATGAAATGTCTATTATAATCTTTTGCTGGTTTTCTAACGGGATTGTCTGTTTTTGTTTCTTACTGTTGAAGTTTGAGAATTCTTTATATATTTCTATATTAGCCCTTTGTGGATATGTACCTTGCAAATATTTCCCCTCAGCCTGCAGATTGTCCTTTCATGCTCTTACCAGGGTCTTTTGTAGAGCAAAAGTTTTCTATATTGATGAAGTCTAATTTATCAATTTTTTTTTCTAATATGGATCATGCTTTTCATGTCAGGTCTAAAACGTTTTGTCTAGTACGAGATCTCAAGGATTATTTTTCATGTTTTCTCTGAAAAGTTTTTATAGTTTTACATTTAAGTCTGTGACCCATTTTAGGTTATTTTTGAATAAGGTATGAGATTTAGAGTGAGGGATTTTGTTTTGTTTTGTTTTTTGTTTTGCCTATGGATGTCCATTACTCCAGCTCCATTTGTTGAAATGGCTTCTCCACTGAATTGTTTTTGTATCTGTGTCAAAAATCAAGCATATTTGTTCAGGTGTGTTTCTAGATTCTCTATTCTGTTCCATTAATCTATGTGGCCATCTAACACCAATACCACATGGTCTTTATTACTATAGCTGTTAGTCTTGAAATCATTTAGACTGATTCTTCTTACTTTATTCCTTTTTCAAAATTTTGTTAACTATTCTAGTTCCTTTGGCTTTCCATACAAATTTTAGAATAATTTTTATCTATATCTACAAAAGATACTTGCTGGAATTATTATTAGAACTGTGTTAAAAACCTTGTTAAGGGTTGAGTTATGGCTCCCTATATCTTTATAAAAGATATATTAAAATCTAATCCATGGTACTATCTAAGAATGTTAACTTATTTAGAAATAGGATCCTTGTAGGTATAATCAAATTGAAGCCATGAAGGTGGGACCTTAATCCAGTATGACTGGTATCCTTAAGAGACACAGAAATGCAGGGAGAATGACATGTGACAACAGAGGCCGAGATTGGAGTGATGCATCTACAAGCCTAGAGAAGAAGATGACCACACAAGAAGCTAAGAGAAAAGCATGGAAGAGATTCTTCCCTGAAGACTTCAGGGATAGCATGGCCCTGCTGAGCTTGATTTTGGACTTCTAGCCTCCAGAACTGTGAGAGAATAAATTTCTGTTGCTTTAAGCCACCTTGGTGGTGGTACTTTGTTACAAGCAACCTTAGGAGACAAATTGGAACCTGTATATCAATTTGGGGAGAAATGACATCATTACTACATTAACTCTTACAATCCATGACCATAGTATGTCTCTCCACTTATTTATATTTTCTTTGATTTTTGTTCATCAGCTTTTCATAGTTTTCAGCATACATGTTTTGTTGAACATAATAGTTTTCCTATTTTTTCTTTTTGAGCAATTGTAAATGGCACTGTATTTTTAATTTTAGTTTCTTTGTGTTCACTGCTAGTATACAGAAATACATGATTGTTGTACTTTTATGTACTCTGTGCTGAGCTCACTTATTAGTTCCAGGAATGCTGGGTTTGTTCCTCTGGGTTTTTTAAAAATTCCTTTGGATTTTCCATGTAGACCATCATGTCATCTGTAAATAGAGACAGTTTTATTTCTTCTTTTATGATATGTATGCCTTTTATTTCCTTTTCTCGGGTTACTGCAGTGGCTAGAACATCCTATGTTGAATAGTAGCACTGTGAGCAGACATCCTTGCCTTGCCCAGTCTTAAGAGGATTCGGGTTTTCAACATTAAGTTAGCTGTAGGATTTTTATACAGATAACCTATCAACTTCAGGAAATCCTCTCTAGTCAAATTTTTCTGTGAGTTATCATAAATGAGCATTGAATTTTGTCAAATCCTTTTCTGAATCTCTCAATACCCACAGTAACATGCAAACACTACATTCACTCCTCAGAAAGCTTACCACTCTCATAGTTTCTTTCATTCATTCAACCAGTACTTATTGAGTGACCTGTGGACCCAACAGTAAATAAAAGACAGTCTCTGCCCTCAAGAAGCTTGTCATCTAGTGAGAAGACAGACAAGGGATTAGTCAGTTACAATATAATAGAAAATGCCTTGAAAGGATAAGCTCAGAGTACCATAGGCATGCAAAGGAAGGACTCTTAACCCAGACAACAGGTGAGGGAGGAGGAGAGCAAGGGCAGGGTAAGTGAACACTCTCCAGAACAGATGGCATCCAAGCTGAGTCTGGTGAGAGGAGGAGGAGCTGGGGAAGACAAACTCGGGGAGACGTAGGAGCCTTTTGGCACAGAGGTGGAAGAGCTTGGTTCTGTGAAAGTGAGAGGCTCAAGGGGCAGATAAGTCCTGTAGCATGAGCAGGTAAGCAGTGGAGCCATCCTAAGGAGTCTGTGATTTGTCCCAAGGGTGCTGGGGAGACACTGAGGGTTTCAAGGAAGAGTGTAACAGAGACTCAATTGGATTTACATTTCAGCAAATTGGATGTGGGAGTACTTTAGCAAATGAAAGGGAGACAAAACTAGAGATAAGAGGGGCCAGTTAGGAGCCTGTTGTCACAATTCAGGGGGGATATAATGAACTGTCTCAATCCGATAGTGGCAGTAGGAACAAAGAAGGAAATGCCGTGAGACACCTCAGGGAAGTGGTATTGACAGGTTTTGAAAGGCTCACATAAAAGATTGTGGGAAGTGTGAGGAAAAGAGAGTGGTCAAAAAACTCACAAATTTTGTGAAAGATAACTCCCAAATTTCTGGGTGGCAATGGGGTGTACAGTGTTGTCATTCAATTGGGATCACAGCAAGGGGAGCAGGCCTGAAAAGGGAGATAAGGAATGTGATTTTGGATTATCTTATTTTTAGGATTATCCTTGTAGGACAGCCAAGTGGACATAATTTCCACTGGAAGTTAGACATTGAAGTCTGGAGCTCAAGAAAAAGATAGATATGTGCGAGCCATTAGTATTTTAGCAGTAGTGGAATCCGTGAGAAAGGATGAAATAACCCCAAAAGAGTGGGTACAATGAGAGGGGAAGACAGCTGAGGAACCACAGACATTTATGTCAGAAAGGAAACCAAAAAGGTAACAAGAACTTCAGAGAGGCGGGAAAAGACTAATTAGAAAATGCTACCACTGGGGCGCTTGGGTGGCTCAGTCAGTTAAGCATCCTACTTCGGCTCAGGTCATGATTTCACAGTTTGTAAGATCCCACATCCAGCTCTGTGCTGACAGCCTGTTTCGGTTTCTCTGTCTCCTTCTCTGCCCCTCCCCGTCTCATGCCCTGTCTCTCTCAAAAATAAAAGAAGAAAAGAAAAGAAAATGATAGCACTGGATCAAGAGAGAGGAGTTGGGTAGGACAAAAGTTATCAAATGCTTTCTCAGGGGACATTTCCCAAATATTCATTTACGTCTATGGCTCTTTATACATTTTCCCATGGCTTAAAGGGCAGCTCCAGGTAGGTATTTTGTCCCCTCAAACTCAACATGAACAAAGCAAATATTAATCTTTTTCTTATCTTTAAACTGTTCTTGGTCTTGTTAGGGCTACTTCCATCATTCCAGGCTCACAGATTACAAATGTTGGAGTCATTTTTGTCTCTTCTCTTTTGGCCCCAGTAGCTCTTTCTTGGATCCCATAATTTCATTCTTCCATATAGTTCTAGAATCTCCTCCCTCCCCTAACCCCTACTCACTTTCCCCTTCATCACTACCCTCTACTTGAAAGTGTTAATTACATAGATCACACCAACAGCTACCTTCCTCTCCCTAGCCCATGCCTCTTTAATTTTCCAATCATTTTCAATTTATCCTTCTTAAAGCATTTTTCCAGAGCCACTTTGCAAACAACATCAACATAATTATTCTTTAAGAATGTTACTTTGGGGTGCCTGGGTGGCTCAGTCAGTTAAGCGTATGACTTCAGCTCAGGTCATGATCTTGCAGTCTGTGAGTTTGAGCCCTGCGTCGGGCTCTGTGCTGATAGCTCAGAGCCTGAAGCCTGCTTCAGATTCTCTCTCTCTCTCTCTCTCTCTCTCTCTCTCTCTCTGCCCTTTCCCCGTTCACATTCTGTCTCTCTCTCTCTCTCAAAAATAAACATTAAAAAAAAAAAAATATATATATACACATATATATATACCTCATCACCCATCCCAACCATTTATTTCCTCAGCCTGATCAGAAAATATTTTTTAAAAATCAGTTCTTCAGAAGACAAATATTGTATTGCTCTGGGAACGACCTTTGTTTTGAGCACTGGAGCACGTTTAGTTTGTCAAAACTACATTAGAAGTGACAAAACACATGCAACAAAGCACATTGTCATGTGTTTTTTTTATAAAAAGTTTTTATAGATACACCTCAAATAATTGGTACCATATGGTTTGGCCCGCCCTTGTGGTCTTGTTTGCATGTGTCAGCATTGTCTGGGACTAAATCGGATTTTCTTTTGCATACCTCTGAAATTCATTGATTCCTGCAAACAGCAGTTTCCTAAAAGGCCAAAAAGACTATCGAAAAAGAACTGTTATAGTTAGGTTCCAAAAACAATTTAGAAATAAAAGCAAATCTGTTCACTGAAAATGGCTCAGAAACCAGGCATTTTATTTCTTTTACAGCCCCACTGAAAGTATCAGTTCAGAAGATAGTTTGGAATTCTTTTTAGATGATGATACAGACTATGATCTGGTAATCAGATTATCTTTCTTGATTTGAATATTGTGTTTGGTTAAAAGTATAAATGCTCATTATTTTTAAGAATTAAATTTCTTACTCTAAATATTCCACAAATTTCCAGAAGTTGATTTTGATACTGCTTCCCAGTTGCCTATATAGTTCATCTTTGTCATCATTTTATGAAAAATAAATGTTTATAAGAAGGTAATAATTCAGGTGATATATGTATTATCTATAATCATCCTGTAAAAATGCCACTTTCTGATTGCTTATCATTTTACTGGAGCTTGAGATATACTGGATATCTATACTGTAAGATAAATCAACCTTCAACAAAACAGCCCTTTATGTTACAAGACTAACTTTGAGCTAATTCCATCCTAAAACATTTGTATTTTGTCTCTTTGTAACAGAGCCTAATGTCCTCCAGGTTCATTCATGTGGTAGCATGTGCCAAGATTTCCTTCTTTTTTAAGGCTGAATTAAATCCCCATTGTATGGATATACCACATTTTCTTTAACCATTCATCCATAAATGGATCTTAAGGTTGCTTCCACCTCTTGGCTATAGTTAATATGATGAACATGGTGTGCAAATATCCAAGTAATCTTTTTAAAAACTAAATTTACTTAAATACATACATATTTGTTACATTTTTTGGAAAATATAAAATGAAACAGGGGAGAAAATTATCTGTGCTTAGCCTCCTTTTTCTCTTTCCTATTCCTTCTCTCTTGCCTTTCCTTAGACCCATCTTTCCCTTTTTCTTGTCTTTGTCTCCACTTCTGCTCCATCCTCCACTCTCTTTTCCTCACCTTTTCTTCCCCCTTCTCTAATACCTTTCGTCTCCCCTAATACCCAAATATCCTCTTCCTGAAGGCCATCTCTCAAATAGGCCTCCTTGCCATTCTCTGCCCATGCTTCCCTTGTAATCAGAATGGTATTCCTTCCCCCCGCCACACTGTATTTTTCTAGATAAGTCATATGTGCTTAAGTAGCATATTTTTAAGTAAATCATTTTCATTGCTGGTTGATTAGGAACCAGAGATTTATTTCAAAGAACCAGAAGATTTACTTCAAGTCCTCACAGAGCTGGAAGAGCAAAATCTAACTTTGGTACAATATTCCCAAGATGTAGATGAAAGTCTTGAAGATCTATATAAAAGAGAAAAACTTATACAGGATAAAATGTGAGTTATTAAAAACAAGTAGATTTATTCTATTAAGCAAGTCTGTCTCTAACCAGAAACTGAATCCAACAGTGTTCCTGTATGACCCTTCCTTATGGTCTCTCTGGATTTAGTCTGGGATTTTTTTGTTAATAATTTACATTGTAGGGTATAAAATGTAGAAGTTATATTTACACAGAGTAGACTGGCTTTAGTTTAATTGTAGTCCATACGTCCTTTCACTTGTCAAAATATTTGCTTAGCTAGCAATAATAAAAGGCAGTTTGAAAGATTAAAAAGAATTAAAATGTCACCTGCCTTTATTTTTTTATTTTTTTTTTACTGCAGTATACTTGACACACATTACATTGCTTTCAGGTGTACAACGTAGTGATTCCACAACTCATTAAGTTTTGTCCGATGCAGCTTTCATTCTGCTATCTGGCTTTAGATGATAATGTAATGCTAATAAATGCATTTTCCTTTACTGTAACGCTCACAAAGTTATGTGACTTAAATATTATACAATTTTATAACATACATATAGATATACCAGGGCTCTCATAAAAGGGATTTCTGTCAGGGGAAGGAGGCTGGATTTGATGCTTCACAAAATTCCTTCTCTAAAATTTTATATAATTTTGGAAAAGAGCTTCAAATAGCAGAGAATAAACCTGTTTATCCACCCATTATAAAGATGTGTAAAGTCTTTTCCAGAATAGTTTTGTGGGCCAGTCGATGGTAATCTTTTCAAACAGTAGGTCAAACTACACTGAATTTTGGAACAAATTAACTTATTCAAAATTTAAGCCCCTACAAATCATGATCTCACAGCTACCCTTCACCACTGATGTATCCTTCTAATCCTGGTCTCCTCTCTCCCAATCCTCATAGCATACGGTGCCCACACCCTGACAGTATGAGTTTTGGGAAGGAAGTGGGTATGATTGGGCAGGAAATGGGGATCCAGGTCAGAATCTATCTCTAGATCACTCCACAACTTGATTCCTGACATGCCAACTCTGGAGGCCTCAGGGGAATCATAGGAAGAAAATCCTTCCTGATAGAAGTTAAAAGCACTTATATGTGAACTTATTTTTTTTTCTCATTTTACCTGAAAAATTGTATGTACTTTGACATCTTAAAATATGAACTTGTATTTGGCTTACTAGACATAGAATGCTGATCTGGAAAGTGTGCTGAAGCTCAGGAATGATGGTTTATTTCTAAACCACAAATTACAGACAAGGGTCCTTTTCTTCTTTGGCAATAGAAATAGCAACATAGAATTTCTTTTGGAGCACAAGGAAATGCTCAAGACTAACTGTGTGAGAGAAGAGGAAAAAGCTGCAGAACTGGAATTAAGGTCCAGGCTATTTAGTTTTGGAGAATTTAAATCAGATACTCAGGTAATCATTCTTTGCCGATGGTATTTTTATTTTGGCTCATGTTAATAATAATTTGCATTTCCTGTCCACTAAGCATTGGAATGGGGAGTTAAAGCACACCACAAGTCCTAGGTTGATGACAGAGGTAGAAAACCAACTTGGAATTATCTTGTCTGTACATAATAGTCAATTCACATAGTAGATAGAAAGCATTCAAGCTGGTATTGGGATTCTCCTAAAACGTGCTCTAATTATTACAAAGTATGATGTTGAAATTGTTCTCCCCACAAATATATCTTAGTTAAGAGTGTACACACATGAAGTAGTTCATTGTCTATGATCATTTTGTTCATAATTTGAAGATCAAATAATTAACAGGTGAAGCACTGCATCAAAACTGAATGGAGTATCAGCCCAACACTGAGCTTTTAACAGATGTCAGCCTCTCTTGCTGACATGGGGCCCCCATGATGCACTAACGCATTATCTATTTTTTACGTGGATGTCTCTCCCAGCTGGATGCAAACCCCTCCAGGGCAGGGACTGCACTACCCTTCCTAGTTAGATATGTTAAGTGTCCCTGTTAAGTAGGTGCTTAATAAATGTTTGTTGAATTAATGATTAGTTTATAGACCTACGACAAACTCCAGCTAACAATGATTTCCTTGTAAAAAAATCTCAAATGAAATAAAAAGTAAAATCTCAGATATGAAGCTAATACCACATTTATGGTTATGAACTTAATTTTCAAAGAAGTAGATGTGGGGGAACTCAGTCAGGTGATTGTCCTCCCTAACCATAGGATGGGCAGGGTTACAAAAGCAAAAGTTGCTTATGGCTTATTCACACACACATTTCCTAGGGTGGTATAGTACCCTGAGTTAGGAGGAGATGGGCTCATGCACTGCTAAAGCAAGAAGTGTGATGACAGTCACCTTTCAGTTCTTCAATGCTGGCTTTTAAAAAATTGTGTGTGTGTGTGTGTGGTAAAATGTACATAACATAGAATTTACCATTTAACCATTTTAAGTGCACAATTCAATGACACTAAATATACTGGCAATACTGTGTAACCATCACTATTTATAGAATTTTTCATCATCCCAAATAGAAACTCTCCCTCCCCATTAGAAAATAACTCTTCATTCCATCTTCCCAGCCTCTAGTAACTTTTATTCTACTCTCTGTCTCTATAAATTTGCCTGTTTTGAGGTACCTTATGTAAATGGAATCATACAATAGCTGTCCTTTTGTGTCTGGCTTATTTCACTTAGCATAATGCTTTCAAGGTTCATCCATGCTATAGCATGTGTCAGAATTTAGTTCCTCTTATGGCTGAATAACACTATTATATTTATATTCCACATTTTGTTTATCCATTCATCCACTGATGAACATTTGGGTTACTTCTACCCTTCAATTCTGTTTTAAATAATTCTGAAGCTGACATTAAAAAATGTCAGAAAAATTATCAATGATATGGCATCTTTCCCTGACCAAACCCCTTTCATCCCTGTTTAGGATAGCTATGAAAAATAAACATTTTCAATACCCTTAAATTTTGAGGCAACCAGATCCCTAAACAGAGAAGGTAGGATTGAATATAATTTTGGTATTTGTGTATTGCACACTCTGAGAAAATGGGGCCAATAATGCATAGTGTCTCCTAGAGATGTGAAGTGCTAGGGTGGAAAAGGGGGGACAGAGCAGAAAAATTGACAGGGGAAAAGTATTCTTAGAACCATTCCCATTCTTTCAGATCTCAAAATGTGCAAAATATAATCCTTTATGAGTGAACAGCAGTATCTAATTTTGATATTCATAAATCATAGTTACTTTGGAGCTCTAACTATAAAATTATGATTTTATTCTTTCAAAACATCCACACTCCTATTTAATCTCTAACATTTTTTATCAATTCAGTATTTTATTTTTAAAATAAAATTTTAAATGAGTATATTGAAAAGTGCACAAATTATAAGCTAATTACAGAGTATCTCTTAAGAAATCTCCTCAAAGTGAACACACCCATGTAACCAACCCCTGGATTTAGGAAACAGACTGTTAGAAGCGCCCCCAAAAGCCTCCCTCATGCCTCCTTCCAGTCTCTACCATCCCTCAAAGGTGACCACTATCCTGACTTCTCTTACCATCAATTAGCTTCCATGCTTTGAACTTGATATAAATGGAATCATGTGATATATCTGGCTTCTCTCAAAATGATGTTTGTGAGATTCATCCACGTTGCTTTGTGTAGCAGTTACCCGTTCATTTTCATTTAACGTGAAATGAAATGTAAGCTACTGTTCAGTTTGCAGAATGTATTCATCTCTAGTTTTATTCTTTCAAACAGGGAGCTGATCCAGTTCAGTTGAGACTTGTTTACAGTCAGCACACAGCAGAATGTGACAGGCCTTAGAATTACAGAATCCTCTGACATCAAGATATCTTCCTGCTCCTCTATCCAATTTTGATATAATTATTACTCCTAAGCATCGCTCTGGTCAGATCATTTCCCTTTCCCTTTTGGAAGGCATACAAAGTCCTCATCCCAGTTTTGGTCTTCCACAGTTCTGGCCAACCCCACCTCCGTGCAGCAGCTGGAAGTCCTTCCATCCCTTGCAGGCGCTCAGGCAGCCCCTCCTCCGAGAGCTGCCATCTGGTGGCAGCTCCAGGAACTGGACACCGCTTCTGCCATCAGGAGGCCCGTACCTTGAGCTCCTCTGCACTGTTGGGCCAGGTCCTCAATCCCTTTCTCATTCGTGAGTCTTTACTGCTTAATCTCATTCCCTAATCTTAGTTCTTATGCTGTTCTTACCTTGTCAAGAAAATATCTCTCCATGTCTTTTCCTCTCCTGTTTCACAGGAGGAAATTTTAAAAAAGAAAAGAAAAAAGGCATTTTGAAAAAAGAAGACATCCTGAAAGTCCACCGCCCATCCAACTCTGAAACTCTAGTGTTCAAAAGGCCTCCTTCAGAAATTTTCATCAACTACTAACCATTCTCATATTAAGTTGCTTTTTCTCAGCATCAGTGTTCAAAATATTTAAAACAAAATTTTTTTAAATATACTCCCCTTGCAGCAAAATTGTTTTTACATACCCAACATACACTTCTCCTTGGTGGATGGGTATATTTTATTTTTCCTTTTATAGTTTTTTCTATTTCTAAAGTTTCCTGGAAGTGTTGATATAAATAGGAAATGTTATTTAAAAAAGGAGAGAAAAAAGGAGATTTATGTCAAAAACGTCTTTTGCTTTATTACTTTTTCCTTTAATATTACTTAGTGTTTCTCCAAGTTTTCTAAAAGGAGCATTTTTTTAAAGTTTTAAACTTTAGTTCCAGTATAGTTAACATACAGTTATATTAGTTTCAGGTATTAAAAGGAACATATTTGTAATACAAATAGGAAATACAGTGTTACTTTAGAGAGAAAAAAAGAGGTGATTAGTGATAAATGGGACCATCAGAAAGATGGTTAAACCAGGAGGTGGGAGGGACAAGCTGCCGGAGGTAAATTGTTGGTAACAGATCTTGACTTGTAATGAAGTGTTGGTGACTCTGTAAGGAGTCTTTGATTCTAGGAGGGCTGTCCCATGGCTCTTAGAGCCACATCTTGAGTGTTACTTGTCCTGGCTTTATGATGATTCTCATCTTCTTGAGCAGAAGCAGGCATAGGGACAGGATGCTACCTGGAGAATGATTTACTTTGCCCAGCAGTTTATTGAGGTCCTCTTAACTGCGAATGCCGGGTACACGGTGGACAAAGAATGAGAATTTTATGGTCCTGAAACACATTACCTATAAGCTCGAGCAACTCTACCAACAGTTGAAATGGTGCAGTGGCCAGGTGCAGGGATCAGCAAGGTTTGGCCTAAGCCTCTGCTTGGATCAGAATACTGCAATGGCTTCCAATGGAGAGAGTGAAAATTAAACTTAATAGACTTTGCAGGGCAATGGGGATCTGTTTGCTTGTAACTTTTTTTCCCCTCGGAGAGAAAGCACTCGATCCTTTATTCAGCCAACATTTTATTAAGTACATAGTTCTATGCAAAGTGTTGCTTTAGATATACGTGTAAATGTAAAAAATAACTCCTGCCCTCCAGGTGCTTACAGTCTAGAAGGGAAGATAAGGCATGTATGCAGATAGCTTTCATACCAATGATTACAACTGAGAGTAATAAGTACAAAAAGATTTAAAATGTGTGTGTGTATATGTATGTGTACACACACACATATATATATGCTGCCTCTATTTGAATGCTCAAGGAATTAGTACATGAAAACACACAAGCAAAAAGACTGTCATATTAAAATTGCTTTTTATACTTAGACTGAAAATATTTTTAAAATCCAAGGTGTTACCATAGTAATAATGTGACTATAAATTATGATATAAATAACCACTGTTGCATTTTCTCACTGTTCTATTAGTTTTCCTTTTAAAAAGAAATATTTAGTAGCATATAAGAGCTGCTATACTTCATTATAATGTAGTATAATGGAATTCTACATTTGTTGAATGAACGAGAAAATAGTGATGACATGTTATGTTTTCTGCTCTCCTTTTCAATCTTAGGAAAAACTGATAGAATCTCTTAGTAAAAAAATTAATCAAGTATACAAGGTCTGCATTGGAGATGCTGATGTTGGCAGTCTCAACCCAGTTCAAAAGCTGGTAAAAGTAGAGTCTCGCCTGGTGGAATTGAGTGATCTGATTGATTCCATTCCCAAAGAAAATGTGGAGGCAATTGAGAGGATAAAACAGAAAGAACGGCGGCAAAAGTATAGTCAATGATATAAGTGTAGTGAACGACTGAATGAGATGAGAAACTGTTTTTGCTGGCATTCCACAAACACTGAGCAAACCCCTATGACATGGCAAGGATTGTGATAGAGGCGCAGTAGACCCAATGAGTATGAGTAGAGTATACCCTTCTCATACAGCTATTATTTAATGTAGGAAACATGGTCATCAAATAGTCTTCTGAAATAATGTGTCACTAGCAATGGTAATGAGCACTGGTTCACCTGGGCAACTGATCTAGTTTGGGATGGGTGAAGGGTCATTTTACCCTGAAAATATGGACTTTCAGAATGAATATTCACTACTTATACAAAAACTTTGGATCTTGTGGAAGGGGAACTGCACTTGTGATGGGAGGGCCCAAAGCACAGAATTAGAGCCCTTCACTGGAATGAGACTATATATGAAGGAATTGTTTAAAGTCAAATGCATGCATTGAGGGTTTTCCTCAGTGTATAACTGCCAACACTTAACACACACAGCATTTACATATTAACTCATTCGGGTCCTCAAGGCAACCTCATGATGATTATCATCCCTGAAACAGCACCCCCTCCCACCTCCACATCCTTGCCTACCAGGAGAATACACTGATTTACACACTTCCATATCCAGTTAAATAAGGATCTTAATTTTTAAAGTTTATTTATTTTGAGAGAGAGAAAGTGCGAGCAGGGGAGGGGCAGAGAGATTATAGAGTGAGAATCTCAAGCAGGCTCTGCACTGCCAATGCAGAGCCCAATGCTAGGTTCCAACTCAAACCAGGAGATCATGACCTGAGCCAAAGTTGGATGTTCAACCAACTGAGCCACATAGGTGTCCCAAGGATTTTATGTACGTACTACCTCTCAAGCAATGATTATAAATATATGATCCCTAGTATAATGCGGCATGTACAGAATGCTTATAGGTGGAATGACATTCATGTTATTGCAAAAACAAAAAACAAAACACCCATGTTGAGAGGAGATGAGCACTACAGTTGACTGCTTGGGTTCAATGCAGGTTCTGCCATTTACAACTTTTGTGACCTTAGGTAGGCCACATAACCACTCTGAAGTCTCAGTTTCTTTTTCTTTAAAATGGCAGTTAATAATGATATTTATTTCACAGGGTTGTTGTGAGGATTAAATAACCTATGTAAAAGTACTAAAGCACGCTTGACACATAAGTATTCAAATATTAAGCATTAATGTTAGAGATTTTGTTACTGCTTACAGAGGGATATTGCTTCCCCCATACAAAAATGAAGTCCAGAATACATATAAAGGTGATTTTGGTGGGATTTTACTCAATATAAAGCAAAAAATTTTAAATTGTAAATAAAAGATTACTCCTTACATAAGATGACCTATGACTAGGGTACCTAGTGGCTCAGTCAGTTGAGGGTCCAACTCCTGATTTAGGTCCAGGTCATGATCCCAAGGTTGTGAGATGGAGCCCTGCTCTGGGCTCTGTGCCAAGTGTAGAGCCTATTTGGAATCCTCTCTCCCCCTTTGCCCCTCTCCCCAGCTTGCATACTCACTCTCTAAAATGGAAATGGGGTGGAAGAAAAAAGACCTCTACGACTGACAGCACTTGCCTCTTTTCTAAAATAGGAAATAATTCTCATTGGATTGTAAATACAACTTATTTTCAATAGTGATACATGAATCTAATTCTAATTGCTTGTCATTCTTACCAAAAACAATTTTGTTTTTCCTATGGCTTAGAGGCACATAAAACTAATTTTGCATAAAAAATGTTCAGTAAATGTTACACTTAAAATTATTAGAGTCAATAAAATAGCTATCACTTACTGAGGGCCTTTCTACACCAGGTATCAGCCCGATATGCAGAGGTCATTTACTTTGATCCTCACAACTCTAAAGAGAAGAAGACAAATAGCATTTCTTGGTCTTAATAATATACACTGTGGTACATGCATTTTTCTACACATTATACTTTAGATTTTATTCTTTTCAAGCATTTTCTCTCATTTTAACACAAATGGGATCTGTTGTTGAGATTTCACCTGAATATTCAAAAGCCATAGTATGAAGGTGAAGTATTAATTTAACTTTAAGGGATCTCTTATATTTGGGTAGTTCATTACCAAGGGATAATAGATTTTTTTTTTTACTTCCTGTGATTTATAATTGCAAAACTGTTTTTCTTTGACAGATTACGTGAAGAGAAAATGAAAGAAAAACAAAGACACCAAGAGGAAAGGCTAAAAGCTGCCCTGGAAAGGGCAGTAGCACAACCAAAGAAAAAGGTGTGTTTTGTTATCAGTAGGTCCAGCTACATCTAATATGTGAATGCTTCTGTGAAAATACCTAATTCAACTAATTTATCAAGGGTGAACGTTAGCAAAATAGTCTTGTCTGGTCACAGCTTCAGATGCTGACTCCTTGTTACTTTTAGGATAATTCAAATATCTGGGTCTATGATTCTCCATTAGACCCATTTTAATAAAAACCTTTCCCCTCTTTTTCCTTAGCTCCAGGTTCATGAAAAACCAGAGAATTTCTTCTTTAAATAATTTTTTTAAATAGATAGTAACAAGCATATGGCTCAAAGTTCAAAAGATACCAAGAGTATTTAGTAAAAAGTAAGTCATTGTCAGTTCCCCTCCCTGGATGCAACCACCTAAGTTTCATCTAGATGCATCCTTCTGGAAATAGTCTACATAGTTATTGTATATATTCTTCTTCTTACAAATGGTAGCCATGAGCCTTGCTTCCTTCACTCAACAACAAAGACAGCAAACCCGGAGAATTACATATAATCAGACGGGTCTTCTTCTAATCCTCATATTGTAAAAATAGTAAGATTAATAGTTGAAGTTAAAATGATTTACCAAGTCACCTCAGATTTAGCAGCAGATTCAGGAGCAGCAGTCAAGGTGCTTTATATTACAAGATCACCTGTCCAATAATAAGTACGGGATTGGGCAGCCACTGAGTGCATCTGGTCCATGACTTCCCAATGGGTATAGAGGGTCTTGTGTTTCTAAATGCTACTCTCCTTCCTCTGGGTTAGGGTCTGAAATATATTCAGGGAAGCCAATTTCATGGTTATCTGCAAAGCTACTATGGACACTGTTTCTTACCACAGTAATAGCTCTAACCTACAGTGAAGGTTTATTATATGCTTCACAACCAGCCTTTTGAGCTAAGTACTTGAAAAAATTTAAGTGTGGTAACTTAATATATATGTCAAAAAGTGTTATCTTAAATTACTTTATTTAAATAAGCATTTCATCTTTAAAAGGGTCTGACTTCCCTATGAAGACCTGACTTGTCCTTTCTCCCAAAGAAGAATTTACCATTTATCCCTTGTCCACGTATATACTCACTAAATTCACCAAGCTGAAATGATTATTTTTAATATATCCATCTTTCCTTCTAGACCGTGAGTTTTTAGGATTTTTTTAAACTTTACTTTGGAAGAGAGTGCACACATGCATGGGGGGGGGGGGCAGAGAGAGAGGAGGGGAGAGAGAATCCCAAGCAGGCTCCTCCCTGTCAGTGTGAAGCCCAACATGGGGCGCAAGATCATGACCTGAGCTGAAATCAATGAGGCTTAACCGACTGAGCCATCCAGGACCCCCTAGACTATGAATTTTTATGACCTTTGTATCTCCAATGCTTAGCACATAGTGGATACACAATAAATGCTCACTGAATTAACAGGCTAAAAATGAGACTGAGAACTAAAACTGGAAGAAAAATGAAAAAACAATAACAATCTGGTAAGTTGATAATGTACAAAAACCTCTGGCAGCAGGTCTTACCCAGTCAGGGCACTTCATCACTGGCAATTTTCTCAGATAGTATTAATAACAAAGGTTATCAAAAGAAGATTGCTGACAGAGAAAAAAAATGTTCACATCAGGAGAAATCCTGGGATTCTAGTCCCTAAGAACATTTTGGTTGATAAAATGATGGGGAGGACTGCCCTTGTTACTTACCTGGGGCCAGGAATGTCAAATTCTGCAATGCAAGGGGCAGTCTCAAATAGGGTTAGTGCCTCTTTTGCGACATTGGAGGTCTCATCAAATCTCCTATTCAACAGAACAGTTTTCTCATCCATTTAATTTACACAAATTCAGATATAAAAGCAAAACAAAATAGTAAAGGAGGAAAAAAGAAGACTAAAAGAGAAAATTCTGATATTCTTGAGTATATGCCCCAGAAAGAATGAACAAGTACAAACTAAAGGGTTTCCCTAAGCTTCTCCTGATGGAACACATGTAAGAGCCAACAGGATTACTAATGTTTAAGAAGATATACGTGGTTTTCTCAAGTTTTTATCTAACAGGATTTTTAAATGCTAGACAACTGGTGTTCAGCAGAGGAAAAGTGATCTTTTCTAACCAATGCAGGAGAAACCAGCTATGGCACTTACTGAGAAATGAAATGTTGACCTCAAACATGGTGCTTTTCTAGGCTGGCCCTATCTGAAACACGCTTTTTGATGACTTTACCTAAATCACTCAACTTCCCCATGAAACCTAACTCCTGTCTCCTACTCACTCTGATGCTCTATTTATTATGTAACTTTGCCTAGCACATTGGACATTGATTAGGTTATCAATCCCTTTGTAACTGTGATTTCTTTTTTACTATTTTGAGCCATGTAATTCCTTGGAAAAATCAAGTGAATGTTATTATTTTATTTATAATTCATTAGAAAATAGTTATGCTGAAAAATACTAAGTATTGTTTCTTTTGTTTCAGCTGGGAAGAAGACTTATCTATCGCTCAAAACCTTCATCTGGTATCAAACAGGAGCTATTTTTGGTCAAGGATACAAGAGCAAAATCAATAGAGGAAGAATATTTTTTCACTTGAATAGGTGCACTAATAAGACATTTACTGCCAGAATGTTTTAGGCATTTTGTAGATTTTGGTTTTCAGTAATGGCAATATTCTGCCCCATATGTTGCCCTAACCAATTTGAGGAAGACAGACACTTATTCTGGTGGTTATAGGATTGGGAATGGGAGTTATCTTCTTTTATTGAAGACTTTTATTACCATATTCTCAGTAGTATTCTATACAGCTAAACATCTATACCTTGGAGTTATCCTAATTGGAGCTACACATCCAAAGTTTACTGTAACTTACATTATTTTACGTTACATTCCTTTAACTTTACATTAACAATGTGATGAATGACCAGTAAAGTGCCATAATGGCATTCTCTGAGAACCTGGGGCTTTAAATGATCTAATTTGTTTTCAACCATTCCACAGTTCATAGTATACACTTTATCATTGTGGAGTATACATTTTAACATGTATAACTCTAAAACATCTAAATGGTTTTGAGGAGTTTAAAACTTAAATGAAAACCACGAGTATATTCTCAGAATGTAACTGTGAGACTGGTTTTTAATTCACACTAAGGAGTTCTGTTCAGAACACTTAATTCTCTTAAGTGAACAAACCATATACCTCCAGCTGAAATACCAGTTCACAATTTCTGATGTGCTCTATATCCACAATCATTTTAATTTTCAGGTGATGTTTCCATTTTAGCTGCAACATGTACATTATTTTGCTGATTTTTACTGATAGAGTTAACAGGTAATTTGTTGACTACTAAGTAAAATGAAACCGTATATATTAATTCTAAGGAAATATTTAACTTTACGTATGTCAAAAGTGGTTCAAAAATAACTTTAAAAGAAACAGTTGTTTTTTTAAAAGGTCTCAGTTAATATATCATTACAAGAAAAGCACTGAAATTCACCTTCATACGTGTTTATTAAGCATATAATTTTCTCCTGTAGAAAAAAAAAACAATACTGAGCTTATAAAAGAAAACCAACTTGAATAAAGTTGAGTGGCTTAAGTATTAATTCTGTGAATAATCTTTCAACTGTTTCAACATTTGAGCCCTGCATTGAAATATTTGAATATGAATAGTTCACAAGACAAGTTGAAAAAAAAATGTTTATTGTCTAGAAATATATATAAAAAAAATTCCCCAAAAAAGATGCTATTCTCTCATTTCCCCATCTTCTTCCTCTTCTTCAACACCCCTGATATAAAGGACATTATTACACCTGTAAATAAAAAAACAATCCATTTTGTTGTTCCAGCCGGAAACCACATTAAGATGTGAATTACTATTTCTAGATATTTTTGATTACAAAAATACTGAATGCTAATTTTACAACATATCATTTCTTTCTTTTTTTAAAAAAGTTTTTACCAGTGATTTGTTATAAAGCACATGAAACTTATTTACCAAGCAGATGTTATAAAATGGTATCTTTATGATCTTACAAAGGTAATGACTCAAATTTGAAGGCATGAAGCTATTTTAAAATGAATGTAATAAAAATCCCTAATAGCAGCCAGACCCAACTAAAATTCAAAACCAAGCTCTTTCACCTAAACTACTGAAAAAAGTTACACTCAAGAGCTGGAAAGTTTAATATCAACACTAGAAAAATCTTAAGGATGAGTAACTCCAAAAAATTTCCGTCTTCTTTGACAAGTTTAAGGATTTCAAAACTCTTTAAGTCAAATTTTAGATTATGTTAATAGTGATTTAAAGAAGTAATTCTGAAATTGAGGCACTAATTTAAAACAGGTATTTCTAGTGCACAACAGTAACTCCTTATATATACTACTATTCTTGTTACCTTATTAAAACTTCACCCAAATGTCCAGACAATGCTCCATCTATGTATTCTTCTGTGTTTGCAAGCTTTAAATAAAAAGAAAGTTTATTAGTATAATACAGGAGAAAAATAATGTAACACTACCTAAAATATTAGGTAATATTGGAGAGAGAGCTCATTAACTGAGACCTTACTATACCAACAACTCCCATTTATCTATAATTAACAGGGTATTAGCTTTCTTTTACTATTGCGGTACTTTTGTTATTCATATAAGCATTCAGTAAAGTTAACATCGATGGATGCAGAATATATAATAAAGCTTGTTTCAACAAATTTTTTAAATCTCCCAGTTATGTAAGACTCCTTTGTAATAGACATTAAAACGGCATGTCAAGGAAGACAGTCTCCAATTTATGAATAAGTTGTGATTTTAAAGTTTTCCAAAAATTCAGTTCTAAGGAACCAGGTATTAACTTTCTGCATAATAACACTATATCACATTGAAGAACCCAATGGGTGCAAAATCTCTATCTAAAATATCACATACTTTTATATTAGTCAACAACCAAATCAAAGAACTGAATAAGAATTTTTAAAAATTATGTACTAATAAACAGAGAAATAAGTTCTTAAGAGAAAGTTAAACAATTCAGAGTAACCATAATTAATAGTTATTTCAGGAAAACTATTATTTCTAATTTTACATCAAAATGTTTAGGTTTCCTTCCACAAATAGGTAAAAAACTTTATTTGTAACTTTTATAAACCACAATCACTTAAAAGGTTCTCTATCACTATCATTCCATTCTTTTATCATGCTACGTCATTCTGCTTTGGACTTCTTCCCACGCCCTAAACACACCAAGCAAGTTCCTGCCACAAAGCCCGTGTACTTGCTGTTCCCACTAACTTGAGATGCTTTTTCTTCAGATATTCTCTTCAGCTGCTCATTCAATTCTCTTTTCGGATTAAATTTACTTCCTCAGAACTTTCCCTGGCTATCCTATGTAACACTGTACACTTTGTTTCTGCTTTCTTTTTCTCCACAGCATCTATCATTACCTGATAGAATATTATATTACCATCTCCCACTACTAAAACAGAAACTCCTTCAAAGTAGGGACTTTATTTTGTTCATTGATATATATTTACAGAGCCAGGTATGTAATGGGCACTCAATAAATTTTCATTCAATAAACAAATTCAAAAGCATCATTAATGTGGTTATAGTTATTCAGATACATTTCACAACGCTGGCAGGCTCGCTAGGAACTACATTACTTCTAAAACCAAATATTCTGTGGGTATTCTTTCTTTCTTTCTTTTATTGAGATACAATGCCCATAGTATAAAATTTACTTTTACAAGATACAAGTTAGTGGTTTGTTTTTTCCACTCCACCCTGACTTTTTTTTTTAAATGTTCATTTATTTTTTGACAGTGGGGAGAGGCAGAGAGAGTGGGGGAGACAGAAGATTCAAAGTGGGCTCTGTGCTGAGAGCCCAATGCAGGGCTCAAACTCACAAACCATAAGATGGTGACCTGAGATGAGCCACCCAGGTGCCCCCACTGGTTTTTAATATATTCATAAAGTTGTGTAATCACTACCACTATTTAAGTCTGGAACATTTTCAACAGACTGGTATTACTCTTCAGATTTTTCTATGGTATTGGTAAATTATTCCTGCTTGAGGAATTTTACAAGCCAAAACCATGCTCTGTAAGAACTCTGGGGACCTAAGCATCATCTGTGCAAGTGGTAACCTCCTGAATTAAGGAAAATCTCAGCTTTCTGCTTATAGGTGCCCCTGTTAATACTCTTCCTACAAGAAGTACCAGTATGAAATAGAGTCATGATGGACTAACCACCTACCCAAGTAACCTTTAAAATCCATCTGCCATCAATCAGTCACATAAACACCTACACATCAGGAAAATATAATTTCAAACTCTTTCATAAAAACATCTGGCTGGAAACTACTACAATTATGCAACAAAGAAACAAAACACCCTAGTTTTTAAATGAACAAAGGACATGAACAAGCATGTCTCCAGAAAAGATATATAAATTGCCATAAGCACACAAAGATCACAATATCACTAATCATTAGGGAGATGCAAATCAAAACAATTGAGATATTTTACACTCATTAGAATGGCCATTAGCAAATCAGGAAATAACAAATGTTGGTGAAGATGTGAAGAAATTGAACCTGTATGTTTTGCTGGTGCAATGTAAAATGGTGCAGCTGCTACAGAAAAAAGTATGGCAGTTCCTCAAAAAATTAAACAAAGAATTCCTTTATGATCCAATCATTCCACTTCTGGATACACATCCAAAAGAAGTGAATGAAAGCATGCACGGCAAAGGAAACAACCCACAAAACTAATAGGCAACCAACGGAATGGGAAGATAGTTGCAAATGACATATCAGATAAAGGGTTAATATCCAAAATCTATAATGAACTCACCAAACTCCACACCCAAAAAACAAACAACCCAGTGAAGAAATGGGCAGAAGATATGAACAGACACTTCTCCAAAGAGGACATCCAGATGGCCAACAGACACATGAAACGATGCTCAGCATCCCTCCTCATCAGGGAAATACAAATCAAAACCACAATGAAATACCACCTCATGCCAGTCAGAGTGGCTAAAGTGAGCAAATCAGAGAACTCTAGATGCTGGCGAGGATGTGGAGAAACGGGCACCCTCCTACACTGTTGGTGGGAATGTAAACTGGTACAGCCCCTCTGGAAAACAGTGTGGAGGTTCCTCAGGAAACTAACCATAGAACTCCCCTATGACCCAGCAATAGCACTGCTAGGAATTTACCCAAGGGATACAGAAATGCTGAGGCATAGGAGCCCATGTACCCCAATGTTCATAGCAGCACTCTCAACAATAGCTAAAACATGGAAAGAGCCTAAGTGTCCATCAACAGACGAATGGATCAAGAAGATGTGGTTTATCTATACCATGGAATACTCCATGGCAATGAGAAAGAATGAAATCTGGCCACGTGTAGCCACATGGATGGACCTTGAGGGTGTAATGCTGACTGAAATCAGTCAGGCAGAGAAGGACAAATATCATATGTTTGCACGTATTGAAGGATTAGGAGGAACTCATCAGAGGACCATGGGGGAGAAGAAGGGGAGAAATGGTGGGGGAAAGGGAGAGAGGCAAACCATGAAAGACTCTTGAATGCTGAGAACAAACTAAGGACTGATGGGGGGGGGAGATGGGCATGGAGGGGGGCACTTGTGGGGATGAGCACTGGGTGTTATATGGAAACCAACCTGACAATAAACTATTTGTAAAAAAAAAAAAAATGTAAAATACCATTTTCTTTCAATTGTATGAATGAAGTCCATGGAATAAAGTAAAAATCACTGCTAAAAAAAAAAAAAAAAGAATAAACCTTAAGAAAATTTAGAAAAGGAAAAGAAAAAGTGAATGAAAGCAGAACCTCTAAGAGATATTTATATACCCATGTTCATTGTTATTACAAAGGCCAAAGGGTAGAAACAATTCAAATGTCCAACAGAAGAATGGATTAACATGTGGTATACACAAAAAGGAATGAAACTCTGATAAATGCTACAACATGGATGAACCCTGAAAACATTACGCTAAATGAAATAAGCCAGATACAAAAGGACAAATGTTGTAGGATTCTACTGATATGAGGAACTCAGAATAGAAACTGAAAGAATAATGTTTACCAGTAGACAAGGGGAAATGGGGAGTTATTTTTTAAATGGGTGTAGTTTCAGTTGGGGATGATATAAGAGTTTTAGAAATGGATAATGGTGATGGATGCACCATAATGTGATGCACTTAATGTCACGGAGTTCTACAGTTGAAAGTGGTTAAAATGGTAAATTTTATGTTAGATATGTGTCACCACAATTACAAAAACAAAAAAAACCCTCTGTCCTAAACATTTACAGAAGCTAGCTTAACACACATGCAGTCAGTTCAACAATTCCTTTGGCTTGGCCTGTCTTTTCTCTCAAGAAATACTTTTATTGAATTGCTTTGATTTTGTGTATTTAGCATTCATTAAAAGACTTAAAATTTTCACTTGGAAAATGAAGAGCTAAATTTGGGAGTTTTGCTTGTTCTGCAAAAACAAACAAAAAAACCCCCCAAAAAACCATAAAACCATTTGTTTCCTTTATACCACTATGAATCAAATTCTGAGTTCTTTTTATTTTAACCACTAGAATTCTGTGGCTGAATTTTGGTTTAACAGGTCTTGTCCACAGCTTATCACAATTATAACATCCTTCTTGACCTTGACTTTTTTTTTCCTGAGTTTTATGTTTATGAATTTAGCTGAACTGTATTCTTATATATCACAGTAAACACTTGAGGAGTTAAGGTAAAGCAAAATAAATACAATTTAACGATCTCCTTAGCTTACCTGCATGTTCATATAGCCATCTACAGATACCAGGTAGCCTTTGTACTCCATTCCCCATTTAAGTTTCACCATTACTGGCTTCCCTGTTAATCCATTCAGGAAAGGTTTGGGATTGAGGGGCAAACTCTGCACAAAGAACAAAAAAGGTCTCAATCAATTATTTTTCCTTTGCTCAGTTTCCATTACCTACTCTCCTCTACCAAATCAACAATATTTTATGGTATCCAAATAAAGCAAGCTCTTGATTCTCACTTTACTGCATAAATTTGACTTTCATTTGTTGAAGAGCATTAAGAGAAATTTAAATACCTGGTTAGGCAATTTCATTCAGTATTCACTTAAACAATGAATACCTACTACACTTCACTCATTGTCCTAGGCTATAGAGAAATAAAGGTAAAGACGGTGGGGGAAAAAAAAAATGCAGCCGACAGTCCTAGTCCTCAAGAAGCTCACACTGGGAGGAGGAGAAGCAAAACACATACAAACAGACATTACACTGCACTGTAGTAAGAAGAGATAGCATCTATAAGGGTACGATCAATCCAGTTTTTACTCCTGTCTTTCTACAACTTATGCACACAAGTATTATTTTTATCACGTGATACCTCTACTTAAAATGCTTCCTTGGCTTTCAACTGCACTTGAAGTAGAATCCAGACCTCTTAACAGGACCTATCTTCCCCATCCTATCTCATAGCCAAGTTCTTCAAGCGGTGTGGCTTTCGGCCAGTTTTCCCAACTGGTCAAGCCTTCTTTCCGTACTTGGGGCCTATATGCTCATGTTCCCCTTCGTACACGCTTTCTCTTTAAGGGGCTGGATTTCATATTTCCTATCATTCACGTTTCTAGTCTTCCTACCGGGGATGCCATCCCTGACCTGTCTTCTAATGTCCCATCTTGCACCCTCTCGGCATCCTGTTTGCTCTCTTCTTAGCACTTCTTAACTGCTTATAATTACATGCTTATGTTACTTGATAAAGTCTACCTCTGGTCCGCGCCAGTACTTTTCGCCTTATACTCTAGCGGCTAGAACTGTATCAAGTAGGTAGCACGCGCTCAAAACCTGTTTGCTAAACGAACAAATAAATGCTCCAAAGCCTGCAGGGCCAGGAATCCCAACGTGATGAAATTAAAGTCGATTTCGCAGTGTGGTAAGTGGGGCATAAAGACCGCTTCATCTTTACCTCGACCCTGTGGTCCCAGACAGCAAGGTACCTCAGGCTCACACTCAAACGAAGAGGGGCATGGGTTCAGGGGGCACTTCTGGGGAGGGAAGGGCGTCGGAAGGAGCGCGCGCGCCTCAGATCAGCAGAGCAGGGAAAAAAAAGGCAGGCAACCAGGTGCGCGGCTCCCACGCGGATGAATGGGAAACGCGCTAATCAAGCACCGGGCCCCGCGAGGCTGGTCACCCGCTCTCCCTTGGCTCTTCGACTCCGGTCGTTTTCTTCCTCCTTACCATCGCGACTATAAACAAATGCTGCAGGCCACTCGCCGCCGACCCAGCTGTCGTCCGTCCCTCGTGACTGGAGCAGCTACGGTTGGGCGCGAATCGCAGAGCTTCCAAAGAAATGGCCGCCAAACAGCAGGGTGACCTTTCACCTCCGACTACAGCTCTCTCGGCTTCTGTGATTGGGCAAAGAGAGACGAGTCCTGATTGGAGGAGGTGGCGGTGAAGTGTCTCCTGGCAACGAGCGGTAGGGCGTGAGCTCGAGCCTTCCGCGCCGCGCACAGCCCTGTGGGAAACTGCCGTGGCCCCACTTGCTCCAGGGCCTCTACTAGGAAAACGCGGCAGTGAGGCCGGCGGTGTGTGTTCTCTGCTCGCCTGCCTTGTGAGTTCGACTGAGAAATGCTGTGTACTCTGCAGAGCGGATATCATTTCCCTCCAGCTTGGCTAATAGGAGTTCCTTGTCCTTTCACACTTGTGAGAACGGGTTTTGGGCTCTTGGGGGCTCCTCTTCCACAGTCCCTTCTCTACTCTGTAATGCTCATTTCAACCCAGTTTAAGGGGAATGGGAGAAGCAAGACTAAGGTGAGACTCCCAGAGAAAGTCAAGTACAGAATATAGTTAAGATGAGGTCAAATTGAGTCTAGGCTATGGTGTGGTGGCCTCCCTGTAGATCTATTTCTTTTGCATTGCCACCAGAGACCCGGCGCAGTCGCAGTCTTTTATCCTTCTGATGTAACGGTATTGATCAGAATCTCATGTGTTTTTCCCAGATGCAGACTTTCACCTTTCTTTGGTCTGAAATGCTGAATGCAGTGCTTGGAGAGTAGGCACTTTGAGAATTGCTGGGTTTTGTTATTCTCATTTTGTTATTGCGGCCTTAAGAAAATTGAGTTGGAATTGAGGTTTAAATGTTTTACATGGAGGCATTATGGAGCAATGGGGTAAGACTTTGGAAGTGGCTCAGTGGGTTAAGCCTCTGATTCTTGATTTCAGCTCAGATCATAATCTCACGGTTTGTGAGATGCAGCCGGGTCGGGCTCTGAGCTGACAGCACAAGCCTGTTTGGGATTCTCTCTCTCCCTCTCTCTCTGCTCCTACTCTGCTAACATTTGTGTGCGTGTTCTCTCTCTCTCTCTCAAAATAAATAAATAAATAAATAAATAAATAAACTTAAAAAAAATAAAAGATTGGATTACAGACATGTACACCATATTGCTTTGTGCACTGGCTAGAGATGGGCTGCACATTTGTCTCCAAACTTTATGGCTTCCTAGCAAAGAGAAATATGATTGGTTACATGATCCAATTTCCATAACATTAAAAAAAATTCATTCAGGAAAAGCACACTTGTTTCCATTACTCTGAAAAGAAATTTCTCCTATGGTGTCAGGCCCATGATCCCTGTAAACAGACCCCAAGGAAAAATGTAAGTGTGAATGCTTTATTGGTAGGCACAATCCCAAGGCAATAAGCGTGAAGAAAAAAGGTTAAGATAGAGGAGAAGCAGATGCTAGGTTTGTACATAATGAGCTAGCCACAGCTCCTTCACAGAAACTGTTGGCCATGCAGGCTGTCTCTGGACAGGCTTATTGAAATATTATGCATTGGAACAGTTCAACAAAAGGAGGCACTGAGAGGGAATTTACCGACTGCTTCCATCTTATCTCCTGGCAGATCGCAGCTGAGGAAATCAGCTCCCAGGCTTTAGTGTGGTGGGAGGAGCCACAAGTGGAGGAATCTGGGACCTCAGGAAGTAGTCTGTCACTATAGAGGCAAGACCCCGGACAGAGATGACACTGAGAAAATCTGAGTTGACACATAAGATTTATTTTTATACATGAGGTTATATAAAAAGCAATAAATAAGACAGCAGAAGATGTCTTTGAAACACTGTGACAGCACACGTTATATGATTGATTGCCTAGCTAATTACAAAAAGGAAAAAATAACTGTCTAGTGAAAAAGCCTTTCAGTTACCACCTTAATCCAATGATCAGATGACCATTGTTAGCCATGGAACAAATCAAAATAATGTGCCACTTGATAAGATGCAATGAGAAAATGGACTTTTGTGGTTTTCTTTCCAAAGACACATAAGCAGAATCTAACAATCAGAAAATATCAGACAAACCAGTTTGAGGAACATTACACTAAATAAACGGAGTTGTGATGTTCAAGAGTGTCCATGTCACAGAAGGGCTTTGAGGTAAATTGCTGAGAAAAACCTGGCACAGAATAACTTATATAATGTGCTGCCTCTTAATGAAAAAGAAGAGGGAGATGACAATCCATTTGCTTCTCTGTGCATCAATATACTTGAAGATTCCTCAGACACTAAGAACAGTGGTTTACCTATGGTAGGAAATGGGCTGAAAGCAGACTAAGATAAGCTTTTCACTCCATAAAAATTTTTAAACTTCCCTTCATTAAGCTGAAATTCACATGACATGAAATTTACTATTTTAAATTATATAATTCCATGGCATTTAGTACATTCACATGTTGTTGCAACCACCTCTATCTAGTTCCAAAACATTTTCATTACCTCAAAAGAAAATCTTGTACCTATTAAGTGGTCACCTCCTATTTCCCCCTCCCCCTAGGCACTGGCAACCAATCTGCCTTCTGTCTCTATGGATTTACCCCTAGTTTAGATGTTTCATATAAATGGAATCATATAGGGGCACCTGGGTGGCTCAATTGGCTAAGCATCCGACTTGATATGGCTCAGGTGATGATCTCATAGTTCATGAGTTTGAGCCCTGATCAAGCCCTGAGTTGGGCTCAGCGCTGACAGCACAGGGTCAGCTTGGGATTCTCTCTTTCCTCTCTTCCTGCCCCTCCCCAGATCATGCTCTCTCTTAAAATAGATAGACTTGAACAAAATAAATAAATGGAATAATACAGTATGCAACCTTTTGTATCTGGCCTCTTTCACTTCCTATAATATTTTCAAGGTTCATGCACATTGTAGCATGTAGCACCTCTTGATTACTTTTTAAAATTTTTTAATGTTTTATTTATTTCTGAGAGACACACACACGCACACACACACACACACACACACACACACAGCGTGAGCAGGGGAGGGTCAAAGAGAGAGGGAGACACAGAATCTGAAGCAGGCTCCAGGCTCTGAGCTAGTTGTCAGCACAGAGTGTGACGTGGGGCTGGAACGCACCAACTGTGAGATCATGACCTAAGCCAAAGTCGGATGCCTAACCAACTGAGCCACCCAGGTGCCCCACCTCTTGATTATTTTTAATAGCTGAGTAATATTCCACTGTGTATATATAACCTCATTGTGTCTATCCATGCATCTGTTGATGGACATGTGAGTTATTTCTACTTTTTGGCTATTTTGGGTAATGCTGCTATGAACATCCATCCATGTACAAGTATTTGTTTGAGTACGTGTATTCAAATTGTTTTAGATATATGCCTACAAGAAGAATTGTTGGGTTGTATGGTAATTCTATGCTTAACTTTTTGAAGTTGTTTTCCAATACCTGCACCATTTTACATTCATTCCCATCAGCAATGTACCAGAGTCCCAATTTATCCACATTCTCACCAACACCTGTTATTTTCCATTTTAAAAAATTATTACTATAGCCTTTCTAGTAATCCTAATAATTTATTATTATTATTATTACTATTGTGGTGTTGATTTGCATTGTCCTAATGACTAATGATGTTAAGCATCTTTTCATGTGCTTATTGGCCACTTGTATATCTTTGGTGAAATGTTTGTTCAAGTCCTAGATACATTTATATATGTACTATTTTTGGAACCCTTGAATGCATTGCCTAATTAAAAATTAAACTAGGGGTGCCTGGGTGGCTAAGTCAGTTGAGCCTCTACCTCTTGATTTTGGCTCAGGTCATGATCTCGAAGTCATGAGATCGAGTCCTCTGTAGGACTCTGCACTGGGCGTGGAACCTACTTAAGATTCTCTCTCTCCCTCCTCCTCTGCCCCTCCGCCAGTTGTGACAACCAAAACTGTCTCCAGACATTGGTCAAGGTCCCCCAGGGGGGCACAGTCACCCCCTGATGAAAATCAGTGGATTAGATCAGTGGTTTATAAACACACAACCTTAGACTTGGATCAATTTGTCTTTGTTTTATTTTAGAGACTTGGATCACTTTGTAGGTAGTATTGAGATTTTGCAAACTTTTTATTATTAAAAAACAAAACAGCATGAAGGAGGGCACTTTGGGGATGAGCACTGAGTGTTATGTAGAAACTAATTTGACAATAAACTATTTGTAAAAAAAAAAATAATTAACTATATTAATAATTAAATAATGTGTTAGTGACTAGTGACTACTCCATTAAAAAGAATTGCCATAATAGATAAAAAAGACTATCTTATCCCCATGTGCTGCCCACAAGAGATGTTTATTAAAGATATCTTTCTATAAAAAAAAAAACAAAAACAACAAAGTATAGTTGAACAATTGTACAGTTATCTAATGGAGACTGTATAAGACTGAAATTTCATGCTCTTGGCTTTTTATTAGAATGAAATCAACTCAAAATATAAATACCGTAAATACTGTTTGATTATCATGGATCAGAAGCTCTGATTGACATTTACATATGTATCTGATTTATAAAAATGGGAAAGCAAATGGCCAGTAAATGATGTCTTTTAGTTTCATAAATCATAGAGTCAAGTTGGGGTGGTGGAGGGTGGATAATAAAAGAAGACTTTGGGGGTAAAAAAGCTGGGAGCTCTCAAGTAGATGGTCAACATTAAATATTGACTTTAAACATATTCCAGTTTTTTTTTGCCATGGGGTGGCAGTGGTGAGTTTCAAGTAACATTTTTAATTGACACACAGGCATTTACAAGTTAATCTGTACAAATGGGGATGTCAGTGTTTGCAGAACACAGAGGAAACAAAACAAAATCTCATGGAATTTTTCCTACAGTCTCCTGTTCCATACAATCTCCACGCCCCCCCCACACACTTACCTCATAGTCTGAGTGTCTACATTGAATCAATTTTTTAATATTTTTAGGTTTATTTATTTATTTTGAGAGAGAGAGAAAGAATCCCCAATACAGAGCCCAGTGCAGTGCTTGAACTCACTGTTGAGATCGTGACCTGAGCCAAAACTTAGAGTCAGATCCTTAATTGACTGAG